GTGCGGGTAAACGGCCGGAAGTTACGGTAGGTTAAATTTACATAGCAACTAAACACATTACAGCAAAGGAATAAGCAGAAAAAAATTAGCAATAGAGGAGGTAGCTTGTTAGGATCATTCAAATAGCAAAGGCTAATCTAGGTATGTCTCTGCAGCCCTGGATTTGGTCATAACCACCTTCCATTAATGGATCTGCACTCCAAAACAATGCCTAGAGTAGTTGCCACAAAAATGCTGTCAGCCAGCAGTATTCATCCAAAGATGCAGATGGAACTTGGCAAGACAAGGTACAATAATCTCTTCATTGTAGCTTGATATCTTTATTCCTGTGTGGAATACTTTTTTTTAAAATAAAGGTTCCAAATTGTCTATCAAACGTTAGCCCACTGAAAAGATGAGTTGTGTTTTATAGGCCACTTTCCTTACTTCTGGACACACTGACAGACGGTAACCCGGAAATTGTGATATACTGTGTTGCAACTATAGCAAACATTGCAATGAATGTGGACAATCATATGCAGGTAAATGTAAACTGGTTTAATTGGTATTTAAGAATAGGTCCTGTCAGCTAACTGGCGGTGACTTTATATTCTCATGTATTTTGTAGATTGATTTGGCTGGAGGTGTTGATGGCCTTAAACAAATGCTGAGCTATGGAGATGCAAGGTATCTGTTAATGATAATTGTCTTAACTTCAAAAAGGAGCTATACTTTTTTTAAGGATAAAAAACAAAACAAAATACAGTACATATGAAAGATTAATTTGTATAGACTACGATTGTCTTGAAGTGTTTTGTTCATTGCACGGGTCTTTTTCAATTTGTTTCTCTCATTCACAACCTTTTATTTTTTCTTCTGTTGACCAGCTTTCTTTAATTGTGTTGCAGAGTACGATACCATGCCGCTCGTGGCTTAATTTATCTTGGTTACATTGATGTCGGAGGAGTTTATCTCTTTAAACGTGTTCCAGGTAAGTTAAAGAAATATGTTCCAGTGGTATGCATGGACTCTGAACATTTTTTGGCAGTGTAAATATATGCTAGGTGTTGTAATGAAGGACTCACGCCCTAACCAGGCAGATAGCAATACACTATACTTCTAGTTGCATCGTGCCTTAGAAACGCAAAGAGTCTTCGGGGCACCTGGCTCGAAAGATTTTAACTTCACTGGTTTGTCTGCAAACTTCAGGTGATGAAAAGCTTGACGTTTTGTTCTCAGAGTCAACCACTGGAGAGGAACACCTCTATGTCAGGTTAGATAAATAGCAACTGTTACGAACGGAAGTGCCAGTACAGTCACGTGGAAGACCAAATTTTCTCTCCTTGATGAGTTACAAAATTTTATAGGTATGGGGCTTCGCTGCGCGCGCGTTGTGAGCTCCGCTGCGCGCGCGTTGTGAGCTCCGCTGCTATTAATTTCCTGAACTTAAGCTGCTTTTTGCGAACGTTTTTTCTCCCAGGCACAATAAAGGAAGCAAAGGATTGTAACTCAGATTGCGGAAACATATAACATGATTTTGTTTTGCGTACCTTTTTAGTGTTGGAATCAAATTTGTTCAATGTTGATCAATAGAAGTTGAATGGTTATGAAGTACATTGGATTTGTAGAGAAATTTTTAGTAAATTTTATTGTTTGACCTGAAGTTTCTATTATTCATCCGTAGAGGGGCTACAGTGGAGAAAATCGTTGAGATCATCACTAATAACCCGTCCCTTTTGTGGGGTGGTTTGACTCTACCACCTTGGTCTGGACGCTCAAAGAAACATTCCTGGTACAAATCCAGCAGCTCTGGAAACAAACACATGCCTAGTGATGACCACATTGTGGATTTTTTGCTGACAACTTACAAGAGCTATGTACATCCCTCCATCCTTATGAGATTGCTGCTTCATAGGTAAGCGGGCCGGATAAATCCTGAAATCAACGTTGTAGTATATTATTTTATTACACCACTCGGGCAGTCAGAGGGCCAATAACTAAAATCAACCAATCAAAATGCTCTATTGCCGGTCCATTATTCTCTAAGTATTGGACCGGGCACTGTCCCGAATGGTCCCGAATGATACCGCACTTGTGTCCCTTTGAACTTCAGTCGTATAATAAATCTCTTATTAACCAAGCTTGCTCGGGACCGTACTGGAAGAATATCGGCCCTAGGTCTTTTTTGTACGGACCTCGCTGCGCTCGGTCTGTGCTGTCAAGACCTCGCTGCGCTCGGTCCGTACTGTCAAGACCTCGGGCCGATATTCTCCCAGTACGACCCTCGCGCTGGGTTAATAAGATATATATACCACACAGATACCAAAAACGAAGTTTATTTCTCTCAATTTTCCGAAAAGTGGTCGGAAATTATTGTCTCATCGGCTGCTCGGAGGCAAATGATTGTAGCTATTCACTTCCGAACTAACCATTCGGTGCGCGCTAAAAGCGCTATTCTCTTGCGTGGTATAAACTAAATTAAGATATTTGACATAGCTCCCTGAAACGTACTTACATGGTATCGCCAGATTGCTTTTACACCTTATTCCCCTTCAACTTATCTTCGGTCTTTCACTTGTAGATTTCATGACCCCTGGTTTGGCAAGTACTTTGATGGAGACCCGTCCACTGGGCAGATGCAAGACTACAGTCCACTTCCTGTATTGCACATTCATTTGATGAGATTATGGACAGCCTGGCTTGAAAAATGTCCTGAAGAGTTTGTTAGTAACCCTGTAATAGCAGTAAGTATCTTTGGTAGTTCGTTTGTAGTTTATTCTAAAGTGATCCTCTCTACTTTCAACAATTTACTGTTGAAACCTGGTAGTGTTATACATAATTCTTCAGCTCAAGAGAGCGTGTGTTTTTGTTTTTTTTGTTTTTTTTTTTTTTGCGACCAAATCTCTACAGAGGTCCTACTTGAAAATTAATGCCAGTCACTTTATTTTTCAACTTGGGGCAAAAGCCTTGATTATTGAATGTTGAGATGATTGCGAATAATTCGATTAAGACTGGTGCCCCTTGAACACCCCACAAAGAAGTAGTTGTATTTATGAGTTAAGTTATGAAAAGGCATTTTTTTTACCTCAAAAAAAAAAAAAAAATCTTTATGTAAACATCAATACTGACACGTTTTTCTCACTGCCTAGTCCGAGCTGAACGAAGTTATACATCCTCTAAGAAAGGCTGGTGGTCCCTACCTTCCGTGTGCAGAAATCTTGGCAGATCTCATCCAGACCCTGATAGTAAGCCTCACTCACAACAGTTTAATGTCATTTTTCTTGCCAACTGTACGTGCTTTTTGTTGTTGTTTTTCTTTCTTTTGTGTGCTAAATTTTAAGTTCTAACGGTGTAGACAAGGTATACCTACCAAAGAGTACGGATAGTAGCTCCCGGTGTTGTGGTCTCGCCTTGTTCCCGAGAAAAATCCAAACTTGGGGGCACTTGCAAAATTCTAAACTACTCACTGCAATCCGGCCAAAGTCCCCCTCAAAGTGTTGTGAAGCGTAATATAGAATAGTAATATGGAGAATGTGCCATATAAATTTATCATCATCGCCGTCAAACCTTAACGGTTAAAACATCCTTGATTTCAGGAAAGGGAACGAAAGAAGCACCACCGGGACAGATTCCAGGCAAACCATTGTCACCATGCCATTCTTTATGAACAGGTGAGGAATGAGTCTCAAGCGGTCTTCTTGGTGAAGAAATGACGAAGAACAATTTAAATAGAGAGTGTAGCAGAAAAAAGTAGTTTTGAAGTGGTGTATCCAGCAAGATGAGTCAACCTCGAGTGAGGATTATACAGACCACTCATGTTGATGCTCTCTTTCTGCAGTGTCAAAAAGCAGTCGTAAGCGGAAGCTTGCCTTGTGCGGTTGAGGATTCTATTTACCTGAGTGCACTACAACTATATATTGAGGTAAGTGGACTAAACTTCGAGCATCTACAAAATAAACATTTGTACTCCGCTTTCAGAGCAGTCTTCAATTGAGTGTGAAAAAAAAACAAAACTAAACTAATCCCCGCAACCAATCGGAGCAAAGGCTTACATTATCATTAACCAATGAGAACTTAAGGGAAAACAAGCACACTGCTTAAAGCGCGGGAAAATTAAAGTGCGGGAAGACGCGGGTGGCAGTCGCGATTGTTTTTAGTTTTGAGCAGAGTTTCCCTCGTAGTTTTTGGAAGGTGTGAAACAAGGAAATATGGCTTAGTGCGGGTGCGAAGACCTTTGACAAAATAATTCAGACTGGACTGCAGACGATTTCATTACAACGCTATAGAGCGCTTGAGATTGAGCACCGTAGAAAAAAAGAACAGTTTTAAATTACCTCAGCCAGTCGCAACAAACTGAGGTGTTTGTTTGATTATCGCAAAAATAATCGAGAAGTCGATGTTACCAAATTTAACCAGAAAGTAACGATTGGTTTAAGTTTGGCATTTGATTGGTAAAGACGGTGGTGGTGCGAGTTTTCTGGACCAATCGAGGGACGAAAGGCGAAAAACGAAGGTCGACAGTCTGAAACAACAACAACAGAAAAACCACCAATTTAATCTCGTAACATATTTAAGACTAATCTAACAAGTGTTTATAAATCTGCACAGGATCTTCTCCCAGTGGAGGTGCGGGGAAAGCAACGTCTCTTTCAACCCTCCAGTAGAGAGAAGTAAGACCTTTTTTACAACATACCGAACGCTCTGAAGACACTTTTATTCATTCATTTATCTATTTATTTCGGTTATTTTATTCACTTTTGAACTCTTCTTACCCAGAGATGTTATTTGCGGAAATTGTGTTTTAGACTCGTCTGTCCTTGATGAAAGTTCATCGTGTTTTGAAGATGTTTTAATTATTCATGCGAATTTTTTTCTAGGTTATCAGTTTCTCGTATCAAGTTGAGTTTGCATCCATCTATGTAGAAAGTAAAGAATATGGGAAAAAGGTCAGACACATTGTAGTTTTAGATTCACCGTGACTTGTTTGCTTGTTTGGGTGTTTTCTATGTTAAATTAAATAAAATTAGTGACAGGAGGGGAAGAAAAAAAATCTTGTTGTCAGCGTAAAATTCTGTAATATTTGATTTTCTCTTGTACAGAATCAAGGCTCAGTACGAACAGTTTGTGACCAGCGGTATGTCGGAGAGGAATGGTAAACACAACTACATCGACTACTGTCAGGCTATGCCAGGATACGGCTGCCAGTTTTACAAGCTGAAGGTAAGCTTCTGAAACTTGGAAAAACAAATTTACAGGATGTATGTGTACCTTTTTGTTGTTATCTCTTTTTAATCTCTTTCCGCTGAAATTGCTTGAAATAGAAACGAAGCTGCCAAATTGTTGTTTACCATTCAAGTAGATAATTCTTGTCCGTATTTTATGAGGCTAGTTCACCAGGAAGTTTGCCACTGTGTGGTAATAAAAGAAAAGTTATGTTCGCTTGCATAAATATGTTTTGGGTTCAACTCAGAGTCACTTTAGCACGAACCGTTACGCGAGAGTTAAATTGAGTTCTGAGAAGGGCTAAACATATTCATGCCCAAGAATTTAAGTTATATTACTATTATTATCACTTTGAGGGCATGGAGAAAATAAGAACTGAAAAAAAAAAATGACAACCAAACAGTCTGAAAATTTTTGCGAACGAGCGAGCGGGCTAGCCCGCCAAAATCTCTATTTCAGCCCTACAAAGTGATAAAATGTTTTTTTTTTTTGTTCGTGTATTGCAAATGTCATAGGCGCCAATGAGGTTGAAAGGTTATTTTGAATAGTATTCAGTGGTTTAATTTTGTTATCATTCGCATTGGAGTGAAGATCTTGCCCACTGCAGCCATATTTATCGTTACTATTTCGAAGAAAAGTTTCTTATTTGTTTATTATATTAATTATTTTACCACGAGTAAGGGAACAAGAAAAGATCCAATTCTAGGCCACCCTTCTTAATCTATAACTGATTGCTACACGTTTTTGTTGTGTCCTAAGGAATGTTTGGGAACTGACAACCCCAGGGGTGGTCCCCTAAGATGTTACTTTGGGGTCAGTCCTCGGAAGATCACAATTTTGGACGAGAAAACAAAGGTAAGAGAAATATGTTATTTTTTAATTTGGACTTAAAAAAATTGTGTTCAGATGAAGCTACGATACTACGGATAAGGTCTGCAGTGCATAATTCTAGGTCAATATTTCTTTTGTATTGTTTAAAGAAGAAAATGGAGTGGTATTGTTTCAATTTATTGCACTATTGACTTTTATTAGGCTGTTATTGGAACGTGGCAGTCCAAGGAACTGAAAAGGTGGCGGTCTTTAGCAGAAGACACCCGACTCCGCTTAGAATTCATTAACAAGACGTTCGAATTTGTGTTAGAAAACAAAGGGTAAGCACCCTTAGTGAGCCTCACTTAGTTTTTCTCTGTAGGAACTGATTATGTAGTTCTCGAAGTTTTGAGATAATCAGATAATCGATGTGCACTCAGTTGACACTGATGGATTTTGGTTTTCTTGGTTAGTAATAATTTCCTATTCATTTCAGTGTGTTCAAAGAAATCAATGATGCGCTTCTGCTGTGCACTAAAGTTGAGTTACAGGTGAGTTGACCCTTTCGGTCGCATTTTTAAGATCACACTCTCGTTCTCCTCTCTTCTTGTCGAAACATGTCCTTTCCTTTCCAAGGAAATATCTCTGAAATGTCCTTAAATTTATCCCCAAAGGATGAAGAAGTTCAAATTGTCACCGGGTTTCATGTCTGGTTATTTCAGATTCTTGCGGGGCAGGATTTTTCTCCATGGAGTAAATACGCTGAGGAAACTGAAATGTGGGGACAACAGGCCTTGGAAGCTGTTGCTCGAAAACCTGCGTTTTACTCTGATAAGTATGAAAGCGACTCAGGGGTTTCCAGATTAAGGGCTATCTCCTTAGCTTCTTCTGTTCCTGATCAGTATGCAGCTAAAGTGAGAAGGCATCTGTCCACTCTAGCAAAGCTGTCTTCTTCCGCGCCGTATCAGCAAGGAGCATTACAGCAGAAATGTGACCGAGATGATGTCATGGCTCTAAAGACTAGTGCAGAGGCTGTTTTGCCTGCCACAGGTTTGTTAACAGCGCGTATGACAATTGCAATAGTGTTGTGTGAACTAATGGATCCTCATTTTAAACTCACAATTAAAAGTCTTGTATTGAAAACTAAGTGAACAAGGAGGTGTTTTCGAGGTTCATGATTTATAAGCTTTCCTCTTGTTCTCCTGCATCCCCCTTAGTTTCATCACTTCATAGAGCCCGGAAAATGTGTTCTATTGCTGAAATAATTTTTTTTTTTGACGTTTCAGGAGCAGCTATCTCAGTTGCTGGCAGTCCTGGCAACGTATCAGTGGCGTCCCATGCATCCGGAGACCTTCTTTTGGGCTCCTTACAGAGCACTTTAGACCCAAATAAGGGCTCTTGGGAGCCAGGGTCACTTCCGACAAGCGATCAGAGGAGACCATCGAGTAAGGAACTTGACGCGTGTTTAGGTAAAACTTTGGACGCAATGGCAGAGGGAAGAAAGAGAGAAATGAATAAATAAATAAATAAATAGATAAATAAATAAATGAATAAGCAATTGCAGCAGAAGTAATAGTGTTGTTTTAAAGCTAAAACAGGCCATGTACCCTATGAGTTTTTCTTCAGCTCTGTTGCTTCACTTGATTTGATGGGTTTCTTAAATTCTTTTACGGACAAACTGTTGTTTCATGGATCATCATCTAAATGCCTCATCATTGTTGCAAGATAATTTTGTTCGATGTCTTGAGCCAAAATAATTGAATTTGGACGGAAGAGGTATCTAGACATTTCTTTCATCGAGTCATCTTCGATAGCGTCATCTAAAAGCTAGCCACTACTACTGAGGGGTTAATCAAGACGTAGTTCCAAAGTGTTAATTAACTTTCATATGACGAATAGACGAACAGATGGTTGATTAATCTTGTAGGAAGCAGTGAAGCAAGCGCTGATGACTCCAATTCGCCAACAGAGCGCCACGCTCTCGACCCTTCGGGCTCTTTCCCTGTGGGACAGGACTTGAGGAATTTGGCATCCAGCGATCGCCGCCCCAAGTATTCAGCAAATAGTAACGCTTCTTCATTGGGGAGTGATACGCCCAGTTCAGGACAAACCACGCCCACGTACAAGGGACCGTTTAGTTCGACGCTACGCGACGATGACGATTTTGAAAGTGTAAATCGGTCTTTCGGTCAGAGCTCTAATGGACTGTTGTTAATTTGTCAATGCCCCCCAGACGCTGAGTTGCCGGGATTCGATCGGCGAGACTTCTCGTAAGTACATCTTGAGTATCGTTAGTAGATAATGTAGAAATAAAAAAAAAGGATGGGTGGGGCGGAGATATAAAGAGGGAAGAAAGAAAGGAAGGGGCAGTGTCTTTGTGGGTTGCAAGGAAGCTAGCAGCAGAGCGTTTGGGACGAGTTGTGAGAGGGAAGGTGGAAGAGTATTGTGGATCTTAATAGATGAAAAAGTATTAGAAAAGTTTGGGTTCTATGCTTATTACCTTTCTTATTTCGATGCAGGCCTTTTGACTTGCTTCAACATCCCAAGGAGTTGGCACGACAGATCACACTTATTGACCACGGTAAGTACAAAGTACTAGTTTCACACAATGGCCTGCATTCAATTGGTCATATTTTATTGTTTATTTCAACTGAAATCAGCCTGAATGATAATTTGACAGATTGTTCTATCTGGTCAAATGAATATCATTGCAAGATGTAGTTCACGAATATGTAGCCCTTCTCGATCTGGTTTGCGAGTTGTCCACCAGGAGCTTAGCAATCATTCTCTGTCAGCGGTCATTGTCACCAGTAGAGGCTCGAACGGAACGTCAGCGTTCAGAGCAGTCTGCGTAACACAGCGGTCAGACGTAAGGCATGCGCAAGAAGCTCAATCTGGGTCGCCCACGCGCCAATTTCCCACTTAAAATTTCTAAAGAAAACATAAACAATCGCTGTCACGCCATTTTTTTCGGCTTTCTTTTTCAGAGTGTTTCTGTGCAGTGTCGTCAGCTGACATCCAGAAGAAGATTGCCATGGGAACGGGCAAGAAACGGAAGGTGCCACCTGAAGAAAGACTGTCTGTGGAGAAAGTTGCTGACAGATTCAATCAGGTAATTTAATTAACAAATTTAGCTGTAACTTCTCTACGTGGAGGGCTCTTCGCTTTGTTTTCCAGGTCCATATTAGAATCTTAAGGCTTTTGGTTTTTGGAAGAGAGGAAAACCGAAGAAATCCGGGGAAAAACCCTTAGAGCAAGAACGGGAACCAACACAAACTTGCCCCTCATGTAATGCTGGGAGTCGAACCCAGGCCACAGCGGTGGAGATGAGCACTCTCCCCATAGCACCATCCTTACCTCTCCCGGCATTCCCCGAACAGCTTGGCGACCACCTTGTCTCTGTGTTTGCTAGTAATTCTACCCTGAAAATAAACGTGGTTTGACTGCAGTATCCAACATTGATATTCAAAGCTGAAGGAACTTACGGCTTACTGTTCTTTGCATTTTTTTTAGCTGAGTACCTGGGTAGCAGCCACGATTGTTACAGAAAAATCAGTGGAGAAGCGTGCCACAATGTTCATTAACTTCATCGAAACAGCCAAGGTAATGTCAAACATCCCATGAGCCACCAGGGCTTCACCTCATCCCTCCGCTACTTTTTGGAATCCCGAAGTGGATCAATTTGTGACCATTCACCTCGCAAGCCATGTGAGATTAGCACCAATGCCTTATTAGACTCGGCACTACGTGCAGCTGCGGGTGTGGTTTCTTCTTATCGTTTTACTTTTCTTACTCTCCCAGATGTCTTTTGACATTGTGATGTCTTTTGACATTGTGTTGTCTTCTGAATTTTCAGCTGTGTTTAGAGTTGAGAAACTTTAACGCTGTAATGGCTATTGTTGTGGCGGCTCTGGGCAGTGCACCTGTGAGACGACTTCACAAAACAAAAGAGGTGAGGCTCCAAGGCTTGTCCATCGCTGCCTTCCAGAACCAACCTTTCTGTTTCGTCAACCGGTTCACTTCCATTCTAAGTCTGTTCTTAGGCCTTCTGTTTTCATTGAGATCATCATTCAGAGCGCGAGCGAAATAAACATCGCAAGGATTTCACAAACGTGAACAGATGGCGATGGAGATGGAGAACGACAAAAGAAGTTTTCGTTCTCCGCGTTCATTCATGCGCGCATGCCTTACAGGCTTCTTTGCTTAACTCAAAGAAAGGGAACAGCTGGAAACAGACCATTCCTTCCCGCATGGCAAATACTTCATTTCTTTTTCTTTGTCAGACGGCCAGGGAAACCATACTATTAGTGCTGACTAGAAGTGTATTTCTATTTTTGTTTTTAGTCAACTTTTCTCAATTTTCAAGCACTTAGTTTTGCTTAGTTCTTGGTCTAGTCGAATGTTGGCTTCCTAGTTCACGGATGGAGTCACATTCAAACAAGCCGGATAGGTTTTCAGTCTTGTTATCTTATACTTGCAGCTCGTTCCCAAAGAAGTCCTAGAGCAGTACGCCAAGATGGAAATACTTATGGATACAAAAGTAAGTCTTGGTTGAGGTAAAACCATTATAGCTTAATCGTTTTCCGTTTTGATGATTTGCACCATTTTTGTCTCCTGTGCCTGACTTGGTATTACATTTAAGGAGAAACGACAATCCGCGGCAAAATAGTTGACCCCTCAACATTTAAATTGTGTTCTTCAGGAATAGCATGCCGTTTTTATCCGTAGTACCCTTACTTTCACCCCCCCGGCCAACCTTGGACGTTTCCTGAGACTATTTGGCTCGTTTAAAATTTGATTTCTTAATACTATCTTTCTACATCGGTTCTGATTTGGGTTCTCTGTTTCTGTTCTTTTAGGATAACTATAAACGATATCGACAAGCCCTTGGCTCTTCTCCTACTCCTTCAGTCCCGTACTTTGGTAAGTTTCAAATTTTCTAAGCTATTTAATCTTTGTGCTGTGAAGAGTTTCTGTTACTAATAAAGAAGAACACGGTGTTTTCTCGGCGCATGAAGTTGAGTGAAACTCCCCAGAACCAAAGTTTGATATTTACTGTCATATATTTTGGCATTCATTCAAAGCTGTTGTTTTCAAAGTTTCGCATTATTATTATTTTTTTTTGCTGCGCACGAAGTTTAAGCCGTGAAATGTCTTAGCCCCTTATTGCTTCACCTGCAAGCTGGCTTTCACTGGCTCTGCGGCGCAAGGAGCAGAGTCAGACAGTTCGCTGCTTCTCCGTTTGTACGTAAGTAGTTATGAAAAAACCGGTTTCGGCTCAATCCTGATAAATTTCTGATAATTTGCCAGAATAAAGGGCCAAGAGGGGTTTTCACAACTCGCTTCCACATTTCAACTGATCTCCGCGCCACTTGCGTTTCCGTTAATGATCAGTGATCTAATCGTAGTCTTTTTTCACTTATCGAGTGATTTTCGACTAAAATCTAAATATCTGATAGTTCACCGTGGGCCTCGCTGAAGTAAGTCGCCATTTTAACCTTTCTGTTTGAATTAATAGGTGTTTATATGAAAGATCTGACCTTCATTGCAGAAGGAAATCCCGACTTCTTTAAGGGTGGTCTCATCAATCTGACGAAACGAAGACAGGTAAATAATTTGTTGCATATCGTCATTTTGGGACGTCGATATTTACGTCTTTGTTAAGTGACGTAGCCACCATCCATGGAAAAAGAATTCTGTATCATTCCTCGTTGGAAACAGTTGCGCTTCCAGTTAAGTTTTACTTTGATTCCGCCACAGAACGAGTTAATTCCGTGTGATTTCTTAACCCTTTCACTCCTAAGATCTTAAGAGTAATTCTCTTTACTTGTGCCATACAATTCTTATTATGTTAGTGCGGAGAATTTAGTATTGGATCAACTAATAATCCCCTTGATTATGTTTTCTTTATTCTCATCACTTACCGACTTAATATTTATTTTATTTGTATTTGTATTGTAAGGAGAAACTCTGTATCGGTCACTCTTCGTCATGGGAGTTTAAGGATTAAAATAATCAACAAATTTTCGTAGATCCTGTACATTTTTTTTATGCGCAACTTTAAGGCCAAATTGGAAATTTTTTACTGTTACGATTATCTCTCTTTTAAACAGATTTACCTTGTGATCGATGAAATAAGACGTTTCCAGAAGGATGTTTATAATTTTCAAGAGGTAAGCCCGTTTTTCTTTTTTCCCTTATCGTTTGGTCATCACTTAAGCAGCATACAGATTTTTCAGGTTGACTTTCTGTTGTCGCTGTTCGTCGAGTGGGACTGGATCAGGGATGGCTAAGTGAAAGCTCGCTTCTATTGTTGTAGAGTATTTTGAAGGATTGCTATTTCGAGTAGTTTTAGGTTTACCTTTTGTTTTATTGAGTCTCGCCTTTTTACGCCTACGTGTTATTTTGGTAGATCTATAGTTTTGATCTTTTATTTTTAGTGTGTGCTTGAACTTGGCTCAGTTCGCGGATTTCTTTCTTGTCGTGCTAGAAATTTTAATCGCTTGTTATGGTCGAGAATAGTTAGTTTCATAGGTGGTCATGTTTGGGTTGGTAAAACTGACCTTGAGCTTTATCCACACTAAGATCCTGTTTTGTGCGCGTGATTTTCGTATGCAGCTCGATCACTGGCGTTTTAATTGGTTCTTTGGTGCTTGCCAAGTGCTTCGGAGCGAGCCACCCTACTTCCCCCCTTTGCAAAACAACGAATACACTGCGGAAACTCCCACGGTCAGCTAACCCAAACATGTCTACGATTTTCCAACTTAAAGCGTTGGTTCCTCACGCTAGAGCATGATGATGATTATTAGATGCATAGAGCGTTACTGTAGTAACTCTCCAGAAGAGAATAAAGAAGAAATTACAGAGTCTTGATACCTTTCGTTAATTCGTCCAAGCGAGTTGGTAAAAAGCCCCAACACTATTCGTCCAAGCGAGTGGTAAAAAGCCCCAACACTATTCTCGAGACCTCGTCCAGTAATTTTGATTTCATGACATTGACGTTGATCTCGCCTTGTTGCTTTCGAATGTTAATGCCTTTATGGTATCCCGTCTCTTTTCAGGTGTCTGAGATCCGAGACTACCTCGCCAACGAGAAGATTCACACAGAGAAAGAGCTGTATGATATCTCGTGCCAGTTCGAGCCAGGCCTCCCTCGGAGACACTCTGAAGCCGACAAATCCTCCATATCGCGCCCAGTCCCACAGTTCAAGTCGAGCACGGTCGGCCGCATGGCGGGAAAGAGATGTATGAGTCTGTCCCGGAGCTCGACCTTGGAAGCCGCCATGCCAGATTCAACGTGTTAACGTCACACTGACGTCAATAAATTTTTGACGTCACTAAAGCTTAAAAGTATGACAGTGAAAGTGCTGCTTTGGAAGAAAAGATTTATCGATAATAATTTATCAAATTTGATTATAATTTATCAAAACCTTTTGACAGAGGGAACGGCACATTTGGAAATTGACTTTGAAGTCTTGCATTGTTTCTCTGATCAATTTCAGTGCGAGATGCGAACGTATTTTGTCCTACAGAGATGTATACACTGATATGAAGTTTTTCATGTTGTAAATAGTTTTACGTAGGTCCAATTGTTGTTTACAGTGATGATTTTATAAAGCTATTTTCATGGACTTTGAACTCGTTCCGTTGGAAAATCGTCATTCTCAGCCCCTTGTTAGCCTAACACAAGGTTTCGTCTTACGTCTCTACTGTCATATTTATTTATCCACATTTGAGTCTCTGAGGGTCGTAACCTTCATCCTATGAATAAATTGCTGTATTTACAGTGGACGTTATTAAAAATAGACTGTAAGAAATCTCACTAAGAAATTACGTCAAGGCACGAAAATATTATAGATAGCGTGCGGTCAACGGGGTAGGTCGCCAAGTTTCATTCATGTTCATTCCGTGACAGTTACACGTTAAAATTAGATTACGTTACTACAGTATATTTGCGTTTAAGTCTTGCGTATCGCCGTTTTTGGAAGACTTAATATTATATCCGAAGTAGTATTTTATTAGCAGTTAACGTGAGCGAATCTAGAGACCTTTAAGAGTTAAACATGGATTACGAGAATGGCGACGTTGACTAAGAAACAGATGTAAAACTGAGTTATTGAGCTATGACAACAACCGTGACTGTCAAAATCACAGCTCTCTAAGTTGACGAAATCTATTTCTTTTTTCCAAGAAAACGTGAGTTTGTGTGACGGCACACGAAGCGCGACCACGAAGCACGCATCCGATGTGATGGTAACAAGCAGATTTTAGACAAAATTGGAGTCTAATTAGACTCGTGATTAACAAATCGTACCGATCTAATTTTTTTTCAGTGAAGTATCACGAGTCTATCGGACTCGAGAGTGTCAGTTGTGTCGGATTTTGCAGGCAATGAACCTAGTAGCGTCTCTTTCATAATCGAATCATTCAAGGAAGGATTTTCTTTTCTTTGCTCCTTATCATTTGTCGGTGTGGGAAGTTTGTACCCCAGGGTGTAAACAGATCCTTATGATATCTCATTTCGTTGCCGAGAGTCAGGGAGAGTGGAAGGACACAAAGATCGGCCAGGTAGAAATTCTGAGTCGTGGGGTTACATTGAAGGCACCTGATGATCTATGAGACGGCCGTGAATCGCCAAAACATGATTTTAGATGTGACTAACAACGCGACATTGTTTCAGTTTTTCATAGCTGAATACTGGAAATTGACCATTGAACCCCTTTTTAATGAGTAGAAAGCTATTTTTCTAGCCTCACTTCACTCCGAAATCTGTGCAGAGATCCTCATAGACTTTTATGCCTGTATACTAAAATGGTTCTTTAAGCTCTTTCGGACGGAGCATACCTGCCGAATGCATCCCCCTTAGGAAGTTTGTTGCAATTCGTGCCGGTTGCCTCCTAAGCACAAATAAGAAATTAAGCAGATCACGGACACGAATTATCTTCGTGTGAAATACCGCATTTCTTGAAAAGCGCCCACGCTCTTATATCATTACTCCCTCTCTCGTTTACCCAGTAGGCTAGAATATCAAACAAGCGCAACTCTTCGAATCAACGTCCCCACCTCTACCTTTTCCCTCACTGTCTTAGATACCAGGGATGTAGGAAGAGTTGTTTCTAAATGCCACTTTCTTTATAATGTGTTTCTTTGAATAAGTGCCCACGCTCCAATGAGCGCTCTCCTCCCAGTAAGTACCCCACACCCCCTAGGCCACGATATCAAACAACTGTCTTAAATGGAAGGGATAAAAGAAAACCTGCTTCTATTGCTATTTCGTAACATGTTAAACTTCAGCTACCGCGGAATCAGTACAGGTTAACAGTTTCTCATTAAGTGCCCTTTTCGTTTCCGAGTTTGTAGGCTCAGCCTATCGTGAATCTCACATGATTACTTGGTATTCAAAAGTCAAGCAAATCACGTTTGTCTGCGATTATTTCTTGAAAATTTCCCGGTAAGTGTCAGTGTTAGAGTGAGTTATTCAAAACTTACTGAAATCGAGAAGTCAAGAGAAATGTTAAAATTACTTCTTGAAACACTTCTGCGTCCGCCATTTCAGGTATGACAGAATTCTAATTTTTGTTCTCCCGATTAGGTTTTTCAAGCCCGCCAGACCAACCATTGAAGCAGCAGGGAAATGTTTTTACGTTTAGGTTGTTTTAAGGATATAAGATGGTCGTGTAGATTAAATAATCGATGCCATGCATGGCTACAGTGAGCGCCAATGTCGATGAGACAGACATTCGCGACAAATTATGTCGATGACCAGTCGATGTTCGTGACAAGGACATTTTAATTTCGGGTTTCATTTCTAGTCCATTATTTCACGGTTTGGTTTTCATTGGTGTTTTTTATGCTACGAATTGTGTATAACTTGTTTTCAATTGTACTCTCCGAAACTTTTTTTTAATGGGAAGTCGAGAGGACCGCTAGTAGCGAGAGCGCCACTTAAATTTATCACTCGTACAAGACCATAGCGTTCGAGCTCTCAAAAGAACATTCGCATTACACAACATGGAACGACACAAACATAAGTCGGAATACGAACAATCGAACACAGGACCAACAAAGCAACAGCGACGTTTTGGCGAACATAATTAAAAACACGTAACGTAAACACAATTCGTATCATCAAAAACATCAGTGAACAAATGTGGCGGTAATCACCCCTTATTGTTTATTCACACCCCCAAAAACTCCTTATTTGGTGTGCGTCAGCCTGAAGGGTACTCTGCTTCAACGCGTGGTGGTGCGAACTTGTGTTGGTAATCAACAACGAAAAGCATTTTACCCTGGCTGTGTCTTTTTTCTGTAGGGAAAACTGAAAATGTCTGGAAATCCAGAGCGAAGGTAAGGGTATTTGTTTCCGGCGAAACATCCCAGAAAACGGCTGCGAAGGAGACTAGCGAAACAGGGAAAAGCTAAAAATATCTTCCGAAAGCAAACCACTTACTCCACGTTCGCGAATTCGGCCGGTCCGAACCAGATTATGTGTGATAATTATTTTTTGTGTTTTCGAGTAAGTTTAATGTGTTTTAGCGTTTGTCGGATGACAGAGATATTTTTAAGAATTAAGTTCACATTGGTGACAAATTACGGTTGAAAAGGTGTGATAGGAACATCTAAATTTTGCATTTGTTTGTATTTGCGTGTTACAAAAGTAAATGTACAGGTCATGCCAAAGCTGACGTTGTACATTTAACTTTTTGTTTAACCACAACAGCGAAATTGCATCGAAGTTTTGTTTTTAAAAAATTTACATGTGTTTGTGGTTGGCGTAAGTAAGGTCAAGTTCGGCCGTATTGTGAGGCTAGGTGTTAATTGCAAACCATATTTAAAAGCGGATTTAATTTTCCAGTTAAGCTTTCACATCTTTCAAGGTAGCTTTAAGCTAAAACTATTAAACTTTAAACTAAAACTTTTAAAAATGCAATGCTTCCTGTCAATTGAATCGCAGGCAATATGAATAGGGAAAGTAATTATAATATTAATAAATTTTAATCGAATGCCTGTCAAAGTTACCTGCTAACTTTAATGCTAATTTATTTAAGACTGATTGGCCATAAAGCAATGTTGTTAATGAATAAAGGTATAATCTTATTCCGTATGAACTAACAAGACAGACATATGCACCTTTATTTTTTAAATGACTTTTTTAGGCATGACTTCTAAAACTGAGTGATATTAATGTTTCTCAACTTTTTAGGAATCTGCAGAGTATTTTAAACAAAAACAAGTTTTGAAAGTGTGGCATAAATTAATTTTTAAGCCCTTTTGCTGCAGATTTTGTCTTCTTTTGCCTGTCAGCATGGCTCATGGTATACAACCTCGCCTGCAAATGACTTCACAAAGTAAAGAATAACTGTGTGACACACAGAAAGTGTTATTTAAAGAAGTGTGTTTATCAAGAGCTAGAAACAATTTTAATTGGTAGAGCAATTTTCAGCTGAGTATCATGAAGCCTAAATGTAATCCTGGATTTACTTTCCACAATCAGATGAAAATTCCCTAACGTTGTGTTTGTTTCCATGCTCACTCTCTATTAACTCAGAAGTAAAGCAACATTTCTAGCTAGATTAACATTTGGCTTGACAAAAAGCCATCAGTGCTAAATTGTTTTTGCAAATATTTGCCAATTGTCATGTGGTCTTTGTTTAATGAGTACAGCCAAAGTATGGTACATCTTTGGCTTTTGTGAACGATACTTTAATTGTCCCTTGCTGGTGGTGAGACTAAACAACATTTGTTCTAAAAATATCATAGCTTGATACAATTTGCATTTTGATACCTGATTCCTTTCCCCATTTTTCTTTGAAATGATGCACAGTTTCATACTTAGACAAATGCATTTTCCTAACTGTATATTTTTTTATGGATGTTTTTGCTGTCTACCGTTCCTACTATACTTTACCACAGACTATAAAATGATGTGAAAGTTTTTACATGGAAAATTACATTATTGCCCTAGCTTTTCCATTTTGTGGTTAAAATGCATCATTTATTTAGCTTTAAATTTACCTTATATGGCAAGGCAGTCCTGAGTCAAATCCAAGCATTATGATTGGGTGTTCACTTGGTCAGGGTTTTGCTATATGAACAGTTTCCACAGAAACAATCATTAGCCATGTCTTTTTGTTAACTAATGCCACAAATTCAAAATAAACAAGTTTGGTCCAAGTGCCGTGTAACAAACTACTAACTAACTTGGCTTAATTGCTTGAGCCGTGGTAGGGAATATTGGCTCTTGGTCATTTTTGTACAGACCTCACCCTGCCCAGTCCATACTGCCACCACCTTGGGCCAATATTCTGCAGTACAGCCCTAGTGCTTGGTCAATGTGTAATTATTGTTTTTTCAATGGTGAAGTATATTGAGAATGAGCCTGAAATGATTAGAAACCTTTGAACCAAGGATGAAGCTAAACAACAACATCACCACTGTATACCTTAAAATGCATACATAAAAAAAAAGTTATTTCTCTAACCTAACCAGGGAAATCAGTTTTAGGAAAGCATATTTGTGTATTCAGTTATGTGAATGCAATAAATACAGCCCATTATTACTCTAGTTAGGGTTTGTTACACTTGTTTTGTTGTACATCAGCCCTTAAAATCACTGGATAGTGGTGATTCTCTGCACCATTTCAGGCATCAAATGTCTGATCACGTTTAAGTTTTGTGCAGTTGGTGTACGTGGAATCAATCAATTCCCTATAATTTTCTATTTTATCCTTCAGTTTCTCATCGCTTGTCTGCCGTCACTTATCTAAGGAGAAAATATCTCTTGGTCACTGCTGAACAGCTTTTTTTTTTTCTTTATTCAACAGATTTGAATTTAGTCACGAATTTGACATTGTCGAAGAAATTTGTAATACAATTCTTAATCAAACCAAACATCGACCTACGGTTGGTATAATATGTGGCACTGGTTTGTCATCATTGGGCGACATTGTCGAGGATAAAGATGCCATTCCATATGGGAAGATCAAACACTTTCCAAAGAGTACAGGTACATACTCAATCAAAGATCTGTCATATTTGTCCTTTGTGAGTAAATTTAAGCCAGTCATTTTTGCCCTACTTCATCAATGTAGATTAGAATCATCAATCTTACTATAAGAATCTCCATTGCCAACTAACTAAATTAACTATTTGTTACAAGTTAAAAGAACTATTTCGTAACATTTCAACTGTTTAAATTGCTGTTCATTGTTCAAAGTTTGCAAGGGTAGGCAAATGCTAAAAACCAAAAAATGTGAAGGAAACCAGAGTTTTAAATGATACAAAAGACTGACATGTATTCCAAAGAAGAAGGTTGTACAATTTTAAGTCACATTTACATCCAATTTCATCAAAGTTATGACCTCCTTTGATTCCACCTTTGTGCTGATGAAACTTTTGCAGAAAATATTCTTTCCTCCTGCAATTGATCATTGTGAAATGTGTGTTTCCCATTGCACTTTTTGACGTATTCAACTAATGTTTTTGTATACTCATGCAGTCAAAGGACACATTGGGCAGTTTGTGCTGGGTCTCCTTAACGGTAAAACGGTGGTAATGATGCAGGGGCGCACACATCTGTATGAAGGATACTCAGTTGGAGAGGTTGGTTAGCTTTATATGTTTGGAGTGTTCACTTAGTGAAAAAAAATTAAGAAGAGACTGTTCATAAAATGTGATTTTTTTAGTTCTGTCCCTGAAGAGATTAACAATCATGTAACTGTTCCTTGTAATATCCATACATTATCCAGCCAACAGGTAATGAGAATACTCAAACTTATCAGGTAGAGGTTGTTACCTTGATCTACCACTGAATTCTTGTAACTAATTTACAAGGAAATGTGTAGCAGCTAGAGGGGAGAATTACAAATTAGGTCTTAGTCGTAATGAAGAGTTACAACTTAAGCAGCAAGAGTCGCCACACCTATTAAATCAGAAACTCCTCTGGCTTGACTCTCATCAAGTCTTCTGCTTGAGTAGTTGAAATATTATGCAGTCATTATCATTTAAGGCAACTCCTTTCATTTCTACTCTACCTGCTGGATACATTTAATTAGACAGACTACCTGATGAATGGATCCCTTACTGTTATCATAATTGATCATCTAGATGATGTTATTCGTACTGTATCACAGATCACTCTTCCAGTGCGTGTGATGATCCACTTGGGTGTCAAGACTTTGATTGTCACTAATGCTGCTGGAGGACTAAACAGAAGTTACAATGTTGGTGACATTATGGTTATCAAAGATCATATTAATCTTGCTGGACTTGCTGGGGAAAATCCACTGAGAGGAGTTAACGATGAACGGTATGCTTACCTTAAATTTTATGACCTATATTCTTCATAGTTATAATTTGCTTGTACTACATGCATGTCTCAGGGTTGTGGGTATAATTAAGTAATCAGGTATGTGATCATTTCAACAGATTTGGTCCAAGATTTCCAGCCCTTTCTGATGCATATGACAGATCCCTTGTTAAGACGGCTATTGATACAGCCACTGAGTTGGGCTATTCAACATTCATGCAGGAAGGAGTTTACTGTGCACAAGTTGGGCCAGCATTTGAGACTCCAGCCGAATGTAGATTCTTAAGCTTGGTGAGAGACCATTTTGATCATTTGTTCTGTAAGTTAGAGATCAACACCTAATAGCTGCATTTAAGTAGGGAAAGTATTTCTTAAGATATTTTATAAAGTACTTAATATGCTCTTGGATATGTGAAGTATTAAGGAATGATGTGGACATTTGATATGTAAATTTTGTGGCATTAGCATGGCCTTAGGAGTCAGGGGAAAGCATGGATCTTATTGATGAAATAGGAATGATTGTTAGATATGGCAGTTTATTCTGCCAAATAGAATTGGAGTTATTTCTGGTAATTGCAGATGTAGATTGCTAACTGGCAGCAATGAAAAAAAGTTGGGGGTGTGTGTAGGAAAGTAAAACCAATGGAATCCTTAATTACTTTCCACTCTCCACCAAAAGTTGTTTCCCTAAACCACACCATTAATCAAAACTTTTTTGTCAGGTTGGGGCAGATGCTGTTGGAATGAGCACAGTGCATGAAGTGGTGGTAGCAAGACATGCTGGGGTAAAAGTTTTAGGCTTCTCTTTAATAACTAATGTTGCCGTCATGGGTTATGAGGACAATGCTAGTGCTGCCAACCATCAAGAAGTGCTGGAAACTGGAAAGCAAAGATCTTCTGACATGCAGAAGCTGGTGTCTGCCATTGTTGGTAAAATGTAACTAGTCTGGAGGCTCAAGGTATTAAGAATAAAATTTTAATGATGTAATAAGAAAAATCCTTGCATCCCAAGGATACAGACTAATTATAGGTAAGTTTTTAATCAGGTCATCCCCATGAAATGTTGTTTCTTATTGCCCAATGGCTACCTACCCAATTTTTTTGACAATTATTTTTGAAAATCTTTGATACACTATACATGAAGTAAACTTTTACTGTGGATGATACCAGGAGAAAAATTATCTTGAATCAACCTGGAGTTAAGTCACGTATTTATTCCAAAAACTATCATCATGGTAAAAGCAAATCACAGGCAAAAGTTCTCTTCTAACAAAAATCACTCCCTTGTTCAATCAGCTCCTTTGGTTGATTTTCTTTTCTTTTTTAGCCACTATCTCCATAGAGAAGGAGATAGGGCAAGAAACTTCTTATAATGGTGACGACCTCAATGATAATAGATACTTGGGATATCCAAGTGAAAAACACGTGATACCTCTTAACTCTAGTATTTTGGGGTGATATTAAATTTTTATTAAATGTGAATTTGAATGCATTTCTTTTGATTTTTTCCTCTCAGTCTTTTTGTAAAAATTCTTTTACCAGGAGCCTAGAATAGGCATTTTGGACTGGATATGTCTTGGTCAGTCAAATGTTCCCAAAGTGTTAGTCTCTCCTAAAATAGACTTCCCATAAAAAGCTACACCAAACGAAATATTAATAATTGTGCAAGTACAGCAACTTTAGTTTACAATTTGAAAAGATGTGAAGCATAATTTGGGGAAAACATAACCCTTGATTCTCTGATAGCCATATTGTTCTGTTAAGACTGAAAATAGATAATTAATCTATGAAAACTATCTTCTTTATAACTTTATCTGTTGTATGTAATAATGGTAAGAAATGACTGTAAGTAAATGGTATTATGAACGATATTTTTCTTTAGGCAATAGTCTTACAATAAAGTTATTAATTCTAATTTGATGAGGACTAAAACTTAACAACAGTAAACTGTGGACTTGCAACCTTTATTTGATAGTCCCATATTTGCTCCAGGTAGTAGTAATATTTTATCTGGTTTTTGACAACCTCATTGGGAATAATTATTAAAAAATTCTATAATAAATTTTCCAAAGAATAAATTAATTACTTACAATATTTTGATTTTTTTAGTTTTTTTCAGTTTTTTTTTTTCAAGTGTTCCCAAAATCCAAGGAACACTTTTCAAATTAGACAGAACTTTGATTATTATTATAATATCTGTATAATTGCTGAGATGATTGTGGAGATGCTATTCACATGTTCTGATTGGTTGGGCTTAACATTTCACAGCAGTTTTCAAAGTAATCTCAGCAACCAGTGAGAACAAAGGTTTACCTTATCATTAGCCAATGAGAGCTGAAAGTAAAAAACAAGCAAACCACTGGAAGCATAAAAAAACTCTAATGACCAAGGAGATATACATTTTACTGTTGCATCTGATTGGTTTAAATGGTGATGTAAATTTTCTAGACCAAATACAGAGTAAGTTAAGTAAAACCAAAGAATTGGGGATTACTTTCAACTCTCACTTTAAAATTGCTCTGACTATAATATTATAATTATCAGTCACAGATCTAGAGTACAAGTGTGACATTTAAGAACTCATTTTCAAAATTTTCACTGTGCAATCTTCTGAATCTCTGAAGAAGAAAATGAAGGAAAATCAAGTTTTGACTGGTATTCCTTCATATTTAATGGTTCTAAAATATTAACTGGAGGTATTTACTGAGGTATATTTTGTGAAAATAGTAATACATAATGCACTGTAAAGAACAGTTGGATATAATATTAAAGTTGGTTTGAATGGTACAGTTGTCAAAGTATTTTCTTTCTATTATTATTATAATTTTTTTTTTTTGGAGGAAAACTCTCGAGTGTTGTTTTTAGTTATCATATAATTTTTTTCTATGACCAACCCAGCCCAAAATCTCTGGAAAATACCCATCCTTGAATAAAATAATACATATGTAACAAAATCCTCACAATTTTCATTTAATACAAATGTAATATCAAGCATTTCTACAATTCAAGAAATAATTTGTTAGCTTAAATTTAATTTTCAAAATATCCCTATAATAACTATAATAATTGTCATAAGGAAAGTCTTAATAGAAATTTTACAGATAAATAACTTGATTTCCTGTCCGAGGTCCTAGCCTCTTCTATCTCTGTTCATGAATATTCAGTTCATACTCTTCATTATCATCATCACTTCCATGTTTATCTTGATCTGTGAGTAGCAGGCCTTTTAGTTCAATATCACCATTCAACTTGAGTTCCTCTATCTTGTGTTTCCCTAACTTTAAACTCTCTGTATCTGAAAAGAAAAATTATTTAGAAGTTTTAATTTTATATTTTGAACAAGGAAAGTTGCAGCATACTGTAAGGTATTTGAGTCAATCATTGACTATGCAATTATCCAGGAAGGTATAATCACTTGAGAAGTGCTTGCTTGCATTGCCCACAGATTGAGTTCCCACTACAAGTCATCTCACAACAGTGATTTCCACTACCATGCTGGTTATACGAATGTGTTTGATGGTTTGCTGTTAATAAGAGTCCAAAAGTGTCTTTGTGTTCTGTGACACCTACCTCTTGTTGCCTTTGCCACAACATGGACACTAATTCCAATTAGACACAAGACAAGTCCAAAAAAGTTGACAGTAGTCATTCTATCCCCTGCAAACTCAGTGGCTAGAGACAATGTACAGATTTCCTTTAAAAAAAAAAGGAAGGGTTCATGTGAAAAACAAATAAAGCAACTAGGCTTACATGTTACACAAGAATTAACCTTATCATAGAGTAAAGGAACTGGAGTGAGCAGTAGGACAAAAGTATCCACAGCCACCCTAAAAAACAGTCACTATTAAAAGCACTACCACACTGAATTACTCCATTGATTACAATTCCCTTGCCAAACCCAAACCTTGTCAGAGAGACAGAGAATGAGAAAGAAAAGACTTGCTAAATGAGCAAGACTAGTGACCTAACATAATGCAAAAGTCGTCAACCCTGAAATTCACAGGCGGATCCCTGCTTACTGTCTTGAAACAAAACTTTGATAAATTTCTGACATCAAGCCACATCACATCTACTGGTGGTACATTGCACTGATATTAGGACATAAACCGTTAGGTTTTTAGCTTGTACAATCATGTAACTGCACAGTAACTGATCCTTACTTGTGCTGACACCTTTCAGTTTACCTTAAATATTCCTGATATGGACAGCGTTAAGCTTGATGTATGAGAGAGAAGAAGAAACTCAGAAACGCTGATCATGAAGGCTAAGAAACACCCAAACATCACCATGGCAATGGTCACCCATAAGGTATAACTGTCTGAAGCCCTGAAGAGCTTTGGTGACATGGCTAAGTTTTGTCCTACAGAATTACACATAGTAAGTAAGTCTTGAGCACTCTAACCAACAAACGTTTCTAGTTACAATGATAAGGTTGAGATCGGACGTCAGAATTATCAAGCGCCTCTGGCAGCCACTTCAGTCCATGTAACGATCTCACCTTCCTTCCCATCCCACCCCACCCCAGGAGAGGACATCCACCACACAGTAATCTCATGCGTGGGAAATTAACGTCTCCTACCCCCTAACCTTGCAGGAGAGGGGGCCTACAGTCTATTCATCCTTATCCGAGAAGACTAGAATATCTATTCATTTCTTGATATTATAGAAAGGTAGCAAATTCTCCTCACTTATTTTAAGACCATGAGTATTGGTCCGGCCAGGGCTCGAACCCTCGACCTCCTGCACAACATAATCTGGCCCTCTAACCAATTGAGCTAACCGGGAGGCGGATAAACAAACATAACAAACCTTTAAAAAATTAAACCTTAAACACTCTGACATCTGTATGCATTTACCCTTGGTTATCAGGGGTTTCATTAAGGGCGGGATACCGGGCAAATTGATCGGTAGTGAGGACAGTTTTGCCCACCTGGTTTGACAATTTGGAGGAAAATTTATCTTATACATGTAAAGAAGTTCAGTTCAAAAAGTTTTGCCAGCCTGTGAAAACCAGTTTCCCTCCTGCTGAAAACATTAATGAAACCCCAGGGTTATTGATCATTTCTTTATTCTTAGTGGGTGATTCAAGGATGATACTGTATGGAGAGATTACACGTAGACACTAGTCACTCTTGGGGTCAAAGAGTTAAACCAGGGCTTGACACTAACTTTTCAACTTACTAGCCAAGTGGCTAGTGACATCTTAGATGTTTTTAGATGTTACGACAATTTCAGTCTGTTTACTAGCCAAAACTGGCTTGTGGAAATTGAAAACCACTAGCCAAAACTGAATTTCTACTAGTCTGTGGCTAGTGGGCTACCGTTAGTGTCAAGCCCTGTTAAACATTAATTAAGCACTTGTCGACTTTGTAAAAACAATTTTGCAGAAGAGTAAAAACCAAAAAATTGTAGAGTAGTTCTGTAGTAACTACATATGTCAATAAGTGTTACCAAAAACTCCTTGATTTGCTAACTTATTACAAATATCAATTCATAATTCAGCAATAGACAACATATTTTCTGTTGATTTACCTACCCTCTATGTAAAATGCCAGGGGAATCATGGTTAATGTCATAAAAGGTTGTAGATGATAAAGCGTATCAAGGGGGTTGTGAAGACCTACAAAAGGATAAAAATAACTACAGTAATTTAGTAAGACCCTAACATAATAATAATAATAATAATAATAATAAATAATAAATAATTTTGCAATGGACATCCACTGGGTGGCTATCCTTGTCCACTGTTCCAGATCGAATTAGAATTTGGAAAGTTGGTTTTTGAGGAGGGAGAAAAACTGGAGGACCCGGAGAAAAACCCTCCGAGCAAGGATGAGAACCAACAACAAACTCAACCCACATGAGATGCCAGGTCCGGGAATCGAACCCAGGCCACAGTGGTGGGAGGTGAGTGCTCTCACTCCTTTGCCATCCCTGCTCCCAAGTAGAGTACAGTCGAACCTGTATTAAGGGTCACTGTACTAAACAGTCACGCTCTACTAAGCAGTCAGTTGTCAGAGTCTCAAATTTGTTTCCCCTTAATCACTGCAATTTTCACCTCTACTTCCCAGTCACCTCTATCAAGTGATTGTGGACACCTTTGAGTGGGTACCAATGGCCTGTTTGTATCAATTGTCTTCTACCTGTATTAAATGGTCACTAATAGCTGAACCACTCAAATAAAATTAATAATCTTTCAAGTAAAATTTAATCCATGTTTCTCTGCCAAAATCAAAGTTAGTAGTCTTTTTGAACAAGTTTTTTAACATTGAGCTATAGCATAAAATGGCACTTTATTTGTATTCATGATATTACTCCTATTCTGTGGAACCTATTTTAAGTGGTCAACCTGAACTGAGCAGTCATCCCACCATTCTCCACAGGTGACTACTTCATACAGGTTTGACTTTATTTGTTTTATGTACAGTGAATACTGTTTTGAATGCACCAGTTAATTGAAGATAATATTTCTTAAATTGCTACCTTTTAAAATGTTGGTAATCTCTACTAATCATGTTAACAAGACCCACACCTAAATCTTCTTTCTGTGTTAAAATCTGTGCAAGCGTCCACCGTAAGCCGCTCAGTCCTGATGCAGTTAACACCTTGAAGATGAAATACACCATAATGAAAAATTAGAATCATCTTGTACGCTAACCTTTTGTGTCAGTGTCATTTAGCTAAAAATTGAAAACAATGACGGACAACTACACCCTCCTGATAATCATAGACAAACTAAACAATTTCCATCACTGGAGAGTAGAAAAACAGAGCACTTCAAATAAAAAATATTTTTGCTATTATTATTAACTTACCAAGAGAAATCCCTCAGTATTGAATTCAGTAGCCTCATAAGTGAATAAAAACAAGCCACTAGCAATTAACAGGATCACAGCCACTAATGAGAAGTTCTGTCAAACACACAAAGAAGAATAAAGTAGTAGTTACTGACAGAGGTACAGATTATCCTGTGAACATCTCCATACTCAGTACATATATCTTATTAACCAAGCGTGAGGGCCGTATTGGGAGAATATCGGCCCGAGGTCTTGACAGTACAGACCTAGTGCAGTGAGGTCCATTCAAAAAAGAACGAGGGCTGATATTCTTCCATTACGGTCCCGAGCAAGCTTGGTTAATAAGAGATTTGTTATACGACTGAAGTTCAAAGGGACACAAGTGCGGTATCATTTGGGACCATTCGGGACAGTGCCTGGTCCAATAATGAGAGAATATTGACTGGCAATAGAGCATTTTGATTGGTTGATTTTAGTTATTGGCCCTCTGACTGCCTGAGTCGTGTAATAATGTTTTTTACGCGATTGACTGCACTTCCTATCAGTTCACTGGGTGGGTAATAACCCATGTTGGGATACTAGGAGAACATGAGAAAGGTTCAACTTTGTAAAACATGAGCCAGAGGTAACGTACAAGATAAACTTTAATTTCAAGTGGTGACAGCCGGGTGATCATGATAGTGAATCCTCCTCAATTTTTTTTTGCCTGAAAATAGATAGTATTGTTAAAAAAAAATTGAAGCAAAAGAATCTGCATCACAGATTTTTTTTTAATCTGAATCTTGGCTAACTAAACTGGGGTACATTTTTTTATTACTTACCCAATGCTCTAGTCTGAGAACAAGAGCAAACATGAGAATGAAGACAACGCTTGTAGATTTAGTCATGGTATATCTGAAATTATTAAAAACTGGATCATTGGATAATGCAATTCAAGACTTTTTATTGGCTTAGCCATATGGTATATGAGCCAATATACCATAATCTAATATCTGTACACTGTAACATCCGGTTTCTTCTTACAAAATAAAGTTGAGAAGATTTGTCTAATATCTTGGGGGCGTTTTTTTTTTATAAAACAATTATTCCACTCGCACATGTTGGATATGAGATGAGTATAGCCAACTCAGCGCTACGTGCCTCGTTGGCTATCTGTCATCTCATATCCAACACACGCTCGTGGAATAATTGTTAATTAATAAGGTACCTAACATTACTTAATATTAAGGTGATCTCTTTTTATCCAAATCATGCTGATTAGAGGCTTTATCTGAATCATTACAGTTATGTACTACATCTCAATCTGTCAAATTAACAAAAGCAGGGATTTGAACCGAATTGTTTAAGAGCAAAAACCTGTCTTCTTTATAACACTCATTTCATAAAACATTTATAGAGGGTGCCAGAATCTCAATTATAACTCTTCACACAATATAAATCATGGTTTTCATGCTCTTTATTAAAAAAAAAAAAAAAAAAAAAGAAAGAAAAACTCAGTAATTCTAATCAGCAGTATCAGGTAAATCCACATGGCATTTGTACTTTACCAAAGGGCCAAGAGTAATGGAGATAAATTCTTCTGTGTTATAACAAAACTATTTTTTTTTTTCTAAAAGAGAAAGAACTTTGCTCTTATTATCAAATTGACATAAAATTTCTGCTAGGCAGGTGGTCACTGCATGTAATTAGAACCTGAAATGAGATATCGATGATGCCTTTAGTTCAAATATTATGTTTACATCTTTAGTTAGTCAATAAGTTACAAAACACTTCAAACTGATCACTTGGGAAAAAAGTTAATCATTGTGCGCTAAAGGTATCTTAATCAGTCCCTCATTCTTTCCACTCACTCAAGTAAAAGATACCAGTGGAACCTGAAAAAATAAAATGTTTTTTTTGTATAACATTTTAAATTAATATCCTCTAATTAATGAAAGATTCATTCTGCCAGAAAATACTTACAATGACACTGTGATGAACATCAAGCTCCAGTTAGAAAACCCAATATCCAAAGCACAAGCTATTGCTAGAAAAAGGAATGAAACAAATCAGTCTTCACCATGAGTACTAATATCCTTTTCACCTACATGTACAGTGTAACTGTAATATATGGCAAAGTTTAGACACACTTAGTATACTCATATTATAACTGGAAAAAATGTATTTTGCTCATGATAGGATCTGCTGCAAAATGTTTTCTCCATAGGGGTTATATTAAATATCAAGTATTTGAACGACAGCATTACATTTACAGAGCTGCTTTAATTCCTTGAGAGATCTTTGAATGTCCTGTGAGGTGAGTCATCCCCAAATACGAAAGAAAAACCATTTTTTAGAAGATGAGAGGCAAACGCTTACAGCTGTGAGCTGATTATACATATAATTAAGAGGATTTTTCCACCCACTCACCTGTAGGTAGAACTCTTTTTATGTACACAGACCAAGGTAAAATAACTCTTTTCTTCCCTGTCTTAAATTCCCAAAGGAATCTCAAAATTGCTGCAATGACAAATACCATTGCATAGTGTACCACTGAGACAGATAAAGGAAAGTGAAACCGCTGAAATAAAGAATGAGAGCATATCAAGTTATCAATAGACATAAGTCATGAAACACAAAATTAATCACACACATTCCATTTGCTAGAGATAAGCATAATTATCACATGATGTCTATAGCCCGGAGTGTGCAATCTCATAGAAAACTGTAGTGAAAGCTGACATGTGTCCGGCCAACTTGATGTTGATGAGAGCCAGTCTAAAGAAAGCTGCAGGGCCTTCAGCAATCACATGGTTTTGTTGCAAAAAATTAATGGAAAAGAGAGAAGAGTAAAAAAAAAAATTGTGAGTTTCTAGACTCTCTGCACTCCAAAAAAAAAAAAGAAAAGTTTTTATGGCAGAAACTATTTTGTGGTTGTCCCAAATGCACTCATTTATCACATCCTTTATTAAGGTTGAAACAAAATTTTCTAGATTTTCGATACATAGAGATTACATATTAATAACAATAAGTTTGGTCGGGCCAAATGGGAAAACATTTGGTGCTCCATCATGATGTAAGGACGTTGCTGTGCTCAGTCTGTATGTCACATCCTCAAGCCAAATATTTTCCTGTGTGGCCCTCCCACTCAGTCAATGTAGATTATATCATAACTTAACCCTTTCACACCGCACTATAATCAGGAAGTAAAATTTTCTTACCATTTTCAAACACTATGATACAGATAGGTAATGAGAACCAAGAAAATTCTTCAACAAGGCAGATAATTGTCCTGATATTAGAACACATTTCTTAACAATAGCCAACAATGAAATGTATTGTCCCATGTTACGAGAATTTGCTCTCTGATCTTGAAAATGAAAGGTTCAAGTCAAATAATTTACATCTGCAAGAAAAAACTACCAACCTTCAGTAGCCATTTGTTATAAAATGTTAAGCTGATGGAGGATATATACATCAGAATAATGTAGCTAAGAGTTTTGAGAGCTCGCGCCAACTGCTGGAAACCAAACAGCTTTTTGGCCATAGAAGAAACCACCGTGTGTACTGTGATATTTAAACAGTTGGTGACGTGGATGAACTTTTAGATCGATATTATCGCTCTTTCTTGCCATGAAGCACCAACAGGAGAGGAAGACGAACTCATTTCTTTCATTTATAAGAATTTCTAAACAATATGTTTTTTAGAGGCACAGGAATGTTTATGTTATCTCAATTCAGCATGTAACGAAAACTCGTGATAAATTTTGTACACCTCAGCCTCCATATTGCTTAGTAACCAATCCAGTTACATCAAATGCCTGGCTACCAAGAAGAAAGAAAAGGTAGGCCCGTATATCGTCCACAGCACAAACGGGAATGTGTGCTCAAGAGCACGTCTTCGCGCTAGCTGAAGAAGAACTGAATCTCCCCTATGATGGAAGTGAAAGTGCTTAATCAGAAATTAAACAAGAAGTTCTTATCGTAAAAATAGGGAATTTAACAGGTGTCTCTTGGTCTTGGTGACAATTTGGTGGGACATATACGGCTGGAGTTTAAGTTTGTAGGGAACGAAAAGGGCTGACGCACGAAACGTCAGTTTTGGAAACTCTTTACAGTGGCCAATTTACATCATCAACTCAGTTGATGAAGCCGTAAAATTAACCATCAGAAAGTCTCGTTGAAAGGTCTAACCAAATGACAAAGGAATGTGCAGTTAGTGTGATAAAGCCTTCAAAAAGACTCATTACTTTTCTCTGAATTTGCTACCAAGTCTCGGGCATTTAATGGTTTCACTCTTCCATCAAGTGTCTAAAACCGATTCTAATTCTCTTGTTCTTCACGTCAACCGTAACTTTTGTCCTGGCCACACCCTAATTCATAGAAAACTGAAGTTTAAGAATGACGTTCGATATGAAAGCTTTTACGACATTTTCGCTTTCATTAAAGCAAGACTTGCATGACGCAAGTCTTAAAAGAAATGTCTTTTAATAAAAAAAAAAAACAAAAAACATGATGCCATCGCAGATTGCAAGTTTTTATTTTCGAGGCTATTGCCTGGTAACTTAATCAAACCTAAACAGTTTTTCTCGCGAAAACAAAACGAGACAGACATCCTATCCGAAGGGCTACAGCTGAAAACGTCTGCTTTGAAACGCTTTACAGAGGCCAGTTTACATTATCAAGTCAGTTGATAACATTCAATTATCGTCTTGAATGAATACCTTCATCTTATAAATCATCGATATATTTCCAATTGGGTAAACATCAGTCACCTTACTGATCAGAATTATGATTTATAGAAGAAAAAACGGAGATTGATAAATTTTATTCTGCTCAGCGCTACCGTCATCGTAAAAGAAATTTCTAATGTGATTAGTTATGTTTTCTCTCTCTCTCTCTCTCTCTCTCTCTCTCTCTCTCTCGCTCTCTTTGAGAGCGGAACACGCAAAATTTCGTGCAATCAGGCACAATACGTGTCAAAACTTTGAATTTCTTTTTTTTATTGCCGCAACTTCTCGGCATAAAAAGGCTAACACGTTAAAACAGCAAACTGACGTCAATGATAGCATTTTTTTCCAATACAAGTAAGTTTAAACTACCACCAAAGTACATATATGATTTCATTCTACCTTATGATATGTATAGCACGTTGCTGATAATTAAATTTCAATGAGCGTGAATTTCTGAATCTTTATGAAAATGAAAACGCCAGGTTTTGCGGAGAATACAACTAATAGAAAAATTACCTACCATACGATAAATTTAAAAACGTCTTGTCCAACTGAAGCAAAATTGTGTGAAAAGCAAAAAAGAAAAGAAAAGAAAACAGCTGAAGTCCTAAAGAAAACGTTGAGCACGTGAAAGCATTATTGGGCTCGAAATGAAAAGCTTGAGTTTTCACCCTTAATTTGCGCGCAACTTGTTTGAAGAACAAGCCCGAATTGTCTTTTGTGCGATCGGTATAGGACACAAAAGGCCGGATTTTAAAAGGCAGATTCAGCTGGCACTGGTATAATACATATGCCGCCTGCGTTGGGCAAACTGCACGTAGTCTCTTTCACCAAATAGAACTAAACCGAGTCGAGAAAGAATTGACTCAGCTTCAACTCCAGGTTAGTCAGGTAAGACTTATTTTTTTTACTCATAAACTCTTTAGAAGTTACCTTTAGACAAATTAATTGATTACACATGAGCCGTATATATAAAAGCAACAAACAAACAAACAGAAAAATAAAACAACGATAACAATAGTAGGAGTTTCATTCTGCATTTGAACAGCATTTTGGCAAAAGAGTTTATTGGCCTGTTTATCGAAGGAAAAAATTACATTTTAAAATTTACATTTTATGATCTGTAGGGGATATTTCAGAAATTGTACGTTCAGACTCACCTAAACAGTACGGAAAAGATTGATCAAATTTGAAGTTTCTGAATCGCCATGGAGCTTGTCCGTCTACATGTAAATTCATTTTAGACCCATTTGAATGCCGTGAATTAGTGACATTTGGCAAGCCTGTAGTGCCTCGTCAGCTAGGAAAACCTTAGTGACTCAAGTAAGTCCTTGACACGAAAATAAAAAGATTAGACAGATAAGCGCAATTCCATTTACCTATCTCGTCCAGCTAATATATGGCCTGCTAATTTCATCGCGAGGCGAATAATTCAGTGTCGCCTTGAAAATATCTGTAACTTTCTTAGCCCTTGCTGGAATTACAGTTCATGGAAGAAGAAAACTAGTAATACGTTTAAGCTCGGAAAAACATAAAAGAGACTTTACCATCTTGTAATCTACAATGAAGATTTGAAAAGATAGCAGTTTTACACAGATGATTTAGTTTGATTACCTGCGGTGGCAATTCATTTTCATATTTCCTATTCTTATCCTAAATCACCACTTGAACATAGGCCCATTATTAATAAAAAGAGTAATTGACAACAAACCTCACCTAGATTAACCTAGGTAGATAAAACATGACCACCTTTTTTCAATCTCAATAGTTTGACTTACTGCTCGTAATGATACAGCATTTTTGTTAAGTAAAAAAGGAGCTTTTCTGATGATGAAAACTTTGATTTTATGCAAGCCAAGTTATCGCTTTAACAGTCCATTCGCGACTGTTAAGTGCGCGCATGCGCTATCACTCATCTTGAGTCGAGGTAGACTACGAGGCAGCGGTTCATCCTAAATCTATATAGATCAAAGCAGAGCGTAGAAATGCTATTTTGATTGAAATACCTCTAATCTCGAGCCCAGGGTCATTTAAGCTCCTTGTCGGTATGGTAAGAAGGACCCTGAGCTCGAGATTTAAATACATCTGCATTACCAAAGAAATTCAAGAAACTGGATGAATTTGAAACCTGAGTCTAGAATAATTTGCCAAATTCACACGGGTTGTGGCAAAGTGACATTACCTTAGAAGAACTACTATGTTTAATAGAATACCGATCTCTTTTCCGCCAGTTCTTGGATCGACGCACTGTATTCAGTTCTGAATAAATTAATTCAAAATAATATAACGAACATTCAGCTTTGTGAAGGCGTTGCTACAAACTATGTTAATGAGAAATGATACGGTACAATAGAAATGCCTAATGCCTTGGTGATATTGTTAAAGGAGAGGACAGTTACAAACAACAAAAAAATTCGAGGTCAAAATTCACTCAACGGCGCGCTCTTCCTCGATTTACCATTCCTCAAAAGGTCATCGTTCACTGGATGTGCAATAATTCAGTTTATGCCTGCTCGTGGGTTGACCTTGAACCTAACAAAGTAAGGATGTTTTTTTTTTTTTATAACTGACGCTTGTCGCTAGAAACTTCCTTTAACACTCACTGTAAATTCTGGACAGTCAATTAATCCCTTAGATGTTCAGAAGAGGTCTGTTAGAGTTGCTGCACATGTCCTCCTAAAACCAGTTGCTTGAAATGACCGCTTTATAAGTCCAAACTCGACATACATTTTTTCTTATTATAACTACTTCTGGTCCGCAAAAATGATGATGAATTGAACAGTGAGACGGAACTTAGCCTGTATGCATGCAGAGAAATACAGTGAAGGACTTAGAGAGGGAAATGATAAATGAAGACGGTTAGCCCCGAGTAATGACCCATTTTCTGATCCACAAGCAGTTCTAAATGTATTTATCAAAAACCCATATTGTTTTTAAAGTAATACTATTGTGTTGTCGTCTTGGGTTATATTTCGGTGCTTGTTAACTCAGTTCTTTCTCTCGAAAGACCTTTTCATTTGAAACACTGAGCTACAACTTGCTAAGTTCGAAATTTAGCGACAAGGTGCAAGGCTATTGATGAAATAAGCGAAGCTAGAACAAGGATTGCTTAAAAGGATAAGACGATTTGTGACGCGGATTGCAAACTTCTTGATGTCGAAACTGAATTAAAAGAACCAGGACAAAGGATTTGTTTTGTCATCTGCCTGGGTTTGACAAGCTAAACAAACAAATGGAGGGAAAATATAATGTGAAACTTAAAAAGCTGACCATCATACAAGAAACTGGCGACATTTGGCCCATCGCTGGGACAAAGGTTGTCATGGAAATATTAATGAACGAGGATATGATTTTTGTGGGCGATCTTCCGATATTTCTTCATTCGTTTTTTGACATAAATTAAGGACGCCAAAGGCAAAGTCAGGGAGAAAAGGCCAAACAAACGACCGACCAAATAAAATCCAATCGCAGGTACTTTTTTAAGCAAACTTTAAATCAAAACATTGACCTCAAATTTTGCCATTTGAGGGTATCCAATTACTAATACATTGTTATTAAATTATTTTACAGCAGTCGGACTCTTGTCGAAATCATCATGGTGAGGACATTCGACTTAATGATAACTACGTCATTGCTTTTAATAATTATCTGCAACGAGCAATCAATTACTGTTTGTCTGCGGCAGAGTTCTCTAACTGGCCGTGCGTCGCAAACCCCGGCGAAGCTACTTAAAAAATATCTTTGGCCTCGACGTAAACCTCTACGAACGAGACAAAACAATGAAGATTCTGAGTTTCCCTCTGAAGTTTCGAATGGAGAAAACGACTTTAGAACGTTCACCATCATCACAACAAGAAGTGCCAGATTTGATATTGTGCGAAGTCTTGAAAAATCTCTTAGAATTCGGCGTCAGATAATCACTCGCGCAATAACTGAGCCCTCAGTCGCGTCCTCCGTTGAGCCCTTTGGGGAAGACTTGATCGGGCTGGAACTGGAAATGATCCAAAAGGGTAACCCAGAGCCTGGGCCTGACTGGGCCACCGCGATTCAGGCCTGGGGAAAAGCCTGGGACCTTCATGTATACGTGTTTGCAATTCTTTTCATCTTGATAGCGATAGCTTCTGGTTTTGGACTCGCTGATGATCTCATCAAAAATCACGGAATCAAGGGACTAAAATTGACTTTGTATTTGACATTTTTATTACTGGGTTGCTCACGTGGTATCATGTTGTTCGTCGATCCTTACAACTCGCGGGGAATCTTGGACCTTTACAGTTCGTATGTCGCGTGGTCATTAGGCATCCCGTGTGTCCTCACGGCCCTTGGTCTCTTGCTCTTGGTATTTGGGGAGGCAATCAGTATGGAGATAACCCCTCCTCGATTTCAGAAATTATCCACAGCGCTAGGAATCATGGCTTGCAATGTGATTGTAGTAGTGGGAACAGACATCGTCTTCTTACTCGCCGAGAAGTTCCTCGCGCTCCTAATAATATGCCAAATTTATTTTGTACTTTTTGGCATCATTTTGACCGTTGGTTACTACTACATAGGGTGTAAATTATCCTGCAACTCGGCAGCAAGTGTGTATGGAGACACAAGCCTTATAAGGCTAAGAATGTTTGTGTTCGCAATAGCAATGCTCAATGTACTTTTCATGGGAATTCAGGTTTACTCAGCTTTTGACTTCGTCTTTCACCCTGGGGTTCCCAGAGCGGCTTGGCCGTGGTACGCTGTCCAAACCTCCCTACGGGCGCTAGAGGTGAGCATGTGTATTGTGATGCTATTAATAGCATTTAACAACAGAGTGAGATCATCACCATCTCAGGTCAGAACTTCTTTTCGCTTCCGCAATACCGTTTCCCCGTTCCATGCGTGGGAAGCTGCGAATGGCCGGAAAAGTTAATGAGACATTTTAGAAGATATTGGAACTTCAGCCCGAGATGATGCTAAGAGCAAAACTTCAATCGCACGAGCATGCTCATAACAATATTATACTTGTTTTACATTCATGATAAACTCACCTGTGAGCTATTAAATTGCGAGTAAGTCATGTTAATTGTTCATGTCGTTCATCCAGGTTATTATGCTCGGTATACAAAAGAGTAACCTGCACATCTTTCAAAGCCAAATTTTATTCTGAGACTAAGTTATGAGCGAGGAGTTTTGCACTTCAAAGTGTAGAGACATCTTTTTTGAATGCGTAAAAAGTCGTAGTGCATGAGTGAAAAAAGTCCATGAATAGCTTATCATTTATCAAAGGTAATGCTTGACCCGCCGAAGTAAACATTTCTCATTACAGTGATTTTATATCGTTGGGTAAGGTGCAGTTTTTTTCTTGCATAATCACGGCGTTAAACTTTTGAAGTTTTCACTGAAACCTGGCCCTTAAAAAATCAACCGGACGTCTTAACGAGCTTCAGAATCAAGCTGTGGGAGCTCAGATAAAACTGTTCCATACTCAAACCTCAATTATTCACCAAGCTGTCCAAAAAGGACTAAATTTGATGGAAATATTTTCCTTTTGTGGTTTCGCAGTGGGTGATACCACAAGCATTGCTCGTTTAAAAAATCAGTACCCGTAACTGAAAAATATAAACAGAAATCCTCAGTCGATACAAAGCAGAACTGACTTGTAAAACGCTTCGTCATCAGGATTTTTTTTTTCCTCGCCGTTGAGCCCTTTTGTTAGTATGTCGTTATCTTTTTTCATGAAAGACAATGGGAATCATTCGGGATAGCCGTTTTAAGCCTCGAACAGTTGTGTCGTTGGTGCTTCAGGTAAGCTATTTGCATCTATACATCATGAATTTGCGCTAACAAAATGGCTCTGCTGTTGTTTTGAATACCATTTCATTTGTACTTCAGGTCTGGTTTCAAATATCGAATCTGCGACGAGTCATTTCTCAAGAGAATCAAGGTGAATACACAAAGCCTTGCCCATTTAATTAAAAAATCCCATTCGAGTATAGTGTACTACTTCTTAAGCTGTTTTCTAATAGTTAAATGCCGAGAAGAAAAAAAGAGAAAATAACCATCACCAAGGTGTTGTCAACTTGTTCGAAGGTTAGTTAGCATTCCAACTTATTTTGATCTGAACAAAATCTAAAAGGAAAGGGACGAAGTGAATTTGGAAAACTTTAACAAAATAAACACCCCACGGCGTCATGATTTGAACTGTTTCCGCCCCATAGCGAGATCATCTGAAAAATAATGAAAAAATATTTGCTTTCCGAAAATGCAATTCACGGTTACATCACGCGAGAGAAAATTCTCTAAGGAAAGGCTTTGGAAGGCGGGAACGTTCCGTTACTCTTTAATAAATCTTATTATGTACTTATTTCAGACTGCGAGTTTTCGATTAGATTTCAATTTTGTCGCATGGAAATGAACACTTGTTTTTCCACTCTACGTTTTGCTGTAGCTCTCCACAAAGGCCAGTTTAACTTTTCTAGAACTAACATCTCCTGGAACATCTCCAAAATAAACATTTTGCATTAATTTGTAATAAACGTGCGAGTTGTAACTTTTCCAGACAATGTGAGGAATACGTCAATCAGCCAAAGTGGGAAATTATAACATAACCAAAGTAAAGCGCGTGCTCTGATTGGTCAATTTAGCGTCCCCCATTTGCCCATGGGTGTACGCTGCTGACGTGAGCAAATGCAAAGACTATTTTTCCGCGCGCGCTTGTTTTTTTCTGGTCGCGTAAGATTTGTCAAATAAAAGGGAACTCTTTAGCTACAATGTATCAACGTTATGTTATAAAACAAATGGCAAACACCACAGTGTACACTATTGAGTTGTGGATACACTTGGGAGGTTTGCTAAGCACTCAAGAAGCTAGAGTCGCTCTCGGCTATCGCCTCGAGCGACTCTTACGCTTCTTTCGTGCTTGGAAACCTCCCGCGTGCATCCATAAGTCAATAGTGTACGCTGTGGTGTTTACCATTTGTTAATTATCACACGTGGAACATAAATGCACGATTTCTGAAAGAATTTTTTCCCGTTCATTAAACTTATTGTTTATTGAATTCGTGTACAAATGCATTCCATTATGAAAGTGGTTAAGACAGCATAATTCTTTATGCACGAATTTCCCCTCCATCCCTTTAGAATTGTTTTTGAATTTCATCCAAGTTGCCGGCTTATTTTGAATTCTTACCAGCAAATTCGATAATCAATCAAGTATACCGTCTCTGACTTGCAAAACAAGTGAAGCGGTAAACCACCATACTGGCAATATCCGAAAACCTGAAGCTCGAGCCATCATACGCAGCTCGGATTTTTTTCTTTTTCTAATGCTCGTGAGAAGACGCATAAGTTTCTTTCAGTTAACCCTTTCAATCCCAAAATCTCATTTTTAATTCTCTTTACAGTGTGTCATGCGATTCTTATGATGTTAGTATGGAGAGTTCGGTATCGGATCAACTGATAATTCCCCAATAAACACTTCTCTTTATTCCCATCAATCTTCTGCTTTATATTGTATTTGTACTGTAAGGAGAATTTCTCCCTTGGTCACTCATATGAATTCAAGAGTTCAGTTTGATAATTCACTTTGATTCTTATACCAGTTCTGCAACATTGTAACCTGTCAACAAAAGCCGCAGTCCTCTTGCCTTTTAATGAACACTACAGAGACAAAGAAGCCCTAAATGGTACCTTGAAAGTGCACATGTCTAACACTGAATTTGTTTCCGGAATCGATGGCGAGCCAGGCGGGGCCATTCTCTTTAAAGGAATCCAAGACTCTTACGTGGAGATTGAGGCCGACAAGCAGATCGATTTCGGTTATTCCATGACGATTCTGTCTCATATTTTACCATCCGTGAGTCACACTGGGCCAATTGTTCATTACAAATCCGATCAGCACGGAGTACAGATGTGGGTCCAGGGAACTGTGGCGGAGAAAGGACAGTTGTCTGCGCGATTCAACCGAAGAAACCTTTCCCATTCTAAATGGTTAAAGGCTGATGTAATCAATGTGGGGCAGTGGAATTATATTGGTGCTTCCTACGATCACGTGACGGGTGAGGCCTCTTTGTATCACGATGGAGTCCATGTCTACAGTGCTTTTATAGGAAAGAATATCTATTTGGCGACGCAATACGAGATCAGGATTGGTGCCATGTTATTATCATCTTTGGGGAAATACAAAGGCAAAGTCGCTTGTATTCAGTTTTATTCTAAAGCACTTCAGGAACAGGAAGTTGCGGCGGCGAGGCGCGCTTGTATACCAGGTATGTTCACCATAACTGTGACAACTGTAACTGTGTACAAGACGGCGCCTTTTACTCGATGAAGAGTAAATTCGACTGATATCCAATTGATGAACAAGTTCCTGTGATAAAAATACGCCTACGCTGACGTATATAGTGCTGACAGCGTTTGATTAAAGTTTTGATCGAGTGTAGAAAGCTATGCGGGATTACCATGGGCTCGCTTTAATTCACTCTGTGATTGGTCCTGAAAACTCGAGCCACCCTCTCGACCAATCACGTGCAAAAAAATGAGTAAATAAATAAAAAGTGACTCCATCGCTCTTTTTTCTATGAGCTCTCTTTGTTTTAGGTTTGACAACACTCGATCAAAAAACTCATGCGTTGCCTGGCTGTGATGATCTAGGTCAAACGACATACCACGTTATCAGCTTAGAGAGTTTTGGCTCAAATTTTAGAGCTACTTAGATAGCTTTTCATTCACTGGGAATAAGTTACTGCTCATCTCCTTACATAGGAACATGAAACGGAATTTTGTGCATAGTGTTTGTTAGAAAAAAATTGTCTTTATATCATAGACTTTGTTGGGAAATAACTGTCTGTTATGATAGCAGTACTAATCTAATAGTTAGTTTTCTTAGTTATGGATAATGTAAAACAGTTCATGATTTCAAATCCTATCGAGAAATGTCGTTTCTATTTCTTAGAACGATTCATTTGGTTTAGGAACGAAGATAGGGGAGGTAATTATAAACTTAAACATTCAACAATCGCTGGGTAGAATTAAGAAACTTTTTTCTACAAATTTTACCCTATTTTCAGTCGTGCCTTTGCAGTATCTTTCTCTCAACCTGACCTCACCTTTACACGTGGCGGAAGTGAATGAAACGAAGTTAATAGTCAAGGCAAGTGCAAACATGAATACCACGAACCCTACCTTCCAGTTTGACTGGGGTGACGGCACAGAAACATGTAGGAGAGTCTCAGACACAGGTGATCACATGTACCGCTTCATCGGTAACTATACATTGCATGTGCAAGCTTGGACTATGTGCAACACAAGTACATTGTCTGCAAAGGCGAACATATCTGTTCCTACGCCAGTACTTGTTCTCAGAAATGTAGCCCTGCAAAGTAACGCAACGGTCTTTGGAGAAGCAACTCAATTTCGTCTTTTTGTGGGAAGAGGGTCTGACTTTGAATGTCTTTGGTCACTAGGCGATCATGCCAATGTCACTGCTTATATCTCTCGAGCTAATTCGAGCGCCTTTGTTAGGAATCATACCTACTCAGTCCCTGCTGATTACAAGGTTCTGGTCACTTGTAGAAACAGAAGAAGCAAGTTAACCGCTAGTACTATTGTTCTTGTTCAAAATCGTATCAAGGGCCTTACTGTCTATCCAATACCTCCTATACTGTTTGGAACTGAGTTCAAAGTACGATGGAGAATAGACAACGGCACAGGTGTCACGTACAAAGTAACTTTTTCTGCCATCCCTTTGCAAGTTGCTGCAACTACAGAGTGGGATTTGTATGGACAAACTTCTGTAACATTGCAGGAATACAAAACTCCGGGAGAATTTCTTGTTCACGTCTCTGCTTCCAATGCAGTTACGAATTGGATCTCTGCATGGACAAAATGCAACATTTTCCGACCAGTTTTGCCCTTTACACCCATCGTTCTCGACAGTTCCAGGGATCTAGAAGTTAATCAGACTATCACCATCTTGATCACAAATGTCTCCTCCGTCTCTGGAACAAATGTGTCGTACCTTGTAAACTTTGGAGACAACAGTAAAGCAATAGTCACCCATAGATCGTATGTTAATTACTCGTATGATCTGCATGGTCTTTACACAGTCAGTATCACAGCAATGAATGAAGTATCCACCTTTAATACCAGCATTACCATCAAGGTTCACAAACCAGTCTTGAAATTAGAAGGGGCCAGTATTCCATTCCTCGTTGCAAAGGTGCACCAAAGTGTTCATATTCCAATATTCTTTCTGAAGGGGTCTGATTTTCACTGCCACTGGGAGTTTGGAGACGGACAGGAAATAAAGAAAAACTCCACTGAGGAACTAGTGTATTTCAAGGATCTAAATGATAACCTCGAACTCTTCACCAATGTAAGCATGTCCGTAAAACATGTTTTTAAGAGAGTGGGTGTTTATCAAGTTATCGTGAATTGTCAAAACCGTTTGAGTGAAATGATAACAATCGCGTATGCCATGGTTCAATTAGAAATACAATCCTTCCAAGTTTCAACTGTCAGTCCAGTTAGGTTTGGGGACACTTTCTCCATTAATTGTACCATTGACGCCGGAACGAATGTGAGTTTCAAGATGTACCTAAATAATCAAGAACTCGATATAAAAAATCAAGGTTTTTTTAGTGTGGCGCATGTTACCCCAAGCATTTACAAACAGGCGAAGAAGCACAACATAACTGTCACAGCAACAAATCTCGTCACCCCTTTACTGAGTCACACGCAAGTAGTCACCATAGAGGTTCCAGTTTCTGAAGTCAATATTTCGATGAATTATTTTGAGGGAAGCAGATTGCATGCTGGACATGGTGCAAGCATGGATATTTTCCCTGAAGGAGTTCCAGTCGTATTTAATGCCAACGTTGACAAAGGTTCCAGTTTGGAGTACACGTGGTCGATAAGCAAAGCTACCATATACATTGAACAGAACAGACTCAAGATTCAGCATATATTCAACGCTCGTGGAATATACATAGTATCAATAAGTGTTAGAAATCAAGTGAGTGAGGCAGTTTCTATTGCAGTTATTGCAATTCAAAAACGTGCAAAATTCTTGTATAGGTATCTCGAATGCTCTTCACCAAAGGTTAGGAATGAAACTGTTACCATACGAGCTACTTTGGAGGCTCTTGGAACAAACTCAACTCTTCTCGTGGAACTAGACAACATCACGAGATATTGGTACGGAGAAGCCGATGCAAGAAATAATCTCAACGCAGCAGCGAATGAAATAAATACGCAGTATCAGGGAAATCTTGGAAGGACAACCACAATCCATTATGTCTTTGAAACTCCAGGAGTATACAACATAACGGCAATCCTAAAAAATGATGTCTCTAGATCCTCAGTAACCTGTAAAGTTGAAATTCTTCCCAGGCCCTGTAAAAGACCTGAAGTGAAGTTAAAACATGTCGGCAGCAGTCAAATAGATGCAAGATATCTCTTTAAAGCCGATAACATCATTATTGAGGCTGATGTTGACATCTTCTGTCCCGAGTCTGAAGAAACCCAGTACAAATGGAAGATCTTTGAATACAATCAAGAGGCTAGAAGCTTTGTGCCATTTACTGATGTAGATTCTTACGCAGAGGCTTCCATGCGAGAATTGCGGCTCCAAAAGAGGGCTTTGCCATTAGGATTATTCAGACTGAGTTTGAGCGTGAACATGATCGGAGAGGGCCTGGATGATTTCTTTGCAGTTGTCGAGGGGTACATCAAAACAAAGCAATCTCCTTTGACTGCTGAAATCAGTGGAGGAAGCGAGATAAGAAGGACTTCCGGATCAACGGTATCTTTAGACGCCTTGGGCTCCCATGACCCAGACATTGGACCTGGGGATCATTCAGGTATTTGCATTCAGTAGCCTACACAAAGGACTGTGCTTTTCTATCGCCTTAATCAAACCGAACTTAAAAATTTCACCGGTTGGTAAAAACGCAAACCCACTACTACTGTGGGGTCCACAGGGAGCTTGAGGGAAATAAAGCATTTAGGCTCTCTGAAATTAGAGTGATTTGACAGCCTTGGATCAGAATAAGAGTAAAAAAACTGACAATGGACTAACAATTATGTCTTCCTTTTCTCAGGAATGCGTTTCTTCTGGCTCTGTAGAAATATCTCTGAAAGATTTCCAGACCTGCTGGAAGATTTTATTAATGGTTTCAATGGTACTGCAGAATATCCGATTTCAAACCGTTCCTCTAGATCTTCCGTCAGTTCTGAGCAAGGTTGTTATCGAAATGGAGAGTACGTCATTTCAAATAGATCACACCTTAACCTAACGACAGTTCTAATGGCAACTAATGAGACATACAAGATTGTGCTGGTAGTGAGAAAGGACAGTAGAACTAGTTCAACAAGTCAGTTATTGGAGTTGAGTGTAGAGGACATTCCAGAACTCACCATAAGGTAAGAGCGTTTGGATCGCAGTTTAACGCGAACTAAACTGAACTGGAAATATCGAAGTTAAAGTTGGTAACCATTTTTTGTATCACTTGTACCTATACCATCGTTCCAAATTAAAGCAAACTAGAGTGATTCATGGTGTAGATATTACATTTCACGTTTTCGATTCTGCAGGTGTGTGGTTAATTGTCACAAAAAAGTCAACCCGTCGGAAAAGCTTACTGTGTCATCTGAGTGCTCGGGAAACGCCTGTAACGCTAAACTGACTTACTCTTGGTCTTTGCTGTATATGGAATCTGACGAGGACACAAACTCAACTTGGAAAACCAACAATTCGCTAATGAAGTCTCGCCACATCTCACCACATGGAAGCTTTCCAATCATTGTCATAAAGAAAAACGTTCTACAAGGAAACAGACGTTACAAACTTACTGTGAAAGGGAATCTGCCATCTGGTAGTTATGGACTTGCTTCTCATGTTTTTGAAGTCAATGCTCCTCCGAGGGACGGGACATGTGACGTTGAGCCTCGTGTCGGTCACGTGCTGACTACGCGGTACAGGCTCTGGTGCACTGGCTGGCATGATCCTGATGGTCCCCTCAAGTATGAGATTTACCACGTTCGAGGAAAAGAGGAATCACCCTTACAATACGGAGGAAACGCAGCGACAATCATTACACTTCCGCTGGGAGACGGAGATAATTACACTATTAATATTACAGTTCGTATCTCCGACAGACTAGGCGCAGCATCCTCTGTGAGGCTTCAACTTCAGGTGACTGTGCAAAAAAATCCATGCTATCCATATTAAACATTCCTCTAGGGTCGTGCAAGAGAAGCATTGTGATTATAACCCCTAGGTCTTCTTCCCGAAATGCGCCAAAATATTGTTGTGCCTTTTTTTCAGCCTCTTACCTTTGTAAAACATCATGGGTTGTTTTAAAATTCCCTTGATTTAGGAATGGAACTTTAAATTGACATCGCAGGAAAAATCAGCCTTTTGCATGCAGAAGGTTGGCAAAAGCGAGTGTTTCGTTTCATTTTCTACAGCAAAACACCGTCACCTGTGCAAGTTACTAAATATCTTCTTTCTTGCAGTCTCTTCCTCCACTCCTTAAAGGCGCCCAGCTTATGAATCAGTTGTCTGACCTTATATTGGATACCAACCAGGACATGCTGCGCAATGCTATGAGCATTAGCTCTGTTTTAAACCACCAAGCAGGAAAGGACACTCCCGAGCTTTCAAAACAACGAAAGAAGGTTTGAACCATTGATAATACCAGAATTCTCTCCCAGAAGGCCCGTTTCTTCTCGAGGTTGTCCTAATGTTTCCACCACCATTACTGCCCAGATAAACCATCAGATTTCGTCCACTCGTCAAAGATTTGCCCATTTTTCAATGGTTCTTGCAGCTTCCTTTTGTTCAATGAGGCTAAAAGTATTGATATTAAATAAAAACACTCTTACCAATTCACAGATACGCGAGTTGCTTATATTTGCATTGGTAAAGGAAACGACTCCTTCTAAGCAAGCCGTTCAGCTTTTATCAGCATCTCTTCAAGAAGCCACTCAAGTAACCAGTGAAGTATCGTATGAAGCACAGGTAGATAGCAGTTAAACATGTCTGCTCTTTCAAGTCGCAAAATAACAAGGTCTGATGTAGGTGTTTCCGGTGACTATCCCTGGAACTGCACTGTACACGTTACCTTACTACCTGAGAGGGTCTCGTCGACTCGCACCCTTCGCGACAGTCTCAATAATAGATAAATTTAAAAAAATGATTCAATGTCCTTCCATTAGTGCTGGCTGTCAAAATAACTTACTCTTGTTGGTTCCTTACATTTACGTACGAGTAATTGTGTGACTGTCGCTGCTTTTCAGGAAGCAGTTACCTCAGCGCTGGACAAAATGGCCACTGTGTTTGAAAGTGAGTCCCTTGAAACAGACTCTAATTCACTGGAAACAACTGCTGCTGGAATGACTGGAACTATCGGAAATTTGCTTGACGTCGCTTCAGAAAATGCAGCTGTTCATCAGCCTAACAGCACGATTCAGACGTCATCAGAAAATGTTGAAGAACCGGCTGACAATGAAACTGTGCCTTCTAAGGTAGGGGTTCTAGTTTTCTATTTGACCCATGTTTACCTTATCCAGGAGAAGGTCCGCAAGAAAAAGCCATCTTAATATAAAATTTTTGACGTTTCTCTAGGTAGTGATGATTTACTTTATAGATTTTCAGTAGTATTAAGATTACGCCAGCATTCTTGTTCAGCTCTTTACTGCATAAATGCTTCATTCTTTTCAGAGTGAGGTTTTGGTGAATAAATTATTCAACGTTGTGGATTCGTTGTCAACATCAGTTCTTAGAACAAAGGTATCCTATGAAGAAGCTACAGAGATTATTTCTCCTCGACTAGCTCTAAACCTGAAGAGTACTTCTCCCTCTGACACCGGAGGGAACGTAAACACAGGATTTGCAAGCTTTAATGTGCCAAAAGGGAAAGACTTGCTCCGAAATGCAAGGCCAGGTTTGACATCTGTGAATCAAAAGGTATGTTTCTAAGTGATCGGATGTATGTTACAGCTGGTATTTAACTGTGTCATCAGAAATTACACCTTCAGCAAACGACACAGCTCTATGATTGGTTCACTAAATACTTGAGATCCAATGGCCTCAGCAGCCATATTTTCCAGTCCTTTAAGTATTTTAGCTTGTTTTAATGTGGGAGACTCTTATTCCTATTTCCGAGAACAGTCTTACTTTCACCAAAGTAAGACGACTACCCCGCTTTAGCGTCTACTATCCGCGAGCTCAGACCTTTTACCGTGGTAGAGAAGTATTGCACCTTATTGTCCTTTATTTTCAGGTAATGTATACGCCGAAAAATTATCATACCTACCATAACTCATCGAGGGACATTAGTACCCCAGTTGTCAGCCTTTCGTACGAGGACAAGGAGAAGAAAGAGTTAATTACAGTTTCCAATCTAAAAAAATACATCGAATATTTTTTGCCTGCTCCAGATGTCCTGCCAGGGCCGAATACATACAGCGTCAATGTCAAAGCGCAAGACACCTGGGCGTATCACAAGCTAGTAGTTTCCTCCAAAGACGAAGCAGTTAGTATCGAAGTGACGCCATTCAACTGCAGTCACAAACTTCAACTTCACGTCCAAGAAAACCGTCATCCAACCAAGGATAAATTTTCGTGGAGAAAGGAAATCTGGCTGTCTGCTACCGACGTTCCGTCAAACACCTCCTACTCAGCATGTTTTAAGGATTATTCTGATTACACACTTTTCATACCGAACGCAAGACTGAAACAGTCTACCTATTTTGTTGGTGTTTTGTATTCAAATGGGAAAGAGGACATCAGAAGTTCTAACGAGACTGCTGTGATGAAGTACTCCATTAGAGTTTACAAATCAAAATGCCTCTATTGGAACCAGCGACAACTGGCATGGATGGGCGACGGCTGTTTCGTGAGTCTTCAAGTAGTGTTTGTTTCAGTCTTTAGTTTCCATCTGATCTGGATAAGTCGAAACTATATTAAGCTGTCACCCACGAGCAATGGGGGGAGGGGTGAGGGGGGTGACCGCTTAATACAGGTTCCACAGAAGATAAGGGGTATTACAAAAAGCGACACTCAATGCTACTTAAACAGAATCTCGCGTAAAAAAACTACTTACCAGCGACCATTTTTTGGAACTCAATTATTTTTTTACAATTATTCGTAGGTTGGACCATTTACAAGTCCAAAGCAAATTCACTGCATGACAAATCATCTGACATCATTTGGATCTGGAATGTTCGTGGCACCAAATCCGATCGATTTCAGAAAAGCTTTGGCAGGGTTTGCTGACGCCTTTCAAAGTGGTAATGTAGTAGTAATGTTCACCATCATTACCTTGTTGATGCTGTACCTGGTGCTGGCTATATGGGCTTGGAGGGTCGACAGGAAAGACGCTATGCAGGTGAGAAAAACCAGCATTTACAGGTTGCAATTGGCTTTGGCCCAATCGCCAGAACTTTAAAATTAGACCACGCAACAAACGATCAGGATCAGGAGAGGACACATCCATGTGAGGCAGACATGAACAGCCCTGAAATTTCGATTTGACTCCGATGCATTTCAATTGCTTTTTATCCGTATAATGATTTGCGATTTACCCGTTTGATATAATCTTCACAAACCGGAAATAAAAGAGCACTGGGATGCTCTTTCGATCCAACCAAACACATTACAGTCAGGGAGTGGAAAAGGGTTATCCAATTTTCATATATTTCAGAGATCTAGTAGCATGTACCTTGAAACGTTTTGTTTGCGCACATACCAGCACTTTACTGTCATAATTCCATGATTCATTGCCTCGTCAACAGATCGGTGCCACCATTCTTCCACCCAGTCGACCAAACAGCCATTACCTGTACGAGGTATACGTTGTTACAGGAAGCCGTAACGGCTCTGGTACGACAGCACATGTTGGCTGTGAGATTTTTGGAGAGGATGACGACAGTGGCCCTTGCTACCTGCTAGATGCCAATAGACCACTTTTTAGAAGAGGGGATCTAAATGTCTTTATTTTATCCGTGCCGAGTAGTTTTGGGGTCATTCGAGGAATCAGGATTTGGCATGATAACGGCGGCTACAGCCCGTCGTGGTTCTTGTGTAGAGCAATGCTTAGAGACTGTCAGACCGACGAGAAGTGGGTTTTTCTTGCTGGTAAGAATTTTCTAATTTTTTTCTTTTATAAGCAGCCCTTTTTACACCACGAAATTTTTCAAAGTACGAAAGAGTGGTCGCTGAGTTATTAATACTCTCTGGGTTAGTGGTGATATCTTGACATGTCTGGTGTGAATCCTGTTTAACGTTATATCACACCATGTGATATGTTCAGCTAGAATACAGCTCCAGTCAGGTTCCTTGTAACACTCTCGTAGACCATCCCAACGGTAATCTATAGGGTCGTGCGCTCAAATCATTATTGGCGTATACTTTGTGGTTTGATAAAAATCATGGTCTTTACTTCTCGAAATGAATGTATCCTTCTTTATCAAAGGACCTGCAGGCCGCTGGCTGGATGTAGCAGAGGAGGATGGGAAAATAGACATACTTCTTAAACCGGCAAGTGAACTTGACATGGTCTCCTTCAAAAAGCTCTTCAACACAAAAATACGCAAAGGGATATGTGACAATCATTTGTGGTTTTCGGTGGCATACCGTCCTCCAAGAAGTCCATTTACTCGGCTTCAGAGACTTTCTTGTTGTCTCTCTCTTTTGTTCTCTTTCATGGTCACCACGGCAATGTTTTATGGATCAGGTCCGCTACCAGGGGATACTTCCTCGTCTGTTCAGTTTGGACCCATCAAGCTTAACATGCGCACGGTCATCATTGGCATAGAGAGTGCATTGATTGCAATTCCAGTTAACATTCTGATAGTAGCCTTCTTTAGGAACTCCAAAGCAAAGGGGGACAGGATAAAAGAAAACAAATGCTGTCACGGAGAAAATGATTCTCAAGCGTCTGAGCAAGAAACAGAAACCGATTCAATCAACAGTGATATGCATAATTTAACTTCAAGAATGGAAAAGAATATGGATCTTGACGATATACAATGCCATATCGGTGGTGAGGATGACTTTCAGTATGGGATAAAGGCAGACAAAACTGGTTCTAAAAGAAAGGAGTCATTTGCTTCGAATGAAGAGACTGAGAGCATAGATGATGAATCTCTTCAAAACCCCCAAAATCCAGGATTTCTTGGAAAACTGCGTGGAAAGTTCCAAAGCTTAGGAGGACCCTGTTTTCCACACTGGTGCGTCTACGTGGGTTGGGTGTTGTGCATCTTGACCGTATCGCTGTCTTCTGTGTTCACATTATTTTACAGCATGATGTGGGGAAAGGAACAGTCAAACATGTGGCTTACAACAATGGCTATTTCGTTTATTCAAGATACGCTTATCAGTCAGCCATTAAAAGTTCTTATTGTAGCTTTGATCTTTGCCGTCTTCTTTAAGTCAGCTGATGATGATGACCATTTTGAAGAATCTCAGTCCGCAGCAGGTTTGCACAATTTTTAAGATAAAATGACTGACGAAGTGAAACGTTTATATCAACCGGTCTCACGCTCTTTTCAAAACTGTGAAGAGTTTTTCCTAACGAACAAAGGACATGCTGTCGAGAAGAGTGTAAGACACAACAAATAAATTGATAGAGGCATGCGTTTATGTAAACAAGAAATGGGATTGAATAATATTTCCTAATTGCACATTTGTACAGTTTTCCCCAAATAAATCCCAAACGGTTTGGAAGTAATTTAATCGATTATATGTTTAGTGATAAAACACTTTTGAGGATGTTCAAATTCTTCTTTTGTAATTTTTAGAAGTACCAGACGAAGAGGATATACATCAAGAGCTGACAAATGAAGAACTGGCCCAGTACGATCCCCCTCCCAAGAAAATTCTGAAAATTTTAAGGATCAAAGAGATCCGAAGACGCGAGATCGTCAAACTTTTCACGGATATTTGTTTGTATGTTATTTTGTTGGCTATGGTGATGATTCTAAGCTTCCAATACAGGAACCCAGCCTCGTACAAGATGATAAACACTTTGAGGCGGGTGTTTGTAGATCCTATGCACAACAGCAGTCGTGTACGTTTTGAACAGGTAAACATGTTGAATCAACATAGTCACATCTATACCATGCTTTCACTGCAAGGGTGTATAGTAACTAAATGCTTCTGTTCTCAACATATTTCGTCCCAACTCCCAAACGTTCCTTATAAGACGTCATCGGGTATCATAATACGGTAAGTTGAAGCGTTAATCATTTTCCACAATGTACCATTTTTCAACATTCACGGTTGGTGACAAATGTTTCTCATATCAAAGTCGTCAAAAAGGCAGAATGAACCTTTCATGTGAATCTACTCCATGAATAGTTAGATTAGCTAGATTAAGCACCGCGAAAACGGCGAACGCTGAACGTCGGCTAGCCGTTTGTTGTTTGCCGTTCCGTCCGCGATGTTCATCTGTTTAAGCTTCCCGACGACACGGCAGAACAAATGTTCTCGGTCGCCATTCACTGCGTCTAGAAATAATGGATACAAAGAAGTAATGCATTTTCCGCTTGAATTTGAACTCTACTAGCTATACAAGCAGTTCATATAGAAGTAAGATGATAAACGAAGCTTAGCTATAAAAGCAAGCGATCAAAATGTAGAAATAGTCGGTAAAAATGGGCTGCAAATACTCACGTTTTCGCGTTCCCTACAAACGGGAAAAATGTCCTCCTCGAGTAGAAACGGCGGCCGGCAAATGGCAAACGCGGGAAATGTCAGGTCACGTGAGCCTCTCTGCCGTTCGCGGGAAAAAAATACGTGGTGCTTAATCTCTCAATTATCACAAAACTTCACCTCTCGTGCCATCTCTCCTCAGGTGAACGGTGTGAGTTCCGTCTGGGACTGGACGAGGCAGACCTTATTACCAGGATTATTCCCGGACCAAATTTACAAGGGTCTCCTCAGCGAACCATACATGGCTGACAGAATGTCACTGCAGCTGGGTGTAGCGAGATTGCGTCAAGTTCGTATTCGGAAAGGTACCATAACAGTCGCTGTTTGACCTCTTTAGATACAAGAGTTACAACAAGTGGACTATGCTGGAGGACTTTCCAGTCTAGTCCTCGATTTGTTTATGAGACTCTATATGAGTGCGGACAATTCGTAGGGTAAACTTTTGAATACGTCCCTTTGAGCGTGATTAAATCTGTGATGCATGCTGATCTTGTGGTTGCATCCGTACTTTTAGCCGCTCAAACCACATCAGCAAGGGTGCGTCGCAATTTCTTTCAGGCACTGGCCTACTTAGTACTTTCGTTCTGCCATTTTAGTTTTCCTGTGTTACTTTGGGCTGTTTTAATTCATTCCATTAATTGGAATAATTGTAAACCTTAAAAAATGAGATTAACTCAATTTTTTAACAAATCATGAATTATTTCGTCCTATTTTAAGGCACTTGTACAGTCAACAGATGGTTTAACGAAACATTTCCTCAATGTAACGGATTTTATTCAATGCTGAAAGAAGACACGAAGTCTTATGAATCCCACTGGGAGAATGCAACAGTAAAACCCAAGAATAATAACAAGAGGAACTTGTTTTCATTCTCGTCTGGAATGTCTGATCACAGTCAAACCTCTTGGCAGCATATGGACAACTTTGCTGCCCATCATGCATTGCCAGTCATTGGGAAATTTGCAACTTACAGTGGTGGTGGTTATGTAATTATTCTGAATCAGAGTACAGACACTTCTCAGGAACAGATGCACTGGTTGGATAGTCGCAGCAGGGCCCTCCACGCTGAATTCGTTGCTTATAACCCCAGCATCAACATGGTTGGAGCCGTAACCATCACATTTGAGCTTCCTCCTTTGGGTGGGGTATTTAAAAGTTTCGAGGTATTCACTGTTAGCATGTATGGTTCTTTGAGGAAACATCCAGCTGCAAGAATAATCGGTGAAGTTATAGCTGCTGTTGTTCTTATCTTTATGATATATCGCGTTGTCCTGGCGATATTTCACGACAAGTGTCAATATTTCAGAGATGCATCCAAAATTTTGGATCTTGTTTTCGTACTGACGGGTATGGTAATCGTGTTTTTGAAAGTGTTAAAGGAGGGTTTCAAAATGCGGGCTACTGATCAGTTCAAAGAGGATCCAAAACAATTTCTTGATTTTCACCAGTGTGGCTTCTACGATGAGTTGACCGACTATGCTTTCGCTCTCCTTAATTTTATAGCCATTGTAAGATTTTCGTTTTTCTTGAAATTCCTTGGGTGTTTGGAGCACATATTATCTACCATTGCGAATTGTTTTTACGAGCTTTTTGCCTGTCTTGTTGTATTTTTCTGCCTCATGATGGCATTCACGTCTTTGTTTTCCATTGCTTTCCGCGGAGAGAGTGATGATTTTAAGGATTTCTCCAGCTCATTGCAAACCTCGATTTCCTACATGGCTCGCATGGTCAGATCTAAGGAAGCCATGACGTCACACACAGTTGTACGGGCAGTGGCGTTATTCTCTTGTTGCGTGACTCTGATCTTCTTTTACTTGACTGTAATTCGCTCGGTATTCATTGTCGGTTACAGAAAAACGTTAACGGAAGATCGCGGAAAGGAGAAAGAAAAATCTTTTGAATCCGGAATTTTCGAAGTTTTTAAGGACAAGTTTAGGGAATTAGCTGGTATTGAAAAGGAGAAGGAGGTGATTGTCCAAGAGGAAGAGGATATTCATGAAGTGAGGTTAAACGCTCTCACAAATTACTTCAACAAAAGTCAGTTTTTTCGACTTCGGCTTCTCCTTAACGAGGTTTACACGGATGATTTTGCAGAAGACCTAAGCCTTTTCGATGTAGTGCCTCTAAAACAGAAGCCTCGACATTACATAAGGGAAGATACTGGCGTCCAGGAAGATCACAGGTTAAAGAAAGGGGAAACATTCAAGCCTTCAACTGAAATCAAACAAGATCCCATTTCTGAAAATATGCAAAATAAAAGTGAACGAAAGTCTCATGTGACATTTGACCTCCCCGTTGAAGACGACAGAGCCACTACAAGAAACCCAACATTTAACGAAGAAGGAGAGCTTGGAGGTGATACTGTCCCAAGAGACAACAATTCTGAAATGCCCAACGAAATAGAGAAGCTGAATGTACTTGAGAAATTGGTTGAAGAGAAAATAAGAGGTTTGCAGAAACGTCAAGAGGACTCTACGCTGCCTTCAGGCTCTGGATCCGTGGAAAAGGAGATACAGATGCTTCTAAGATTACAACAAAGGATAGATGAGGCACGAATAACTGGACCACCATCAACGCAACCCTCTCAAGAAAAACTCACAAAAGACTGAACACAAACCAAGTTCTAGTTATGGTTAAACTATGTTTCTAGTAACCACGTGGACTTGTAGGATGCTTGTTATAATGGTTAGCTTATCTGCTGTAATTTAGCGCATACATATGTTGAAAGTCTTACTATTAATAATCAGTGGTCTTGGGATTCTAAATGGGAGTCATTCTCGAAAAGAAAAAATTCAGGAAGTCTTTTGAACTCAGACCAACTTGCTAGGTGCTAGGCACCGCGACAACGAATAACCACAATGCTCTAGTGAGCTTGCAGCTTGATTCAGTGCAAGTCGCTTACAAACTTAAATTCAAAAAATTAAAACATAAAACGATGTAAATAAGCTCGCTGGCTAGCCCCTTCAGATAAGTAAAGATCATGGAAATTAAAGTCATGGTAAAAGTCCGGCTATGTCGCTTCCTATATTTCCCCCTATGAGGATAATTTCCATGGTTTTGGTTAATACTTTCACAGTAAAATGGGTTCATAAGAGGAAAGCACTTAACGTGCAGGTGTAGATGTACTTGGAAGAAAAGTGACTCCACACACCACTGAATCACCAAATCATGTGTTCTATTAAGGGAAACATTCCTCTTGCTCTTAAAAGTACAGTTTCGCAAAACTCAATTTAAGTCAATTTTAAAATGTTCTCTCAGTAAAAGTTAAATTAAAAGACTTAAACGATCCAGATACTTTCTTCTACTTAAAGTATAAAATTTAGCTCTATCATAAATAATATCAATTGAGGAACAATGAGATTAAATGCTACTACAGAAGCTGTAAAAGGTATTCGGAGTGCGTTACAAAAATTTCTGTAAAAAAGGAATAGAAACAGACGTAACCTCAAAACTAAGCAGACCATCTTTTTTGTCGCATTTTGTAAAAGCAAATTATAAAATCCTAACTTCACAAACTCCATACATTCCATTAGTTTTCCTAAAAAAGGTCGAGAACCTTTCATGAGACAATACTTTAAAAGAGAAAAAACGTTCTTGATTGTGTGTAAATTATAATATTTACATATATTCCTATGATAAAAATCTCTCTGTCTTTTTACTGCGTTTGGATTATGCAACCAAAATGGCCATGTGCTCCACTTATCATCGCAAATGGCAATCGCCTAGTCTTAATCCCTTGAAAAAAAATTCTATTGGCCAGTCTGCTAAAACGTACAAAACAATTTTCAAGGAAATCGATTAATAAAACGATTGGAATAAAATCTTTTTAAACAAGGTTCACTGTGGAATTAAAAAGGTTAATCCATGAATGAAGTAAAGAAATAACTAGACTTCGATAATCTCTAGCTTCTCAAATAGCCCAATTAACATCTTTGCGATTAAAAAAAAACTACTGGTTTAAAATTTAAGCACCTAGTCATAACGAGTAATTATAACCACACATTCGCTTGCATTTTATCGTTGGACAACGAACAGATTCATACATCAACTTCTGTTTCGTTGTCACTGTTATCATCATCATCATTATCCCATTTGAGCTCCTCATTCATATCAAACACGGCTCCATGCAGGGTGGGGTGGCTGAAGTAAGGATTTGATACATCAACAGACAGCTCACGTGAACCAACCTCATGTGACAAGGCCAATGATACGATTGGACGGGACTTGTTGATTACCATGGCAACTTGATCTCCATCATCCGTCAAGATGCAGCTGGAAACGGGAAGGTCTGGAGTAAAGCAGGCAAGAAGAGTACCAGACATTAGGTTCCATATGCGAACAGTGCGATCACGAACGCCAAGAGGAACGTAGGTCAAGGCCCGTTTTCCATCTCTAGACAGGCAAACACCTTTGACAGGTTCTATGTGACCATTCAGTTGGTGGTAAAATTCACCGGTGACCAAGTCATACACCCGCAAGGTCTCGTTGGCGCCAAGTCTTCCCGCCACAACCATACGCATGCTCAGGGAGGACACTACCACATTCCAGACATTCATCCCATGACCAATGATGTGTTTGACCTTGCCCGTCTCCAGATCCCACGTAACCACAGATTTTCGTGTCTTCTCTAACCTGGTAACGTCAACTAGGTAATGGCCATTGTAGCTTATGTCAGCAGTTGTCAAACCTGGGTAGTGACCACTGATTTGTAACGTGTACCGCTTGGCTTTGTCTCTCAGGTCCCAGACTATAAGTGGAGCATTCTCACATGAACACACTGCAACCAAGCCGTTGCCGCTGACCATCACTGTTTCGATGATAGCGTTCAGACCGCTTTTAAGCTTCGCTACAAGTTCTCCTGTGTCAATGGAAGCCAACTTAAGATACAAGCGATCTTTGGAGAGGATGAGTACGTGTGTTGTGCCAACCAAAGCACAATCGCTGAATTTCAGAGTCGTTGACAGAGCAGGCACTCTTGGACTTTCGGCCAGCCGCAGAGCTAAATCTCGACGCTTGTACAAGGAGCTTGCGTGACGGTGGACTTTATCCGTTTTGGGGGGAAAGTCAGATCGCATGTGCTTGATCAGTTTTCCTTCCTGAAGGTCGATTATAGCAAGTTTAGTTCCACAACGAATGACAGCACGAGTGTCATCGACAACTAAAATTTCATCTGCATTGGTGTTATTCAAGGTTCGAATTATCTGACATGAACTCAAATTCCATACACAGATGGGACCAGGAGTCTTTGACTTGGTGATAACTTGCTTTTGAACACTGCTTTTAATTGGTATTAGCTGCTGGATGCTGTTCGTTTCTTTGTTGTCCTCAAAGCAGACTTCAGAACCTTCTTGGGTTTCCAAATCCCATACACGTGCCATTAGGTCATCGGAGACTGTTACTACCGTCTTCAAATCAACACAGGAAACTCTCACAATGGCAGTCGTTGGGGGATGCTTTAGCACCTGCTTTTCCTTAATAGCTGTTTCCAAGTTCCAGATTGCAATGTCATTGAAATTGTTGGTGCACAACATATGGCGCCCATTCTTAGTTACAGCAGGGTACAGAATATCCGGTCCTAGGATGTGAAGACACTTTCCAGTGTTCAACTCAAACACTCGCACACTACTGGACTTTTCTAGAGACACAATGAGCTGACCCCCGTGGAATGGAGTAAGAATCAATTTCTTCACAACATCCACTGAGTCTTCCCCAGACACCTTAATAGACAAACGAATGTCCTTCGTATTGAGATCGTAGACTCTAACGTAGGCCGCTGTGGAGCTTGCAAAGGCAACGCTATTCCCAAGGCCAGCAATTCTGTCATGGAGGAACTTCTTATCCACAAAATCCCTCGTGAGTGTTCCATCGGTCAGGTTCACAAACTTGATAACCTTATCTAGAATCGCCACCAAAGTGTCGCGGATTCCAGCAACTGCTATCGGAGCAGGCGTTTCTGTGCTAGGGATTTCCCAAACCATTTGTGCTTTGTCAAGATTCCAAAATTGCAGTGATCCTTGACAAGATGCGATTACAAACTGTTCATCAAGGCAGAACTCCAAATAGCGAATTGGTCTGGATGTATCTAAAGTTTTTTCAACCTCGCCACTTTTCACGTTCCACAGGGTAATAAGCTGGTCATCAGATCCATTCATGGCTTTGTCGCCATTTTGGCTGAGGACGAGAGATCCATGAAGACTTGGCAGTGAGTGTACCAGTCTTCCACCTGGTCGTGCAAGACAACGGACGTTGGGAATTAGAGCTGGATTGGAAGGGTGATGAGCTTGACGCAAAAGTCGAGAAATGAAGGGAGATGGGGAACGAGAGGAGGATAAACGTCCGATGAGCTGTGACGACAACTGGTCTGTAGATACGTTTAAGGCTTCCATAGAAAGTTGCAATGTCTCAAAAACAAGCTTTAAATCTGGGTCGTCTGGTCTGACAGCCAGAGCCTCAATAAAGTCGTCAATAACGTCATGGACTGAGGTAGCTTTCAGTTTAACTGAAAGAAATTCAAAGTTACAGAGGGCGCTCTGTTTGAGCCTCTCAAAATCGTCAGATTTCAGCAAGTGAAAAGGGAGTTCCTTCATCTTTCTGTAGTTGAACACATTATCGGCAAACTGAAGTGGCTGACGAGGAAGATGGCGTTCTTTCACGTTCCCCTTCCCGTCTCCTTTCTTTGCACCTTGAGTCCATCGACCGATAAAATAATCAGCTAGCTCCGAATGAAAGCGTTGAAGGTCCTTATCATCGGAGAACAAGAATTTCTCCATGGCAATGTCATGAAACTCCTGATGTGCCCAAGTGATCAAACGGACTCCATTTTCAACGTGTGCAGCAAGGAAGCAGCCTACGTCAGCTTTAATTAGTAACCAAAGAGACAAAGGAAGACGTCGAATTGGTGGAGCCCAACTTGAAAATAGTTTATCTAACACAACTTCATCACAAGACAAAACATCTTCCAAGTCTGCTTCGCTTATTCCTCTCCTGGAGGCGGTTATGTACGCAAGACTGTGTTGGAACACCTCCTTTCCGTGTTTAACTTCCAGATGTTCGAACAGGGAGATGATCATCTCTCGAACTGAAGCACCGAGACTTGCCTCTTCCAAAGCGGTATATGATTTCCACGTGAGAGCCTGTTCTAGGGCGAGCTTTAAGTAAAGCTGAGATCGACAGTTTGAGACCTGCTTCAGCAAGAGGCTTTCTTGTGGTTCAGTCAGCTTCCTGTTGCTGTTTTGTAAACATAGTTTCATGATGTTCACTGTTTCGATATCAGTCAACTCTTGAATCTCAACAAAATGGCTCTCATCAGCAACATTTCCCTGAAATGATAACCAAAGAAATGAGAACTAGAAACGTTTCTGTTGGTCAAGATATTAACGGGTTGTTCGGTACCCAACTTAAAAAGAAAGAGATAACTTTCAGAGAAATGATAACTCCATGGGACGAGAAAAAAAAATACAAAAAATACAGCTTATGTGGATACTTACCATTATTAGTATAGTGAGGTACACACAGCCATTCCGCAAGGCAAGTTAAAATCACGTGAGGAAACGCTGACTCTAATTTCATGCACGATGTAGATTACACAACCTACCTTAAGGCAGGAAAAGGCCTGGTCTCCAGTCAAACAAGTGAGGACAATCTTTACGTGAGGAGGCAGCTTATTTGGCAGCCATGACAACTCTCGCTTGATATTATAACTCCATAGTTGATCCAATGAATCCAACAACACCACCAACGGTTGAGATGGAGAGGCTCTTCGAAGCAGGACATGGAATTCTTTTTCTAGATTTTGATAGTCCTGTAAGAGATTGAAACCATGACTATAAGGCTAAAAAAACCGGGGACATTTTACATTGATTGTGAATAGTCAGTTGAATACTGACCAATCACAAAACAGGTTAGGAACACGAACAAACTTTCAACCACAAACTAGCCACTCTTGTTGCTTATAGCTTAGCTTTCACACGCTTGAGTTGCTTTTTCCCCAGAACACATTAACATGACATCTCTAGTGTTCATGGTTTTCTGAGTTTTACAGAAATGTCGCTTTGCGTCCCTTAGTCATCGTATCGCATTTCTGTGGACACGGCTTTGACACTACATCAATTGGCCGGTCAGATCAAAACGGGCTTTACAAAAGATTACGCCCTGATCGTTTGTGGGGAGAGACAATCTCAAAAAGGACCTCGCTGTTCAACAGAGAGAGCCTGGTGTTTTGGAGACGGTCTTCAACAAAATCTCGGTTCTTTGTTCTGCTTTCAGTTCGTATTAAAATGTTTTGCCATAAATTTGTTTTCTTTTTTACTTTAAACACTGCAACAAGGAAGGAAAAAGACCTAAATATACCCAAAAGTCGGTTAAAAATATCTGGAGATTTTGATTTCTGCAAATTTGCTTTTTCGTATAATAAACAACATCTCGGTTAACTTGGGGTTAATTTGAAGCGTGGAAAGAAAGTGGTACCCAAGCGAATAAAAAATAATTCCAAAGATTGAATTTATGCCTATTCTTTAGGATTTCTGCTCTAAAAGAGAGAAATTTGCTATAGCCCGGTTTTCTAACAGTAGCTTTACACAAAATAATTCAAACAAACCTGTGGCACTTTCTTGGAATCTGCTTTATAAACAAGACAAAGTTGGCGGCAAATGCTTCGTAAAAGTGAGTGCACTTTCGAAGAGTGGTGCGTAGTGCCAAGGAAACGTACAACAGTTGCTACTTCACCTCCATACCATGTCTGACATGAATTAGCCGCCATTGCAATCAACGATGTCTTACCACAGCCTTGCTTTCCATGAATAACAAGCGGAGAATTGCTTTGCCCTGTAATGTAGTCCTTGATGGCATCAAGCGCTTTACTGGGAATACAAGTGGAGGAGGAGGAAAGATTTTTACAGTTTATTACATGCTGAGCAGCTTCTTCAAACACCTCATTGTCCCATTTAGTATTTCTCTTCTCTTTGACAGCTTCCTCAATGTTTTTCTTCATCTTTTCATTGTAGTATTGACACAGGTTTTCAATATATTGAGCGTGTTCTTTATTCGAGTGAGTATCAACACCTTTCTCACCCCAATTAATGTTGTACGAAGCGATATTACTATCAGCAAGTTCTTTGGGGATTTGATTTTCTTTCAGTGACTTAAGATTAGCCTTTGCGGACTTGTCCAACCCTTTTGCAGCTCCTTTACCACGCACTTTCAGTGGAAGTTCTTCAACGTCCACATACTTTGCTGCACGGGGATTGTTGAGGTTCCCTTCTATACCTGTTATGTTGCGTCTGAACCAAAACGCCTGTGAGCTTGAGGAATTCCTTTCTAAAATTCCCTTCTTTATCTCCTCTTCTGAGTCTGCAAACAGACATCAAATCGCCAATCATCATACCTTCTAAAACGTTCGACGTATCCATATTTGTACATCAAAACGAATGCTATGCCTGACCTTCAAAAAACGTATTATCTCTCTCTTTTCTTCACAATGCCACACAATTTACGACATATTAGCGATTTTTCACAAATTACTCTATTAAGAGGTCTCGAAAACAGGAGCTGTTTACCATGAAAGGAAGAAATTGAGTCGAAAATTGTTCTTGACGACTTGAAAAGTACCGGTGCTTACTAAGGAGTGGCAATCAATTAAAAAGTTCTCATATTTTCCAAAACTGATTACAAAGAAATGTTAATAGTAAAAGAGAAACGTATAAACAACATCATCATGACTCACTGTCTTGTATCATTGAGAAAGAGGGCTTGCCCCATGCACAGGCTTGTAGAAATTCCATTGCCCTCTTCGTAAGTCCAAAAGTTAAATGGATAACAAGGAAAATACAGCAAGGTCCAGACGAAAAACACCGTTTTCATTAGCCTGCTCGCGGGCGGTAATTGAGATTCGCGGTGAATGTTCGGTCGCCATATTGGGCGGGAGGAAGATTGTCCCAGACCCTCCACCCGTCCAATATAGCGAACGAATATTCGATGCGCTGAATCTCGTGTTTGAAAACAGAAACTACCACTTGCAAGCAGGCTATGTTTTGCAAAGAGATTAGGTTCCTATGTTACCTCAGACGGAGTTATAGATACCCCACCCTTCTACTTTAGGCTCGAATTTTTAAACGGAGAAAACCAACTTAGTTCCTTTATAGAACATGATAGTTACCAGAATGTAAGTACTTATGCACTGCATTTTCAGGCAGCGTCTTTGTAGCTGCCTTCCGCAGGGCATTTTGCAGGTTGAGGAAAACTTCCCACCATTCCTTTAGCGCTTGTTGCCTGGCTTCGACACTGGGAGGATCGAAGAAGTCTGTAAACTGGCTGCTGATTGGTTGAAGGATATACTCCGGTGGGATGGCGTTGTCATCACGCTTGAACCAAACTTGTAAGAGTTGCTTTTCATCTTCATCTTCAACGGCAGCGAACAAGGAGTCAAACTCAGAGGCAAGAATAGTGCGAGGGAAAGGACGATAACCGTACTTATGACTCAAAAATGTCTGTAAAAGATGATCATAATCGCGTTTAGGACAGTCTAGGTGGAAAACGGACCAAACATATATTGTTTTTCCATTAACATTTACCTTAGTCTTCTAAAGTAAAATAATTTTAAAGCCATATTTGATTTGAATGTGCGACTGCATAAAGATGGTCGATTGAAGTTTTTGTTTCTAGCACCTATTGAGATGGTAAGTTGCCACCCGCAGCTTCTGTCGCAGTAACAGACATTTGGAAATGAGCAAATTCATTTTTCAACTTTGAACTTGGTTTTGCATGAAAAAATGCTTTGTGAAATACTCGAATATGATGTAATAGGAGATGAAAGAGGCAAATAAATATGTATGTCCAGTTTGTCGTGGAAGAGGCTTTTCCTACATCCAAACCTTTTTTGAGAGCATTCAGTATGGATGTCACAAAAACAGCCCCAATTAATCCCAGCAACAAATTAGAATTAAAGAAAATACTGTAGAGGCCCAAAAACATCATAAGGTATTTACAAATAAAATACCCCCCCCCAAAAAAAAATACATTTCATCATAAATATGAGATGGAAGGAGAGAAAAAAGAGAATAAAGAGTGGTGTCTATTCTGGTTACTCACCACAAAGTTGGGACCAGTTGAAAGCTCCTGGCAAAGACTGAGCTCTTCTAATGAAACCTCACTAAACATGTGGTCATCAGTGCATGGATCGTGAATACCCCAGCGCATGTCCACCACCTGAAACTCATAACCTTTCTCATGACAGAAGTCTCTCAGTTTGGGATAAACTCGGCTCATCAGAGCATTCTGCTCGACTCTTGCATCTAAGTTGGGGTGAAAATTTTCAACAATAAAGGAAAGACCAGAAGCATAAATTCTGCTGCTAAAATGTAAGTCTGCCTAAGAGGGAAGAGAGAGTACCCCTGGGAACAACTTGCCAACAAAGAGTTCTACCACCAAAGCCCAGTGGGTCTTTGTTTTGGACTAAGAAGAGCAGGTTGGCCCTCTCCCATGAATCAGCTAGTTTCTGCTGCTTTTCCAAATCTACATTGAGACCAGTTGTTATCTCATACATAGAATGATGTAAGACACAGGGCTGATCATTACACATGGTAAGGAAAATCATATATTTTAGCCTGAAATAGGATAAACTGAAAGGTACACCTCACATAGACCTCCCACATCATGGCATTATGATTTTTCTTCTTCATGCTTGCATAATACCCTTCTTGGTGTAACTTTGGAGTGGAAATTCCATGGTTTTTTTTATGAAAGAAGTTTCACCCAACCACATCATAGGGGAATTCTCTTTCCTTTAGTGTGTAAGCAACCAATTCATTGCTGTCCCTCTTTTGATTCATGTGGAATCAAGCACAGCTGATCTTTACTATCCTTCTGTTTTAATGATAATTAATACCAACTTGCTTATTAGAACATCTAAAGGGAGAGAGGGTTTCAAAAGTCTGAGTAAACAAAAGGCTTCCTTTTGTGGGAAGGAGGAAACAACATTTATAGTGATGTGAGCAGGAAACAGGTTCCATAGTCCTCACCTCTCTCAGGAAATTTGACATCTATCAAGAACCTAGATTTCCCCTTGTGATTAACTGTTTTATGCTTTTTACTTACCTGTAAAAGTGGAACTGGTGAATATTCTTACTATCTTGGCTGAATTAGGAACTGTCACACTCATGTTTCCTGACAAAACCTGATGGTAAACATTGTCCAAGAAGAGCAGTTTTTCTGCTGATTTTTCAACTTCAGCATCCACATCATTAACTATTCTCTGAGTTGCTGCAGCATTCACAATTTTTTTTCTATCAACATCGCTTTGAAATTCTAGATCTGTGGAAGCATGTTGGTCACTTAAACCATTAACAAGATGATTATCGGTTCCACTGACAGTATCAGGTTTCCCATCATTATCATCAAGGGGGTAAATATCAATATCTTGTTCTTCAGTGTCTGGAATATGGTCAATTGGACAAATTTCGATATCCACATCGGTTTCTTCCACTAGGTCCTTCTTGCCATTAGGCACATTTTCAGCTGATTTGGAAACTTGATCATCCTGTTTGGAAGTTTCTTTTTCTTTCTTACCAAATAACTTTTTGCTAATCTTTGAGAACCGCTCTTCTTTGTCTGCTTTAATTTTGGTTCTCCCACATAGCTCATCTAAGGAACTACTTGATCCAGGGACAGCTTTCTTATGCAGTTCCTGTTCGGGTGTTTCATATTGCGGCAAAGAAAGATGAAACTCTTCACTGGATGCTTTCAGTTCATGGGCTGGGTGTGACACATCAACTGCTGGCTGCAAGGATGTCTGACTTGCTTCTTTATCACTGAAAAGGTTTAAAAAAGAAACAAGAGTCCTTGCTGAGTATTGTTGGTTTACATCATTCAAGTGTAAAAGCCTTTGTCCAACTAGTCTACTGATCACATGATTGTGTAAATGTAAGCAAACATAATCTTCATAGCAACAAAAAATAAGCACTTTTCTAATACCAAGCATTAATTTAGGGTGATTGGCATGGCATCAATCCCATCTCTCCCTAGAGAAAGTATTAATAAATAACTTCTCCCCTCTCTATCAATACTTTGTCCATCAGAAAGGTAATGAGAACATAGAAAAAAATCATACTTTAACAGGAAATTCTCTGAACTTACATCAAGAGAAATATATCACAGTCAGTAAGGAGATTTTCCATGGAGATCTTGGGAGTGAAATGTTAGAAATGTTTATTCCTATCCAATTTTCCATCTTATCCTAGCAAACAAAGAAAGTTTACATGGGCCATGGAGAAAATGGCATCATTGTTTTACTTAAAGCTGGCTCAGTGGTTACACTCAAAATCTACTCAGCGACCTATTTGTTTGTCCTTTGACTCAAAAATGAGTTCGACAATCTCATTTTTATCAAGTTGCAATCAGTACATGAAAGTTGTCATAAAATATATCCTGCAGGTTTAGAGCCACATTGACATCTTGATATATCTTAGTTTTCTAAACACGATCCGACAATGGAAAAAAGGAGGGCCACCCAAATTATTGAGTAACAGAGATGAAATGGTCCACTACAGTAAGGGTCTTTCTAAATAGCTGTAGTATTGTTAAGGTCATCCTATGATCACAACATTCTGAGAATTCTTGGGCATTTTTGTGGTAACGCTTTAAAAAGGTATAGACCACAATCCATAAAGTATTTTTTAAAAAACTTCAAAACTTTAAATAAATCCATTATAAAGCACTTTATAGCTGTCACTTTGGCCACTAAAAAAAATTACAGACAATTATTTTTAAATCGCTATGACAACTGCAGGGAAGAGGGGTAAGATTTTGTTTCTCAATAAAGATTTTCAAGTCGGTTTGATCTATTATATGAAGATAACAAGGAACTGAAAGTTTGAGAAAAGATGTGGTACAATTGACCTGCAATATAAGAAAGTTTACTCATTATTTCCGGTCACAGTACTTTTCGAAAGATGCAAATTTCTTACATTACATAAAATTATGCAGGCTTAGCTTAATACTAGATCATATCTAGATTTAACCCACCGTTGTGTATTTCAGTCCAATAAATATTTAATTCCTTTATCCAATTGTCTAAACAAAAAGATACGCATACAATTTAATAAATGAAATCGAAAAACTTCGACCGGATTTCATCCCCAAATGCCATCGTTCCTCGTCGCTGAAACTCATTTTCTCTACACATTGAAGGTCAAAAACAACTTTACTCCAAACAATTAATTACGCGCCGTTGAGCGCTGATAGATTTGGCAATGTAATCGTTGGGTATTGACCCAATTTACGACCACATCTAACGAACGAAAACACTCAGCAACCCGCTTACCTATGGTTAATTTGGAATACCGCCAAATTGATCCGACCGAATTTTTTTTTTTTTTTGTGAGGTTAATCGAAAGAGAGGGACGTTAAATCATCTGTTTCTCGATACACAGAGATAATGTACTAGACGATACAATACGATACAAAGATATATATTGTGACTCCAAGTACTTGCTTGAGAGACCAAACATTGACACTCGCAAAAATATATAGGTGAACTCGTACATCTTAGGGAATTGTTCTTTACATACCTTAGAGTCAGATTTTGTTGTCCCGCTTCGAGATCGTCCTCTGAAGAACTTCGGACAGGCCTCCCTTTGGAGACACAACAGCCCATGTTCCCTTACCTATACTGATTTCAAATCAACACCTTTAGACGCACTTGGAGCTTCTCAGGCCATCGTGTCACACAACGACGAGCGTCAACTCAGCTGAGATGATTATCATACTGAAGTTAAGTATTATGGTTCGACACTGTGAACATAATGACAGCAAAAACTGACAGATGCGGTTTGTATGTTTAAGCGTTGGCGTTCAAGGATCCCTCGGAATGTAACGTAGCTAGCTCATAATGTCAAATTAGCATAATTTCGAATGCATCGAAATAAATAAATTTACTTAAATCTTACCTCCACCCAACATGGACTTTTCCATATTTCGGAAGATCCACTCTGTGGTATTTTAAATAACCAAAAAAATTTCCCTTAGGCACGAACGCAAAACAAATTGCGAATTTCTTGACAAGTCCCGACGGCCGAATGATTAACCTGTAATTCTCTCCAATACTTACAAGAGATCTATAGCATTTGAGTAATAAGAATATGAAGATTGATCTTCCTTTGTCAGCGGCTTTCAGCCTCGATTTGGATCATCACTGTTATAAAACATGGCGGGTTTGGCGCGAAGATAAACTTTGTTCACACGGTCATGGCCATTTTAAATCGATTTTCCATGTCAGTTAGCTGTAACAGCGAATATGTTTGAGTGGATTATTCCATAATGAAGTTTGATGCTCTAGAAAGAAGGAAATAATGGATTTGAACTTTTCGCAAGATTCCTTTGCGTTCAGCGACATTACTGGACCTTCCCATGTTAGCGGTCTCGAGTCCTTTTCAGACTTTGACGCGAGTGAATGCAGCGAGGCATCTTTCGCTGAAATTGTACCGAATAAAGGCGTTGACACTGATCTTGGAACATCGGTGAGCGAAGAAAATGCTGGTCAAACGAATGGTTCTTTGGAGAACGGGAAAGAGTCAAGTGCTACTGAAAAGTAAATCAACGATCACTTTAACAGTCTACAAATTTAAAATCTTGACTATTTTTTTTTCATGAGGCTGGTCAGATGTTAACTTTGTGTGAGTTTTTCTGTTCATCGTCTGGACTGGTATGATTAAGCTGGATCTTCTCATTGTTTTTAAACCTTTTTAAGCTTAACCGTAGCCATTGTCATTTAGACGTTAATTGGGCTTGCAAGCAGCAATTAAGCCTAATGATGTAACAGAAGGCGCGATCATGGTCAAATCTTTGCGATCAGAATATTTTAAGTGTGTTGTAAAACATTCTCCTAATGGTATAGCCAAAGATTTCTTTCATGATGGATCTACTGCCATCAACATGACTCTTTCGATACTGTTGTTTATTACCTGTTTGATTTGACAACGTATACAATTGAAAGGCGAAAGGATCTGATACGAAATAATTAATAATCATTACAGTATTTCACACCTGTTGTGCTCTGAAGACCATCTGACTCAACTGCAAATTTTCAAACTGTCTCTTCACCTTTTCAAATTTTGTGGAAAGTATTGCTTTCAATCTTTTCAAATATGAGTTACTGAACCTGTAGTTTGCCATCTTACAGTCCCACGAGAAATGCAAATTAATTCAGTTTGAGCTATATAATACAGACTGTTTTTCTAACCACACATATGATAAAATTTCTGAATTGTGATTGACTGGGATTTTTCACTTTTAGTGGAGTCTGTAATCAAATCATTTTACAATTGGTTCTTTAGTAATGTCTGTACTGTTCAGGTTTTGCAGTTAGATTTCATTTTACAACTGATATGTATGAAGTTCTTGTCATAAGCATTGTCAGAAGCCATCCTAGGTGAGGGCCTCTTACACCCTTGGGTGTAAGAATACTATTGTTAGCAAATCCTTCTACCCATCAAAAGTGTTTTGCACAAAATGTCAACGTTTTATGAGCAACTCATTCTTTGACTTTTTTTTCTATATTCTTTAGGTCATCTCTAGGACTGCAAGAACTGAACTCCAACAACATCAACGAGTTCTTTGAAGCCATTCACAATGCAGAGTCACTTGGTATGCTTGAATATTTGTGCAATTTAGAGAACTACAGCTATCATAGTTACTGTAATTAGAATTCCAGACATGGTGCAGGGGTTTTAGCAACTTTTTCTACATGTAGCTTCCTATTATACCAATGGTGTAATAGTTAGTAGTGTCATAAGGCACAACCCTGATATGAGAGCCTATTTGCAGGCTAAACAGACAGCAGTGAAGGGTCTTACAGGTGGCAGTAGACTTGCAGAAACCAGATTTTGTTGAAAATTCTGATGATGTCCATATAGTTAGCTCAATTAACTTTGGGTGGAGCAGTGTTGAGAGGCTTGAGACCTGTCTTCTGTTATATACATACATTATACATACATACATACATACATACATACATACATACATACATACATACATACATACATACATACATGGTTAATTGACCNGAAAACGCTACGCGTTATTGTGCTACGAGAATATCCGATACAGAGCTTGGAAAGCTTTGTGCAAAGGTCGGCGTCAATGTTCAGCAGCTAGTTAATACTTGTTCGTTAGATGTTGAGGTGAGTCAGCAACTGTAAACGAGTTTATGGTACTTAAAGGAATTGATAGCCGAAAATTTGCTTTCTGGAAATGGGTAGCATTCATTATTATGATAACAACTACGCTGTCTATTCATTATTATGATAACAGCTACGTTGTCTATTCTAATTCTGTTTAGGTTACTCCATTTCCTAGCGAATGCTTTCCGGAAGAAGAAAAATCGTGGAAGCGCTGATTTTTAGGAAATCACCACAATCTGTGTATCGGGAATTCAATCTATTTCTATGGAGAACTCCAATAAATTATAATAGAAGGCGTAGATAAAAAGAAAAGAAAATACATTTTACAGAAACTATCAATTTCACAGCTAATGCGGCTTTACAATCGTATTATTGACTCTTTGAGTAAGTATAAAACACTATCCGATAATTAATTTGGATAACAATGGGTATATATATTGATTAATCTAAAGCCTTTCACACGATTAACCACCAAATTTTACCTACCTGATGAGCTTCGTCACTATGGTTTCCGTGGTGTTGCATTTAACTGGCTTGAAGACTATCTAAACAATAGACAACATTTTTTCAGTTTAATGGACTTAACTCATCCAATACAATACAATACAAAATTCTTTACTTAACTCATCCCATTCATACATACATACATAGGTTAATTGGCCACTCCCCAGAGGGGCTTTTCAGGGCCAAAACCCACCCATCCCACCCAAGGGAGCACATCCACCACACAGTGATCTCGTGCGTGGGAAACTAACGTCTTCTACCGCTAACCCTGCAGGAGACGGGGCCTACGGTTTATTCGTCCTTATCCGAGAAGACTAGAATATCTATCCATTTCTTGATTCTAGAAAGGTAGCAAATTCTCCTCACTTATTTTAAGACCATGAGTATTGGTCCGGCCGGGGCTCGAACCCTCGACCTCCCACACAACACAGTCTGGTGCTCTAACCAATTGAGCTAACTGGGAGGCGGTTAGCTCACTTTTTTGAGGATGTGGCTTTTAAGAGCTTATATTGTGCTAGTATACATATAATTGTTTGCATTTAAGTGCAAATGTTGACAACACATATACAAGGTAATCTGGAAAAAAATATATGCATTGGAAAAAAGAAAAGGTTTTTAAGAGCAGATTTGTGATTTTGTTTTAGGCTTTGCAGCTTTAAGTGAGAGTGGGAAAAGCTTGGCTGGAGATGAGAGTTCACTTGGCATTTTGCAATTGGATGGATTACCAGGTAACTGCCTTTCTTTTAGTTTGTATTTAGGGACAGTGCAGAACTCACCAGTACCGTTTATTTATCTTTGTAGACTTCAGCGACGATTTTCAGACTGCACCCGATTCTTCAGAAACTCCACTGACATTAGAAAGAACTTTAGTTGGTAATGAAGAAGACAGCAATGACCTCGATGAAGTTGTACTCGATCACCACACAGATGTTGGAAATCAACCAGGAGAGGATATCCCTTTTACTAATGGGTCCCATCCACCTTCAGACCAAACTCCAGTTGTGAACAGGAACACAGTGCTGCAATTAGAAGAAGAAAGACCAGATACTGGTATGAAAGAGTTGACTGGAACAACTTATGTCAGGTTAACCCTTTAACTTCCATGAGTGTCCAAAACAGGATAAAACACAGACACTCAAGTGATAGGATAACAAATTGTAAAGTTTAGGGATTAGTAATTATTCAATGCCAAATTCAAAATTATGTAGATGTACTGCACAATGCTTTAGCTGTTACTACAGGTTAACTCGTTTACCTTCAGGTCAGGATCCGGACACGTTTTTCAGTTCAAACAACGTACAAGCAAATGATAATTTTCAGGAATCTGTTGATGACGAACCTTTACAACATAGCTATGGTCAAGGTATCTAATGATTTTGTTCTTGTACTCAACTTTTTGCAAGGTTAAGAGTGCAGTTGTTCCAAATGAATATTATAATTTGCTCAAAGTACATTAGACAGAATGTGATGATATTATTTGTATATGTTTAAACTTTTCGAATCAGTGCAGTTTAGCACAGGAAAGGGTGAACAAAGAACAATCTTTTGGTCATTTGTAGAACAATGCTATAAGCATTTTATGACAGATGAAGCAATGGAAGTGTACCAATTGATAGGAAATTAGTGATTTGGTAATTTGTCTTCTGTTACTTTGTTATATCAAAATGTCAAATCAGCAGAGGTTTCAATAAAAGGTAGTTATCAGGGATCTTCCTGGAAGACGTCTTCCCATCAACTTCTGTTGGTGGTTTGCCGTACAGGCCTTAGACTGGACACAGCTGCCTATCACACTACACCAGTGGCAGCCACTTCGGGATACATTTATTGAAATTGTTGAATCAGTTACCAGTTACAACTGGGTTTTTTTTCATGTACATTGCTCAAAGCATCTTCTGGGAGTGATTTTTTGTCATTCTCGTTTTACAGAAGAGCTTGATATGATGTTACAGAGGAGAGCAGGGAGTGGTGATGGTGGAGAGCTGATTGATAGGGTGTCATTGACATCCAGTATCAGTTTCATTCAATCACAGACATTTCCTGACAGTATTTTCAGTCAAAGCTTTGGCAGGTATTGTGTGAACCTGTCAGCATTATTTAGTTATTGTTTCCCATTGTATCCTGGCCTTTTGCTACTTTACCAAATTATGCTGCACAATTTAGGAAGCTATTCCTTTTTAATGATTTCTATTCCCCTTTTGCAACCCACTTCAACACATACCAGAAGTTCAAACAGGTATCCTGTAAAGGAATACTTGCAGTGGTAAGAAGTGTCACAACTATGAAATTTTTTAGTTGTCTCTAAAACACATCTTAATGTCAGTAGTCAAGGTGGGCTTGCTTTCAGTTTTGTATATCAGTAATTAAGGTGAAAAAAAAAATATTCATTAATTGTTGTAAATGTATGACAAAGAAAAAGTGAAGTACTTCTGTAATGATTGGAACCTCAACCTGGTCTGGTTTGGTGATTAGATTTGCAACCAACTGGGCCTCAGAGAATTAGTTGGCAAGCAAGGATACATACTAGGTTCATTTCTTCTCCTTGTTTGTTTGTGCATTGTTTTTTTGTTTTGTTTTGTTTTGTTGTGCTTTTTTATTTCAATATAGCAGCAGAGGGCTTGGGAGTGGAATGGATTCCAGATCTGAAAGTGATGGACAAGAAGATTGTGATGAGGTCACATCACCGCCGCTACATGGTGCAGGAGATGGAAGTAATGATATTACAGGACGCCCTGGTCTTGAAGGTGCTAACTCAGATGTAGAAGACTTACAAATCCAGAATGGACCTTCCTTAGATGCAAATAACAGACAAGAAACACAGGCAATAGGTAAGTGTGCGCCTTTAAATACTGTTTTTATTTTATTTTGGTTTTCCATATCATTAAGGTACTAGTAGCATTGTACCAAAGTTTCATGGACAATTTTGTCTCCTTAGAGTTGCGTCAATCAGCAGAGGGTGTTGATGTTCTCCCTGACATTCTGGGTGATGGAGGTGGCGGTGGTGATGGCAGCAGTGGTAACAGTAGTGATACAGATGATGGTGGCCCAGCCGGTAAGAAAGGGCTTAATTTGAAAGGTCAAGTCTGACAAGCTGAGTGGCCAACAGCCACTAGTTTCTGTATTTTGGTTTCAGTAGCAAGAAACTACTAGGAGTATCTTTTACTGCATGGGTCTCTTGTCAGGATTGATTGCCATTCAGTAGTAATGTCACACAGGCTTAGCATTACTCCCTCATTTTACAGTGCTCTTTTATACTGCCCTTTTTATATTGTGAGGTTAAAATGTCTATCCCTAGACCACAACACAAAGAGTGGGGTGGGGCTGGAACAGAGACCTTTCAGTTTGCAGATAGGTGCACTAACTAGTTGGTCATTGTGTCACCCACTTTACCTCTTAGGACTATTTACGAAATAGCTAAACAGGACATGGTTATGCATGGGAATAGTGATGCGTTGTACTACATATCATTTGCAGGAGCAGCATATGCCTCCTCTAGTGCAAGCTCATTACCATCCTCAACATTTCCTCCATCAATCACATCATTTGGATTCATCAACCAATCAACAGGAGGTAACTTCCTGGGCACATCCTCCTTACCTGTTAGCGATGGTCTGACGGCAGGGAGAGGGTGTCCTGTTGGTGATGCTGCTGCAGAAAGGTCTCCTGTCCTGCCCTCTAGTCCTCCAGAATGGATAAACGAGTTGCAGGATTCAGTAACTATCCCACACTCTTTACAATTCCAATCTTCATCCACTCCCATGGTTAGAGAGGTATTGTCTCCTTTCAAAGAGTTCTATCAATTTGCAAATAGTTAAGTTAGTATTCTCTTGATCAACTCAGTTACAGGTATTGTTTGTAAGATTACAGCAAAATTAAGGGCAAGTTTCATTTTATTTTGTTTCTTGTTTGTTTACAAGTATATACTTTCTTTTAATGAATTAATAGGCATTAGTTTCCTTGTCCAGAAATCAGGCTCATGCTTCTGCATTGCTGATCTGTTGAAATTTCAGACATTTTACCAGGCTTACGAAACCATTTACTTTAATTACTTTATTTACATTTTTGCCCTGAAATTTGCAATGGAACCACTGCTTAGCTTTTGTTTAGTTTCAGTTTAGTTTTGAGCATTCATTACAGATCACGAGGAGTATAGACAATTAAAAACTGTCATTTACTTATCAATGATAGAGGTGCATGCACTTCTCTTACTTTGGATTGATAGTTTATTAGTTACTGAGGTGTTTTAAGAGAATTATTAGTTTTGAATGTTAAGAATTGATTTTCCTACTAACATTAGCAATTATGGAGGGATCTCTTCTGTAAGTTGTAATTTTCAACCACAGCATGTTCTTGATATTTGACAGGGTGTACCACAGAATTGTAACAACACAGGCACTCACAATGAAACATCAGCCTTGGAGTCTTATTATCTAATGGGGCACAATGTTGCCACGCCTCGTTCAATATGGGCAGAAGATGGCTCTTTTCATATGTCTCAGGTTTCTTTTTGCTGGTTTTATTCATGGCTAAGAACAATAACAACAACAACAAAAACAACAACAACAAAAACAACAACAACAAAAACAACAACAACAAAAACAACAACAACAACAACAACAACAACAACAAAAACAATTTTTATTCTTTGATCTTTTTACATAAAATAAAAGTGGGATATTTTTTCCCCACAAATAGTTAGAAAGCTAATCACGGTGGGGCAAGAAGTGTAGCTAAGATAATATTGTTATAGGAAAGTTGTTTCGAAAGTTTTCTTCATGTTCATGTACCTATCTGGTATAGTATAATAAAAGTAGTCTAGTTCAGTGGTGACTGACCTAATCTTGCCACGTGAAGTGTAGTCTGGTCTTACCAAGGCTACCCTCACTTGGTAAATTAGCCTGTTTATTGTACAAATGAATAAAGGCCGATAGTTTCTAAAGAAACTGTTTGGGACTGCATTGGTGGGGGTAACGAAATAATTTGGATATATCAACAAAGTTTAAATGGTAAATTGGCCACCGTTATGATTATAAAAGCTGACGTTTTGAGCGTTAGCCCTTCGTCATTCGCTCCGACGAAAAGCTAACGCTCGAAACGTCAGCTTTTATAATCGTAATAGTGGCCAATTTACCATTTCAACTTTGTTGATATATTCAAATTATTATGTTTATTGTACAGTTTATGTAATTGCCAAGTTTTCATTAGCCAGATTGTCAGAGCATCCAATGTCAAAGTAGGAATGTGTGTAGTTTTTTAATCCTCTTGGGAGTCTCAAAGCTGTTTTCTTCATCCCATGCTCGTGGTTATTATGTAATACTTCTCTTTGTCCTGTTATTTACTCAGCAGATGTTGGGCAACCGACAAAGCAACTCTCCTGTGGATGCTGAGTCCTTGAATTTTGACCCTACCGCCATTGAAGCTGCCCACAATGTTTCACAAGATAAGGATAAGGTAAAGCTTGGAGAGGCAACTCTGACTGCCTGCACTCCAAAGAAGTGCCCAGTTTAATTATGATCAAGTGATTGACAAAATAACAATTATGCTAATTTAAGATCATTACAAATTACACTTTCCGTGAACTGAGTAGAAATATGACATAATCTCCATATTATTTAAAGTTCTAAAAGAAGAATGCAGAGGTTTAAACTTTCATTTCTCCAATCTCATTTCCTATGCAGACTCTTATTTCCAGTGAAACAGCATTTGGAGGTCATTCAAATCAAGAATCAGATCAGAGGTTTGGAAGCTGGCCTGGTGATAGGTCAGCTGTGTCTGCTTCAATTAATCAGAGTAGTCCAGACTTCTCAATCAAGTTCGGCAATAGCATTTTCAGTAATGGGGACTCAGCCATTGACAGTTCAAAGCTATGGAAGGTATATGCAGCTGGAATAGGAATGGCATTACTGCATGTCTTGTTAAAATATAACCCCACTGCTGACTGCAGCCTTGCAATCACTATGTTTGCATTAAATGGATATGCCAATACATGGTGTATTCTGAGAGTTTGAAGACATACACCGTTTAAACAGAAATTCTTTGTGTTGCAGACGGTTGAGAAATTGACTTTTATATTTGAAAAAATGGCAAAACTATTACCTGTTATGAACTGTTACAAACTGTAACAGGGACACACAGGTAGTGGTAAAAACATTTTTCTTTGTTTATTTCAGTCAACACCCAGAGATGAAGAAGAAAACGGAATGAGGTCTACACCTGGAGTTGTATTCCAAGGCAATCAGCGACCATCTACTGTGACTGGACAAGTAGCTGTCAATAATCAGGTATAATGAAATAATTTTCCACTAAAAAAGAAACCAAGATAAGGCAAATGTCAGATTATGTACAGAGCTGTTCCTTCCAAACACCTAAGAAGTAGAGCAGAACGTTATAGAGTTCAATAGCAGTACATCTCACGATTCCGTAACTACTGTCTTGTAACAGTGACTGCTTTTTGATATCTTATGAAGCTTATGTTTCACAAAATAATATTTGAATTTCAGCTCAAGCAAGCTAGAACAGAACATTCAAGTGGTGGAGATCATTCTACAACCCTGGCATCGGGAGTAACAACTTGGAGAGAAGGTATTGAAGCCTGGGTTTTTATTTAATTACAATTTTAGAAGAACTTTTTTGAAGTCTTATAAAAAGTACTGTACAATCTGGCATGCTGCAACATACACAGTCATGCTAGATTTGGGCATGTCACCAGATCTTCCAAGAGAATGTAGGAGACTGTACATCAGGCCATTTTGCTCTGGCTGGACTTGTTGGAACTGAGTGCAGTGCATCTGTGTAATTTGAAAAAAAAAAAGTTTTAAAGTTTCTCTAAAGTTGTAATTCTGGATTCCCTGAGACTTTACAATAATTATAGTAAAGGGCTATCATTTGTGTTAAGATGTGGTCATCTCCAAAGTGGATCAATCACATACTGTTAGGCTTCTTTAGGCAGTTAAGTCAACCTCATCACTAAAAGCAGACTAATTGGTCCCTTTAAAATTGTTGCTGTCTGTATGGGAAGTAACTTCATTACTTCTACATGCATGAGACGAACAACAACAGAATTAAATTGTATGCACTCTTATTCCAATATCCATGTAGGCATTACCACCCATAAAGTAAATCAGCTCTTTCTGCCAAATTACTTTAATCCAAGAATAACTTGTTTGGAGATCTCTGTCCATAAACCCATTCCCCCTTGCACCAGTATTTGAATATTTGATTGGATGGGTTAAAGGAAATTATGGCAAAATTACTAAAAATATGAGCTCATTATGTTGTTCCAAAATGCAGGAAATTCCCAGGGGCTAGTGGATCTATCAGGTGATCAGAATGATGTTGATCCACCCACTGACAGAACCTTGACTCCTGGAGGAGTTGCATATGATCCTTCTATCCAACAAGCTGCAGCACCTTGGGAAATTAATGCGATGGCCTCTTGCCCTTGGCCTGATGGTTCAGGTGAAATGCAAGACTCGATGCTTAGATCAAATCCATTTGAAGGTATGTTTTTAGCCAACTGAAACAGAATAAGAAAGAAAGAATATGTTGAAGACTTTATGGCATGTTGTCATCTCTTTTGTAGAGCAGGAATTTTATTTACCTGGGTGGAGTTAAAGGTCTTGAATCTGAAGTGGTTACTCTTTAACTCAAGAGCTGGCTCTGGTTGTTGAAAGGATGGATAACACTATCCAGCAGAGAACTCACTATCCAGCGGATAAAGATCTATTCTGGTTGATGGCCACCCTTTGAACAACCAGGGCTTGATTTATGATTCTCCCTTTGAGCTGCTATACTTTTCATTTTTGGTTATGAATTAATAAATAATTAAAAGTAAATTAAAAATTAACCCAGAGAATTTTGTTGTCTTATCAAGATAATAGGTTCCCGCTGGTAAGTTGACTTTTCCATGTCAATGTATTTTTATGACAAGAAGTAACACTTAGTTAATAATTACCTTTTTTTTCTGGGGGCAAGGAGTTTTAGGGTCGTTTACTCAAAGCAAGTTCTTTGGAGGTGTCAAACTGGTTATGGGCAACTGTTGAAGTTCTTATGATACTTTCCATTAAAGACATTGTAATGGTTTAACAGCTTTTGGGACTACCTTAAAAATACGGGCATCTTGCCATCACTGTTGACTGACAAACTGTCTTTATTTTGTAAGTAGGCTCCATTGATCAACACCCATGGTCTTTTGGTGGAGGTGGAGGTGGAGCATTATCTGAAGAAGATCAACCTTTAGGTAGTGGGAGCAAACATTTCTCCTGGACAGGCTCTGATTTTGGGTTTGAGGTGCAAGGTATAGGTGTATTTTTGTATCACCAAACCATGGTTGTAACTATACATGTAGTTGAGCAACAAATAAATAATTTACAGAAAGGTAGAATCTACACCAAAACACTCTATTGAGGTTTGATGAGTCTTGAAATACCAGTAATTAATTTTTTGTTATTAATAATACTAACAGTCTAGATGATAATTTACAATGCTCTTTGCCTTCAGGGCTCAACATTATTTGGTAAAAACTACAATGGAAGGTTTTTTAATATTGACTTCATACACAGAAGATCTCTTTTGAAAAAAAGTAATGAGCCCTTATTTACAACGAAAGGTGGAAAATTTCTGATAGAATCTAAAGATACTATGGTAATGGACAGTTATAACTGCACAACAAACAGTGTTTATATTATTCCAGCTAACAAAATTAATCATCATTGGAAATAGACCTTAGAATTATTTGCCTTTTCCAGGAGATGCAGAAGCAATTATTGCAGCAGGTGAAGAGAGTTTCAACAAGGAGCATGAGCTTGAAATTCCAGTAAGCAGATTTGCACTTACAGTAAATAGCATTTGTAGATAGATAGATAGATAGATAGATAGATAGATAGATAGATAGATAGATAGATAGATAGATAGATAGATAGGTAGATAGGTAGATAGGTAGGTAGGTAGGTAGGTAGGTAGGTAGATAGGTAGATAGGTAGATAGATAGGTAGATAGGTAAAAACTTTAGTAATGTGTCAAAGAACCTTCTAGTTTGAGAGATATCCCTTACTAATGTGGGGACACAAATAAAATGGATAAACATTATTTACAAAGAATATTAACTACTTAAGAATAAAATTGAGTCATATCATGCATGGAAAAAAAAAAAAAAATGAAATGAATTAAGACATAGAGCACAGCCCCTACAGCCATCATCTAATAGAGAGCTGAGGTCACGCTTATGTATGCGGTTTTGAAACTAGCTAATGTTGTGCTAGCTAATGTAGCTTTTAGGAGAATTAGGAGATCTTGTGATGAAGTTCTTTGCAAAAACTGGATAAAATTAATACACCGTGCAAAACTCATTCTCACAATTAAGGTTTTGCAGCTGGTATTATCCTGAAAGTGATGACTTTTAACTTGGAAAATCTTTTATATTCACTTTAACCTAGTATGGCAAAAGGAGGTTACGTCCATGACAAGACAAAGGCATAATATGTAACTACTTTTTCAAAGTGGATATAGGAATATCATTTTGAACTGCAGATGAATATTAAATGAAGACAAGATTGATGATTACTGCACTGGTATCACAGAGGTCATGAGTCCAATTTCTCCACAAGCCTGAATTTTTTTTTTTTTGCAGGCTTCATTTTCACTACTGCCTAAGTAGTGTTCATAATTGCAATGATCACCCTCTTTATTTTTCAAAGTGTTGTCAGATTGATGTGTAACTTTTTGTCTCTTGCAGTCTCACAGTGAAATCAGTGATACAACTAAATTACATGACTGGACTGTTCCTGAGAGTAAGTTCGTTACAAGACCATCCCTGCTCAAGGTTGTGGGTATCAATGATCCTAATAACTTGGGAGAGGTGCGTATTTCATTTGGTGCATTTCTTGCAGCAGGATCAGGAGAGCTCGGTTCATTGACTAGAACAAGTCCTGACAGACCCAGGGTAAGTCTTAAAAATATTTTTATTTTAGGGTTGGCAGTGGCATTGTTTGACCTATACCCAAATGGAAGCAGGAAGTAAAAGGTTGGCTTAGGCAAATAAAAAAAGGTGTTCATCTAAAACAAATCTTTAAAAATGCATGAAGGTTACCTGCAATGGAATAGCACCCCATCCTGGTGGAGTGGCAATACTCCTAGTCACATTACAACATAATTTATATGGAAGCTTTACAAGCTATTCTAGTTTGCAAACTTTTACAGAGTGATTATAGAAGGTAATCACTAATCCCACTCTTTTGTTCATTTTCCACTGTAGCCTCATTTTGGAGATGACAAACCCATTCTGACCCCCTCCCCACAACCACCAGTGAGAATGATCAGCAAACCCACTACACCATTTGATGAGTTTATTCAAGAGAGCACTGTAACTGACAATCTTTCAAATAGGACATCTGCAGATGGAGGCATCAAAGAGCCATTGCAACAGCAACCCAAACATGTTGCTAAAGAACCTCAAAAACACAATCAGCTGAAGAAAGAAGAAAGTTTAGAAGCAGCAAGTGGTCTTGGAACCTCAATGTCTTGGCTGTCTGCTGATGCACATTCAGAGGAACTTTCTTTGGAAATGCAGAAGTTGAAGCTTGATGAGCAGTTCAAAGTTGATTCTACCTTCAAAAGTAGAAGTAGAACAGCAAGTCAGACTAGCTCACAGAGCAGTAGCAGTAAAGGAAGTATCAAGAGCGTCATCAAGATAGACAGCTTTCAGAGTGCACAACCCAGTAAAAATATTGCTGGTGATAGTAGATCTATATCCAAGGAAGGGAAACGATCACACAGAAAAGCAAAACAGGCAAGTCAGGTTGTCTCAACTAATTCCCTTGATTTATCTTCAGGATCAGAACTGGGCCTGCAACAAGAACTTCAAGAGTTGTACAAACACTCCAGTAGAATAGGGTCTCCAAGGAGATCATCTGTTGGGGATGCAAGTTCTGCTGCATCACTAGAAAAGATGACCCAATTCATCGCAAAAGCTATTAATGAAGATCCAGATGAAATAAGAAAAAAATTAACTGCAGTAGAAAAGAAAAAGTCCAAGGCCAAGCTGAGAAGGAAACACATTTCATCTTCTGAGGTTGAATCGATATCACTCAATTCTAGGACATCTGACTTCAAGCCTGTTTCATCCAGTAGTCCTCAAACAAAGTCTTCACCTGAAAAGTTAGTAGACTCATCAGTAAAGGCTCATGGGATTGAGCCTCATAACAATTCTAACTCTCCAGACAAACTGGTGAGTTACTCAATTGAGGATAGTGTTTTTCGTTCACACGATTCACCATCAATGATCCCCCTCAGTATGAAGGAGCTTGACTCCAAAGATTTGTCTTTGGAACATGAATCAATGTCTTCCTCTGAAATGGGAAACTTTCAACATGTTATTCCTCAATTTGGTGAAACATACACACTTAGAAAAGATTCAAAGGAAAATAATCAACATTTTACTGCTCCTACGGTTGATCCCAGGAAACATAGGACACATGAAATTGAACAAAGACTGAACTGCTCTCTTCCTAAGGATGCAGACCATGATAATTTTTCACATCCTCCTATGGCAACAAGACAGCTACATCCTTTAATCCAAGAAAGCACCCTGTGGCAGTCTGAATCCTCACCACCTAGGCAACGACTTGAGACATCTGATAGTGCTGTTGGAAGCATGACTACCTCACTCTCTGAGGATGTTGCCACCACCAGACATTCGTGGCCAGAAGCAACTCCAAGGCGTTGGTACAAGACAAAGGAGGATTCCCATTGGGCTGCTAAGGTACAAAGTGGTGCCACCCAACCAGGTAGCACCACTGCAGCAGTAGGACTTGCGACCCATATTATTCCAACTGATGATGTGAAGGTAGCTGTTCAAACTAGCAGTTTGAATGAGGGACTGCCATCCTCTTTGTTGATACATGGACACCAGCCTGCAGGTTTAGCCAACCACAATAGCTCACCACTTGGTATCCCATTCAGTACTTCTCAAGGAATTGTTCCACTTGTTAATCAAGGGACTATATCACATTTGTATCCTGGTAGTGGCGTTACTGGCTCCATTGGATTATCAGGATTGGCAGGGCCTCTTTATCCAGGAAATGGCTTAAGTATTCAGACACATGGCCCATTGTCACATACAGCACCAGTTGGGTATGGTCCAAGAATGGTTCCTGTTGGCTCAGCTATGTATCCCAGTCAGGGACATGGCTTACTGAACACTTTACATGGTCAAGTTCCTCTTGTCCATACTGTTTCTGCCTCAATGGGACCAAAACCATCAAGTTTAACACCAACTTATGTCCAATCTGTCAATGTCAATATTCCTCATAAGGAACCCACCCACCAACTTCCTTTACAATTTCAATCTAATCCATCAAATATTTCTGGGTTGCCAAATACATTCACACAACCAAAGATACCTGCTTCCCTACCTTTCTATCAACCTTCTTTCCAACATGATCCCAATGGACTTTTGCAAGTAAGACCTGAATTTTCACAAGGAAGAGTGCTACAATCCCCTTCACAACTGATTATACCGGGAGAGATAAAGGTTCCTCCATTTTGCTGCGTGGGTGTCTTGACAGAAACGGTCATTCCTTTGCACAACAGCAGCAGTCGATGGATGCATTGTGAAATTCACTCTGTCTTATCTACTGTCAATGGGGTTCAGGTGAGCGCTATAAACAAGACATTTAATTGTGCATCATTTTAGCGATGAATGCTTCAAAACTAGGAAAAGAGCTCTATTTAATATAAATTGGTTAACAATCTTCTCAGTGGGAGATGAACTAGCACAATGGACAATGCATTTGACCATGGATAAAAATTTCTAGGTTAAAGCCCTTGTGGATGTCAGTGCACAATCTTTTTGGGTACGTTACTATAAATTTTGGTAAAGTCCACATACTGCCATCATCAGTAATGTTGAGAATGTCATGTGTGTAAATAGAATGAGAAAGATAGTAAATTTACCTTGATCTTTTTTATTCTAATTACACATTATGATGCTGATCCAAGCAGTATACAGAACTTGTGTCACAGATGAAGCTAGTTATAACCTGGCACAGTGTACTGTTAAGAAGTATCTGTGGCTCAGTGTTAGAGCTTATTTCTGTTGGTCATCACTTCCTTTCTCACTGTCAGTTGCCTGAGAATTTTTTTTCCCTGACATGCAGGTACCTAGTACCAGTAGTGCATTCTCTTGCCAGTTGAAAGCGATCATTGGCCCACATACCACAGAAAACATTAAGGTTAGTGTCTACACATGGCTCATCCTCGGTGCAAAAACCTGTGAAGCTCACGAGTGACGTAAAACAAAGACAACAAAACGTTATAAACAATAGCGTACAGCAAAACAATACCTCATGAAACAAAGAAAACCTCGTCAGGTTTTTACACCAAGGATGACCCCTACATAGAGCATATGCAGTGTTGAAGTGTGCTACACAAAGACACGCACACAAAAGTTGGTTTTGATTCTTTAAGTTTAATCTTTATTATAATAGCAGTTTGATATGTGGACATTTTAAGACAGTCATGATTATGGCAAATGCCTTGATTAGTTGACCAGTTTTAGGTATGCATATTAATTATCATGACATTAAGTTGTAAGTCCATGATTGTGGTATATAATGTTTCAGCGCTTTTTGTGAAAGAGGAATTTTCTTACCTCTTTGTTAGTTAAGCATTGAGCCTAAAGAAGCTGGCACGCTCACCACACAGCTGCAAGTTTACTCACTCCCTGTTGTGTCTGAAGTTCCACAAGTAACACATAGCGTGGGACCAGTGTTGGCCTTAGAAGTTGTTGCAGAAGAACCTCAAGTTGAGGTATGAAGAAGAAAATTTGAAAAATTGATCACTTTTATTATCTCAGCTTTAATGTTGATCTGTATAAAACTAGTTGTTTCAGTCAGTACATTTTTAGGGGGGTTGTTTCAGCGGTAAGCTACTCAATAGAAGATATTTAGTTTTTCTGCTGCTTTTGGAATTTGGTTGTATATAGTGTGTTATTAGTTAAAGTTTTTTTAAACTTGATAGGTTGTTCTTGAGGATGAAAATTCCATATTCTTTGGGGAGGTTTCTTTTGGGGCAAAGCAATGTCGACCAATACATCTTGTGAACAGAGGAAGAGCCCAAGTGCCCATTAGAATCATAATATCTGCAGTAAGTTAGCCACTTGATTAGTTTAGTATCATCTTAGAAAAGTTGTCATTGTTCATTAACTATTATTCTAAAACTATCAACCTAATAGGCCAATTGCATGGTGTCATACCAGCGAGAGTAATTTTACTACAAGTCCTTAACCGGTACTTCACTATAGTTACGATGAATTTTTTTTTTTTTTCTACATATCAGCTACTTATTGTCTGACATAGAAAGAGAGAACAAGTCCTTTGAAAGATTATTCAATCTTAAGCAGTCAACAAAATGTTTGATGTAATATTGATGGAGATTTCTTTTATACATTAATTATGTCTAGGCTGCATATGCATTGTAAACATTTTTTGCTTGTAATCAAACAGAATAGCAGCTCACTGAACTGTTTTACATTCGCTGATGCGGATTTCACCCCAAAGACTGACGTTGTGAGAGGACCTGCATCTGCTGGGGCTAAGGGCTCTGCGTTAACTATCCACACCCTGTTTATAAAGGGACGAAAAGATTTGGTGGGTGCAATTTGGATTGATGAATGTGTACATGGAAATTTGGATTACTTGTAGCTAAATGAATATCATTTGGGATCAGGATATTTCAGTTTTTTTTCTAGAATCTTTATTTATACACATAAACTTAAGTCTTCACACTCCTTTTGCAAAGTTTGTTGATATAGTTAACCCTTTTAACTCCCACGAGTGACCAAGGCAGAATAATTCCTTACTAACAATATCAAAACAATACCAAGTAGAAAGGATGATGAGAATATAATTATAGAAAAATATCAATTAGGAGATTTTTGGTTGATCCAATACAAAATTCTCCAAACTAACATCATAAGAACTGTATGGCAGACAGTAAGGAGAATCAGTAAATGAGATCCTGGGAGTGAGAGGGTTTATTAAGACAGGTTGTGATGCTGTTACTCTCTTCTCATAAATTAGAGCTAGGCAAAAAGTTTTTGGAAAGATTTTTCTGACTGTAAGTCGGCACAAATTTCTTTTTTTATTACAGCTGTATTTGTTCATATTTTTAGGGGGAAAGTTCATTCCTGGCAAATAGTTTCCAGTTTTCTGCATAGAATGCAAATAGCTGCATCTAGGTCTTTATACCTTTCTTGCAAAGGTTATTGACTGTATGCTTAAGAAAATATCATTTTGTTGCTTAATTTACAAAACCTAAACGTCTTGTCAACCTATGATAGTTTTTATCATTCTTAGCTTTAATATCAGTGATGTGTAAATACTGTATTATCATAACCTTCTGCAGACTTCCAAGGTGGAACCTACTGTTGTGTGGCTTCTGTTTCAGTCTCCAAACATGGGAGTTAAGAGTGAGTTGAAAGCATTATTATTTAAGCCATATTTGTAGCTTAAATTGAACAAGTCATTTCTTTGAAAGTGGTTCCTAACCTTTTTTTATTATTTTAGGTTCCACATCAGTTGGACCCCCGAATGAGTATACTGCACGACTTGATGTAGAAATTGACAGTGCACTGCAAGGTTTGAAAAATAGTAATGTATAATAATGATTCAAATCGTAATCTTTTGGTTTATTGCACAGGAACTTAAATTTAGATATCTGGTTCTTGGTAATGTTTCATTCAACTTATTCTCTCTCTGTCATATTTTGGACCATATCCATTCTTCCACTTGAGGTCAGTTTGTTTTCACTTTTATTCTTACTCACTCTTGATTATGACTATAGGCCTGACCATTTCCAGTGTTGCTCTTAAGGCCATTGAGGGAATAGTTAGACTACATACTCCACATAAAGTTCAGGTATGTGTGCAAGGTGGAAATGTCTCACATCTGGCTGTTTTTAGTCTGTCTGAAGATTCAAACATTTTCTCTGTTTGACTGTAACGATGACTTTGGTTCACATTGTAACAACTTTTACTGAAAATAGATTTCACTGAGACTACCCTGATGGCCTGACCATGGTTTTCAAACTGTATAGAGGTTGTAATGTCATTTACTAGATCTAAGTCATTCCAGGTCTTTTAGAAGAGAAGAACCATCAACCACTGTATAAGCCAACAACAAAGTGAGACTAGTCCAATAGGCCCTTAGCTAATTAGCTAGGTCACTTGAACAGCAAACAAAGATGATTTGTCCAGCACACTTTCCCCATTTCCTCACCCATCCTGTTTTGCTAAAGAATGAATTGAATGTTAAAGGTGTTGACTCTAAAAAGTCCAGTGGGGAAGAGCACAAGTTGTACAATTCCTGTCAAGAATGCTGGCAACATTACAGCTAAAGTAAATCTTAGGATTGAAGGAGACTCCAAACAATTCTCAGTAAAACCTGCTCAGTTACGCATAAAACCTGAAGAGGTAAGATATTTTGAATCTTCAATAGCTATAAACTTGAATTGGGATGAGAAGCCAGGAAAAATGTTGTTTAGAAAACAATTATGGAAAATGAAAATTTAACATTATCAAAAGGATTTTTGTTCAGAGTTGCGTCTCATTGTTTATAGGAGTCAGAGGTTCAAGTCGTGTTCCAACCCACTGAAGGAGATAAACAAGTGGAAAGGTAAAATATAAATTATACTTATATGATTGATATGACCCATATGGCCCCCATGTACTTCCATTGAGAAAAAGGAAACAAAAATCCCCCCCCCCATATAATTATTATATATTTATGAGGGTCATATGTGATGGCAAGAGGAGAGCCCTACAAAGCTGTCCAATCCAAGGAAATGCAAGCTATAAAAAGAAAGAATGATAGTCATATGATAACATGTTTAATGGACTGAGTTAGGTCAGGTTTACCTTGAATCAAACATTTTCCCAACTGTCCCTTCCACCAAGTCAATGGGTATGACTACACAGCTGTTTTTAGTTTGTACTTAAGTGTTAGTGATTTTGGATTTTACTTTACAAACTTTCAAAACTGTGCACAGTCTTGTTAGAGTTCTCAAACTTACTTTGCCAATGACACATGTGCATGGGTTTTCTTGTATGTACCAGTATTTCAACAGAGGAAAATGATTGACTGAATTGTAAAATGCACGTGTTTTCCTTAGCTTGGTTATTCTGGCAGTCCCCAATGGACCAGTGTATGAGTTAGTACTGAGGGGATCAGCTTTGCCCAAAGAGGATGACATGTAAGATAGCATTTTCTTTTGACTTGATACCAATTTGCATCTTTGTGAATTTACTGATCCTAATAAGATTCCTTAACCCTTTAACCACAAGGAGTGACTAACATCTAATTTCTCCTTACAATATCACCCCTGAATCACACATTAAGGTCAGGAGAATAAAGGAAATGATCACCAACCAAAGATTGAAGCTCTTGATTGCTTCACAAATTCTCCTTGTCAGCATCTAGGAAATGTACTGAGAACATTATGGAGAATATACATACTGATGTTAAGGTTTAAAGGGATAACAGAAACAAAGGATGAATGAACATTTTTCTTGCCTCCAATATGTGGCTTTGTAGCTCAATTAGTGGTAGTTCATAAGTGGCTTCTGTTGAAGCCTGGATTTCCTCACTCTGGCTTCTGTTCCTACAGATTCTTTAACTGAAGTTCAACTTTGAAGATTAATTTAATCATTCTTTGCTTACATCCTTAGTTTGAATTCTAAGGTATTTCATTATTTTATTCATGTCATCTTGTTGGTAGGTTTGCTTTATTAAGCAGTAAACCAGTTCTCTGCTGGAGTGGAGTGGCACTTGGATGGTCTCAGTGAGTATTTACAATACTGTCAATGACACAGTTTTAGTGACATTGTGCTGAATGATATGATTGTCAGGGCAAGACTGGTTGTTAGATCATAATTCTCAACTGAGTAGGGGTTTAGATAAAAGTTGACTTTGCAAAATGTCAGTTACATTAACTTACCACTGACAGTCATAAGCAAAAATTAACCTCACATTGTTACGTCACCAACTGAGTATTAGCAGCTGACATAACATTGGGATTTTGGGATGAGGATGTTCTTCCATTGGGGTACAAAATGAAAATAATACCATAGATTACTCAAATCTTGATTATTTCACCATTTTTCACAAGTCAATCGACATCTGATATGTTTGAATATGTTTCCTTGCACTTTAACAGGCAACAGAAGGTGATACTTAAAACAAGCTCTGCAACCCCAGTAAAACTTCAACTTATGATTGAGGGAAACCACTCGGACTATCAGGTTTGTTTGAAAGAATATAGAAAAGTTTTTCCTCTTTGCAATTAAACCAATGAGCTGTGATACACCTCATCTTACATGACAAACTAAAGTATCTCATGACCCTTATTTTTTTCTATTCCTGTGTTTCTTACCCATCTTCTGAAGTGGTATAAGTTTTATCAACAGTGGTAAGAAGTAGATGTGAAATTATGACACTGCATTTTTGAGATTCTAGAGAATAAACAACTTTCCCAAAATTCCTTTAAAATGCGCAAATAGCATGAAGTGACGAAGAGTATTTGCAACTCCAGGATCTTAGTCCATTGTGGGTTCACTCCTTCAAATTTTGCCAAGTTGCCAGTACTAATTAAAATGTCCCTGTATTGAAAGAGTTGCCATGAGTCAGATTTGAGTGTCTTCCTGAGAACACATAGTGAACCCAGTGAATACTCAAACCTGGAAATTTTGATTCTTAGTTGAGGGCACTAACCAAATGGTTACCACTTCACCTGTGTCTCTTTTCATGTAGTAGCCAACCTTAAACACCAATATTTACAAAACTTTGACAGTGTTATTTGTTTTTGTTCCAGATACAACCCATGTTTAGCTCACATGGTGGAAGCCCAGAGCATCCTCAAGCTACTCTTGAACCAAAGGTCAGTTGGAGTAACTGATGTGTTGTTATGTTCTACTCATCAAATAACTGTTGTCTGTGCATTACATCAACAGAAGGAACTTCCTGTCCATGTTAGCTTTTCACCATCATCCATGGGTCTTATCTCCAGCTCTCTGGTCATCAGATCCCTTGCTGGAAAAACAAAGTCTAAGGTGATCAACCCCTTGTCATTCTTCCATCATCATTGTTGTTGTTGTTGTTGTTGTTGTTATTATTATCATTATCATTGCAGTACTGAACTTCTAGATGCTGAGCTTACTAAAACATTAAAAAGACAGGGCGTAACAACGTAACCTATGTTCCTACCGGGATTATAACTTTCTATTATTTACAACATGCAGAAATGGTGGGAAACTAATTAATAACACTAATTAAGACAGCTTGTGTTCCTTTAAAAACCTAATTTAAAAATGACATCCTAACATTTGATAGAAAGACTGGCCACTGGTTACTATCAATTTTGCCATTATTATTATTATAAAATTATTAGTTGTAGTTTGTTTTTTTTCTGCGACAAGTAGACTGACTAAAAGAAAAAAAAAAAACATGTATACTTAAACTACTCTGTATCCAAATACTGATTACATGCAATGAAGTGTATTTAGATTTTTGAATTTGCTATATCCAAAATTTCTTAAATATATTTTGTCAGAATGCCTCTGCTTTAAAGTATTTTGATCTTGTTGTTAGAAAATAATTACACATTCATGAAATTATTTGAGGTGTCAGAATATGGAGAGGATAAACTGGCTTTGCTGATAGAGTGACCCCAGATTCTTTTTCTGCCATTAGATACCACTGTATGGCTGTGGTGGAACAAGTCAGCTGGTGTTAGTCGATATTAGGCAGTTGAGTGAAGGATATGTCACCAACATTGGAGAGGTAATTTTGTCAAGTATGACTGTTTCTAATGGTTCTTAAGAAGTTAAGAAAAGCATACTAACTAAGGCTGCACCAGGACCTGTCTCTATGATTGTCATCAAAGGTGGCTTTGAACCTGAGCAACAGATTTTTTAAGACCTACCGTACCACAAGATGACATTTGATATCTTACCGGTAATTTCAATTCAGTAACAGACCAGTGAGGTCAGCAAGCTTGTTTTTAGCGTTACAATCATTTAAGCCTAACTTAAGTGTGGCTTGAAGAGGCTATAATGTTTATTTTATAACATGATATAGAAGGCATTTAAAAACACATGTTTAACTCTTCATCAGGGCAGAACATTGCTTTAAGATTAGGGTATAATAAAAAAAATTTATTGTTTAAGTGTGTACCTAGACATTTATTAATTGAGTTGTGCATCAGTGAGCATTTATCAGTGTTTGGAGCATGCAGAAAGTTTGTAGAGCTTGAATTATGGATGAATATGGATATAGTTTCTATCTGACCACTTGCTGCGCAGAGGCTGAATTACGGGTGCAGTGTAAGGTTGAGAACAGACGTCAACATATCAGGCGCCTCTGGCATCTGCTTCAGTCTATCGATCTCACCTTCCCACCCATCCCACCCCAGGGGAGGACATCCATCACACAGTAATCTCGTGTGTGGGAAATTAACGTCTCCTACCCCAACCCTGCGGGAGACGGGACCTCCATTTATTCGTCCCTATCCGAGAAGACTAGAATATCTAACCATTTCTTGATGTTATAGAAAGGTAGCAAATTCTTCTCAATTATTTTAAGACCTTGAGTGTTGGTCCGGCCAGGGCTCAAACCCTCAACCTCCCGCACAACAGTCCAGCGCACTTTCCATTGAGCTTACTGGGAGTGCTCTTCAAACTTCTTCAGTGCTTCCTTTCCCATTAAACAAGCTGTTGATACATTAACAAATTTAATTGTGACAATTTGAACTTGGTAGTTTAGATGTTGTCTCAAAAGAAATTCCTTCTGCCACCCACAAGGCCTAGGCACATTTCATCTTTTTCTACAGTGAGAACATGTGGCACAATTAAATTTGAGTGTGCAAATATAAATTGACCCATATATCTTTCACTCTTAGGTTTCTCTTGGAAAGAAGAATTCTGTCAAAGTTGTGGTGAGAAATTCTGGCACAAGGGCAGCTTTTGTCAAGGCCATGTGTTATTCAGGTACTCCCAATGGAGGGACAGAAATTTGTACAGAGAAATGTCAGAATGAAAGATGTTCTAAGCCATCATTGTTTTACTTTTTTTTCTTTTCAGATATCCATACACTTCAAAGGTATCCTTCCAGTCACTTGAAAATTCACCCAGACAGTTTTGTTCTTTCTGAAAGGACTTCAAAGGTAAGCTGAATAAGTGGAAGTGCTTTAATAAGTTGTGTTGTGGAGTATGCATGTATGTATTTTGTGGAGTATGTATTTTGTACAACCACTGTTTGGGTGATTAACAATATTTTCTTAAGATGTGAGCATGTATAAATTTTATAACCTGTTTATTTCATTTATAAGGCTGTGTTAATTGAGTACCAACCTCTTGAGAAGGATGCAATCAATTGTCGCACATCTGTGAACTCTGTGGCTGTTGTGGCTTTTTATACTGGAAATGAATTTTTGAGACGACAATACAAGAAGTGAGTAGCATGTATCACTTGGTTTGAAAGTTCTCTAATTTATTTTCCTGATCTAGATTTTTTTGTAATGTCCTTGTAGAACTTCCAAGTCCAAAGAATCAAATTTCAAAATCTTTTGTTACATGGATTGTATCTTATCTAAATTGATGTCAACTGTTCAGCCCACACTCATTGGTGAAGAAAACAGTTAAGGAACAGATTATGACAAGTGTGTCACACATAAAAATAAAAATACTGACTGACAATGGTTTCTCTAGGAATCTGTATACCAGACCTCTTCAGCATTCTTCTCAAACAATAGAGAGAAGTCTTCTATCAGGGATTGACTTTACCACAGCTTTTCAAGATGAAGAGAAACTTGTTGAAGGTATGATTTGACACCTTGAAGCTACAGTCAAGGCTTATAGGTGAACAATTTCATAAAGTGAAAATACGAGCAAAATTTGCCTTTCAAACTCTCTGTAGCCAGAATCTCATGCAAGTAACTGCCACTGCAAGCTACTGTGCATAATCAGGCACCCAACAAGAACACTGAGAAATGACTTTTTCTAGGTACTCTCAACTGATGAGAATAGTGTTGTTCCCAACAACCGTAGTTGGCCTTTCAAGCAAGCACTTAACTCCTCTTCACCTTTTTGTTGGGGCACCTGCTGCATATAGACTACATACAAGCAATTTCAGGTTCAAATTTTCTTTTCGTTCTGACAGCCTCTTATTTTGTATTAGGTAAAGGATGCTGAAAATCCATTACATCCAGTGTGGTGCTGGGTTTCTGAAATTCTCAATTTGTATCCATTTGATGAAGAGTTCTGTTCATCTAATATATTAACTGTGCTTTTTAGATGTTAAATACCCAAAGGTGGCAAGCTGGGACAGTTTTTTCCAAGGCAGTGTGTCAAGAGTTCTGTTGACTTTGGTTGGTTCACCACCAGGATCCAGTCCCAACAACAAACCGGATCCCAACAGATCAGTAGACATTGTACCTGTCTCTGATAAACAGGCTGTGAAATCCCAGGAAACAAGTCCAGTTAATGGTGAGTGTAACAGGTTACAATAAACTTAAAGGTAAAGAATCCAAAGGTAAAACAGTCAGCTGACTGTCCACTGACTGTTGGTCAACTGTCGGCCGATGCATTGGCCACTGTTTATCCTTGTAATGTACAAGATGCATTGGTGGTGTGTTGGTAGTGTGTCGGCCAACATGTAGGCTGATGCGTTGGCAGGATCTGATTCTTTACCTTTACCTAAATTTGTGATCTTTAGGACTACTCACATCTATCAAAATTATAAAAAAATTGATGGTCAATAATAGTGTCAGCAATAAACCAGATCTGTGTTCTGCTAAAAAAAAAAAAATTAATCTTTCTTTCAAAGTGAGGTGATGTGGGGAATCTCTCTTGTGGCCATGAGTTCTATTTGCACCAGAATGCAAAGTCATTGTCATATCAAAGGCCTCGTACTTGTTTAAGTGGTGGACCCTAAGACGCAACATCCAATTTTCCTTTTGTTGGTTACTGCTGGTACATGTTATAATCTTTTTAGAAGTGAGTGTTTATAAACAGTGTTTGTACAACAGGTAATCTTGCAGCAGAATGTTGGACAGTTATACCCGACTTCCTTACTTTGTCACCTAGTAATTCAGGTAAGTTGGGCACTTTTACATCCCCTTTCTAATTGCCATACATAGTTTAACTTTATCATGACTACACATGTGCTGGGCTGAAGCAGCAGATTATTATTACTTGGTGGCTATATTAAGTCCTCAGGGATGATTAATCTTGTTTTTTCTGCAAGTCTAGTGAGACAAGTCCTCTATGGGCTGGTGAAGAAATGCAACCTGGCTTTTAGTTAGACCTAGAGGTAGTCCTTTTATTTTTGCCTTGGGATGGATTATCTTGAGCTTTTATTAATAAGCCTGTCTGCAAGGTTCATTGATAATTGATATCAGCTGCTCAAAATAGCCATCCTGCGTGTGAAAAGAAACAAAACTATTTATATTCTCTCAGTCATAGTATTTCCATCAAACTCTCTCCTAACTGTAGAGGATGACAAGAGTGGCAAAGGATCTGATCAACTTAGAATACTTAACTTTTCTGACCGTTCAATTGGGTGAGTATTCCGTGCAATACTATACCAGACATGAGCAGCTTTGTGTGAGATGCAGAGGCTTTATGAAACCTGCTGAAACACTGAAATAGTACAAATGATGAACTTTGTTGTCTAGACTCTCATATGCAATACACAAAGTTCCTTCTTGCAATTGAAACTGTGATAAGTTCACACGGGTTTAACCTGAGTGTGACTAGCCTACCTGTTGCTGTACCCTCCCCCCCAGAAGAAATGGAAAGGTGGGTTTCCTCCCTTCTGTTTCTCCTCGGGGCGGGGGGAGGGTATGGCTACATGTAGGCTAGGGTGCCACCTCCCAAGAAATTCAGTTTATTAGTGAAAAATGGAAATAGCAAGTATTAATTAACTTCTGCTGGGACTGCAAGATGGTCTAAAAATATTTCCAGAAGTTGAAGAACTTTCACTGTGGTATTTGGGAATATTAATAGTATTTTTATCTTCATTGTAATTTAGATTTGAGTTTACTTGGCCTGCACACTCCATTATTATAACACCTGAAAGAGGAAAAATCCCACCAAGGTAGGGAAAAAGGATCTTCATGTTATTGTTGACGTTTTTTTCTGTTGACATGGCTTAATGCTTGGGGGGAAAAAGTCATCACTAAGACTACATTGGTCAAACATTTTCTTTCTCCATTACTAGGAGTCAGGCCAGAGTGTTGGTTAGTTCCAAGTCAAATCTCTCAAGCTCTTCCACTCCTCTTCCTTGGGGAGGTACAATTTATTTGAAGTGTGATGGTAAACAGCAGGTATTTACAAAGTACACTTTATTTTTTGTGTTATCAAGAATTCAGCTTGTTTTGTTTTGTTGTTGTTGTTGTTGTTGTTTTTTTTTTTATCAGCAGCAACTATGACCTTCATGCAACACATTTTGAGAGTTTTATAAGAGCTTATGATAGTTAAACTTCTTTAATTATGTAGGTCTGAACAATGAATGGAAGTCGAAGATGGTTATGACATGCAATCATGCAATTTGTATTCCTTTTCTTGCCTAGATTCAATTTCCGTAATATCCTGGTACTGACTTTTTCTTTCTTCTGCAAGTAAGCTTGAACACACAAACCCGTTCTACATTTTGAAATAACTTGTACTCATTTTTTAATTTGTTGTGCAGACTATCAGAGTGCAGATAAGAGAGGAAAGAATTTTAGAGAGTTCACCGCATCAATCTGGTACATCCAATTTTCAGTCCATACCCACCATGGTCACAGGAAACACGCCACTTCCAACAAATCATCTGCCTCCCTTGAGAATTAAAAACAAAGATATTGTGTTTGAGAGGACAATGATTGGAACTGTCACAAGTGAGTCATGATAAATCAGTTGTTGATGTTTCACAGGACTCTAATATAACTTAATTTTGTCAATTAAGTTGTATATTAGAAAGTGCAAGGTTGCTTAGCTACAGTCAATACTGATTTATCTGATGGAAGTGTAAAGGGTTTTATGCAGATGAGAGTATGACTTAGTAGGAACTATTGATGACCAGCAGAAAAATTGCTGACAGAGGTGGTTTATTTCCTAACTAACCTCTTTCAATAATTATGACGATTTCAAATCACCAAATGTCATGTGGTTTTACTTGTGAATCTTTGTGGTAAATTTTTTGTACTTCTCTTTTGACTCTATATTTACTTAATTTGCATGTAATGCTGATTGGAGACATGGCACAAAAACTATATGTAACAAAACAGAAAGCAAAAATTTTCAAATAAATAGTTTTTTTTTTCTTTTTGATGTTTTCATTGTCATAGTTATTTCATTGTCTCTGTGTGAGCTTGGTAGTGTCTGCCTACCAGAAGTATCTGCCATGGAGAGCTATTTGTTAGCAAAGGGTTAGCTTTATTCAAGTATTTGTTTGCACACTGAATTTTTATTTATTATTTACTTTTAGCCTCGGAGATATCACTCACTAACACAGCATCTGAGAACTTGACATGGAACCTGTCTTCAGTGGCACCAGCTTATGTAAAGGTTTGTATAGTTACTGTGTTATCATTTTAGTAGCAACATTGTATTCTAGCACAAAGACAATAACCATGTAAATGGATTTTTCTTTTCCAAAAATTAAGCAGGATTGTACATAAAAATTCTTGCACTGTAGGTGGATGACACTGGAAATATTTGCAGAACCACGTATCTTGCCTTCAGCATGGCAAAACAAGAAGGGACAATTCAGGCTGGAAGAACAGCAAAGGTATTTCAAGTTACCGGTAGCATGAAAATCCTGGCCTTAGTGAAACCACACGTATACATTGTTGCCCAAATAGTTTCCATCATAGTATTGATTTTACAGACACAAACTGAAACATCTGAATTTCTTAGTTTAAAATAAAATGAGTGCCTTTTTTCTTCAAGTTAAATGTAAATGTACTTCACATTCCTCATTTTTATTTTTTTTGCCTTTTGAAATAAAAACAATTATCAGTCCACGTTCCCCTTTTTTTGGGGTGTGGGACTGGGCATGTGATCATCTTCTTAAGCAACTAGGGATGTACCTATTCTTATAAGTGTTTCTGTGCTTCAGATTGTTGTTAAGTTTCAGCCAAGAGATGCTGGTGAATATGAGCAATCTTGGGACCTCATGGTGAGTAACAAAACCCAGCTGTTGTTGAGATACCTCATGGGTTTCAAAGTAGGAGGCACTTGTAGCAGAATGGGGGGAATGAAAAGAACCTGTACAATGAATTTCTTTCTGTCCAACTTAAAAGAAGCTGATACCTTAATTTCTGGCCTTTTACCCGCACAGCAGATTACCCGCACCATCTGATTATTGCATGCAGTGAAAAAAAAAGTTAACAGATTACCCGCACTGGTGGATAACCCACACCTTAAAAGCAAAGGAAATTTGTACAAGAATGCTCTAGAATTCACAAGGTTGCATACTTGACAGAATGCGAATTTGTGGCCACATTTTGTGCAAACAATTGTTCAGTGCCATGTTGATTTGTTGATTCCTGAGAAAAAATCTATATTTCTGGTTCTACTGGGCCTAACAAGTCCCTTAAAATGGGAAAATTCTCTTCAGCTCATGCTAGTGTTAACTGGAAATTTGTTACTGATGCGCCTGCAGTTATCCTTGGTTTATTTTTGTCACCATCAAGGTTTTGTTTACACGCATACCAATGTAAATTTGTTTGTTTGCAACTAATTGTGCATGAAATAAACTCAAGTTGGCATCATGTTTTCGTGCTGCTTTGTGGCACTCTTATTACAATAAAATTCATCTAAGAGGTGGAAATGCAGGTAAGTGAGAATTTTTTCCAGTTCAACTGCCAATAGATTTCAAAATTGTCACATAACCCGCAAGTCCCTATTATCTACAGTGGCACGTGTTTAAGGCAAAATCAACAGATTACCCATGGGTAAATGGTTGGAAATTACGGTAATCACTGTCAGTCATTTAAGCTTTTCTGATGTCTTAGTTGTAAAATTAAACAACAGCCCTTTCATGGATTGTCTTCTGTTTAGCCTTCTCTTTCAGTGCCATAAGGGTTGGTGGGTCAAATTTCCCCCAATATTCAGATGGTAGAAATTTTGTTTACGACCAATGATTTCTTGTGCTTTTTTGTTAGACCACATCTGATGCAAATAAATCAAAACAGAAAATTTTTCTCCATGGACAGGTAATTGTTGGTAGATGCTGCTAGCTATTATGATCCTAATTTCTTGTAATGTAATAATTATAATAATTGTGGTTAAGGTGTTGGTTGAACGACCTTTGTTACTGATTTAATCTTTTGACTTAATTTTACTTTCTGCTTTTCGGAGCATCACTTACACAGCTTTTACATAAAATAATGGATGAAAATGGTTTGGTCAAACACTCTTGCAATTGCTTCATATTTTATAACTTCCAGCTTAATTTAATCAGTCAAGTTGTAACTGTTATTTATGGAAATAATTTGATACCTGTTTATCCCATGAAAAAACAAGGCTATGGAACTCTAAATTAATTGACATGCTTCTCTTTCCAATAAGGCTGTTGATAGAATTGGTGATGTTGAGGGACAAGGGGAAGATGTTGACACTTTTCTGCCAGCTAAATCAAAAAAAGTTACTATCAAAGAACCATTGAGGTATGTTCTGCAGGAGCTGTTTTGATTTCTTTTAAAACCCTTTTGAAGGTGGCACTACTTAGCTCATCAAGTTTTTTGTTTCTATTCAGATCCCCCAAGAGTGTCAAGAAAGGGCTCTATGTTAAAGAAAATGTGCTTCAATTTCCTGTTACAGTAGCAGGAGCAACAAGTGAAGCACAGCTGAAAATCTGCAATGGTTCAGGAGATGACCAATATGCGGTGAGCACTTCACATGTATCAATTAGTCATTTTTTGTGTGCAGACCTTGAGTATGCCTCATTTCTCTTTTTTTTTTCTCTCTATAATCTGTTACTCATCAGAAAGCCTGTTGTAATCCTCACTTTGCAGCAGTTTAGCTGAAATCCTTCACAAAATTTTTTTATGTGCATGAGATGTACTTTTATGGTCTTTCCTTGGTAAGTCTTCACTCCCTGCTAAGAGCAAAAGTTGTCCACATAATGTTTGTTCTAACTTCTGCTTCAGCTATTTCTGTTACTACTACAGGTACGCGTCTCATCATTGAAGACACCTTTCTCTGTTCAGAATTCAAAGTTTTCCGTCAGGTATATTTTTCTTGTAATGATTAGGAGTTTAGTTAAACTTTACCATCTAAACTCAAATTAATAAAGGCTGATAGTTTCTAAAGAAACTGTTTGGGGCTGTGTCGGTCGGGGTAACGAAATAATTTGAATATATCAATGTAATCTATTGCATAACTTGCACTTATTGCAAAAAGATTTACAATGTCGAAACAGGCAGAAGACTAGGCGACCGATATATGTATTTCATATATATTTGTTGTTTGATAGCAACAAAGTTGAAATAGTAAATTGGCCACCGTTACGGTCATAAAAGCTGACGTTTCAAGTGTTAGCCCTTCGTCGGAGCGAATAGAGGAGTTTTGAGTTGTGTGTGCTTTTAAAGCCAGAAAGTGGAGCTACGTGATTGGTGGCAACATGGCAACAAGAAAAACACAAATAAATTAGTGGAATGAAAAGCGTTCGTTGACACCTGTGGGGTTTAGACTGCTGGTTTGAAAGATGAGCTTTTATTCAATGATCCATTAAGATCATCGATCACTTCACGTGCACCTCCGCCAATGTAATCTATTGCATAACTTGCACTTATTGCAAAAAGATTTACATGGTCGAAACAGGCAGAAGACTAGGCGACCGATTCCAAGAACACCTTCGCAACGTGGAGAGAAGTGACAAGGACACATCGAAACCAGTTGCTAGACATTTCAATTTATCCAATCATTCTAAGCAACATATGGCAATCTGCGGTCTTTCCTTACACTTAGGTAGCACAGAAAGCTGCAAAACTCTTGAACAAAAGCTCATCTTTCAAACCGGCAGTCTAAATCCCACAGGTATCAACGGATGCTTTTCATTCCACTAATTTATTCGTGTTTTTCTCGTTGCCATGTTCCCACCAAGCACGTAGCTCCACTTTCTGCGTTTAAAAGCACACACAACCCACAATTCCTCTATTCACTGCGACGTAGCCCAATATTTTCCAAACGAATTGGTAGAGCGCTGCACTAGTATCGTAGAGGTCAGTGGTTCGAATCCCGTACAGGCCTGAAATTTTTTTCAGGTCTGATTTTCACTATTGTTCAAATAGTGCTTTACTGTGAAGGATCATGCACATATACATTTCAACTTTATTGATATATTCAAATTAAACTCAAATTAACTTACTGCTTCTCAAATCTCAAAATTCAGATCCATAGATCAATGATCAAGTCCTGAAATTTAACAAATCAAAACTCTGCTGTTACATGTTGTAATGCCTCTTTTGGCCAGAAACTTTTTGATTCAAATCAAAACAACATTATGATCACACCTTTGAGAAAAAAATCTTGGGCTTAGGCTTTTTTCAATGATTGTTTATTAGTTTTTTTGTCCTCCAACTTTGATGTACAGTAGTATCATTATGTTCATACTCAGAATTTCTCAGTATTGCTTACAGTAATTGATTTCACTGAACATTAATTGTGTGTTGAAAATGGACCCAAAATTATTTCACTGAGAAAAAGACCTCAACAGAATTCTAAACTAAAAAAAAAAAAAAATTAAAAAAAATGTCAAAAACAACCAGTAGGTCACCTTATTTGCTTTCTGATGAAATGAGAATTTTCTTATACTGAGAAGCTGGGGTCATTAAGATAAATGGTTTCAGTTGACTGCATGCATTTGTCAACTGTGAAGTGATGCACAGCAGGAATGCACAGCAGGAATGCACAGCAGGAATGCACAGCTCAAAACTTAAGAGGGCTCTTAATGTTGCATTGCTCTTACAGGGCTAACCGGTTTGTTCGACTACCAGTGCGTTTCTCACCAACTGAACCTGGAAAGTCCTATGAGGCCTCATTTGTTATTACAGCTGACCCTGACGTTATCATCAAAGTACAGCTTCAAGGGTCCAGTTCTGTGTGATTCAACTTTGTAGAACTGGCGAATAATAAGTTAACACTAAATTTCTAATAAGTAAATATTATTTGTGTTAGATATTTTTACCCAACATGTATATAAGAAAGTGAAATTACAAAATTAATCCTAACAAATTTCAAAATTAATATATTCCATGAGGTGAAGGAATACATAGCTCCACAATGTTGCCTGACCATAGTGTGTGCAGGTTTTGTGTAGAATTCAAGTTGTACTTAATGATGTATCTTTACAAATTCAATGTTTTCCACCAATATATCTAAACATTAAGTGAAAACTTAACTAAAAAAAAAGTTAAGGGTGCTCAGCACCTCTTCTTTCTATAAACTGTATTCAGTCTAGACAGAAGACAAAGCTTAAGCAGTAACAATAGTATAGTTTCATTCCATAACTTATGTTATGGCTGCAGTCAGTAATAATGTTAGCCTGCAACCAAGCCCTCATTGTTAATGCTTTAGCATGAACGTTTCTTCACCAGCTATGTAGTACAAGGCCTTGAGCAATGCTATTGGGAGAGATCTGTAAGGGTTCAGCTCTTCCATGTGAAGTTAGGGTCTTCTATAAACAAACTGAAGTTAAAATTAACTCCTTTAATAGTAAGTGTTGTGTTGAATGATGTAACTTATTCATTTGCCCTCATGCACAGCATGTTAATGTAGTATGTACAACGAAGAATGTCAGGAATAGATTTAATTAATTCTACTTTGAAGAAAGAATGTTTCACACTTGAAAATGCCTTTATTATTATAACAAGACTTCAATAAAGTGTTTATTTACAAACTCACTCTCTGTTCATTTCATGTTGATGAGACTAAAGCAAAGAAGGCAAATCAGATCTGTTGCTATGAATCATAAGAGACAAGAAATTAAAACTTAATTAATTTAGGATTTTGCCATTCTTTTGTCATTTATTTTTAACGAGACGTCATCATCTTAAGGGCAAAAAATAATATTATTTTCACACTTTTCCAAATGCTTTTGTACAACCACATTTCTGGACATTTTTGATATTGCACCTTAGCTAAATTAGTAAAATAAAGGAAGCACATTAACGTGAGAGTATTTAATAAATAACACTCCATAAATCTAAAAAACAGTGCCCTTGAATATTTACTTCCAGCCTTTGGATTTGAAAAAAAAATAATTTCTGATCTAGTAACCTTGGTGGTAAGAGGATGGTAAGACATGAGAGTATTTAATAAATAACACTCCATAAATCTAAAAAACAGTGCCCTTGAATATTCACTCTAGCCTTTGGATTTGAAAAAAAAAAATAATTTCTGATCTGGTAACCTTGATGGTAAGAGGATAATTTTATTTTTTCAAAATAAATTATCACCAAGTTTATGGAAACAAGAAAAATTGTTGAAAACATTTCAGGACTTCAGTTGTCCTACTAGTCTGAAAATTATCTCTCAGAAGCCATTGATGGATTTTAAAAACTAATTTCACAAGAAACTTTGGTTAAAACTTGAGAAAAATCTGGCCATTACTACAACCATTAAATAGCCTCTATTGCAATGCAAGCCATCTACAATGCATGGTACGCCTCATTATAACAACCCAACTGGAAAATAAACACTGATATGACTCATGTCAGTGGAAATAACAAATAATAATTATTAATCTATTGCTTCTGGGGGCCATTTCATTTGCCCAAGGAACGATGACTTGAGTTTTGTGTATCGACCATATCTTTCCAAGATGCAAGATGGTTGACTTGATCTCCACCCAACCTCCTCTGATGTCTTAGTTGGAAATTTTGCATTTGACTTTCCGACTGACAGTTGTGACGCTACACTGGCGTCAATGGGTGGCAGCTTTAGAGCCTCACGTCGCTGCTTTACTCTCACAGCTGCCGCACCATTCGCAACACTTTCGTCTTCATTTGCCAACTATAGGAGATAAAAATAATTTTAAAGAAATTAAAAAATGAATTTATATTGCACAAAATTTGAAGTGAGTTGTAATAGATTATTCTTAAATTAATTTGTTACGAATACAAACCAAATATCGTAGTCATTATGGCTGTAAGAGTGAGGTTCATCAGAGGGAAGCTGTGTTTACTTATATGAAAGTTCATTAAACTTGCCAGCTATCGTTTTAACTCATCAATTAAGACATTATTGACATCTGACCAGTCCTTCAAAAAGGTTGGGAATGACAGAAATCTCTAATTCCCCTGATTTCTATGACGTGTTTGGAGAAATTAAAAAAAAAAATAATAAAAGACTTATGCCGGAATTTTTGCTCACACAAACTTAAATGAACCTGACCGATCTGTCTGCATTATCACGCGAGCAGTAATAAATTCCATGGAGATCTTTTAGAATCCAAGTAAATATTCGAACACAGCCCAATATTTTCCAAACGAATGAAGAGGGCTCCTCGTGTCTCTGAGACAAGTTATGTTACATTAAAACTGACAAGGCTTGAGTTGATTTCACATTACATAAAATTTCTTTGTTGATACCAACAAACATGCAAAACTTACAATCTTGTATTGTCCGATCAGAAAACCCCAGTTTTCAGGCCAACGTTTTGATGCACTATGCTCGTGGCCAATATGGTCTTTCCTGTTTCAATAAGGATACCAGAATTCCGTTAACTCAAGATTTACTCATTAGCATGATCTATATAACTATACTTGAATGAACCCCATCACAGTTTACAGCATGTAACTTCGAATGTTTGAGTCAAACAAAAGAAGAATCTGATTTGAGTAGCAAACACTCAACCCACCAGATTTGGTCCTGATGGACAAAATTGAATCCCGCTTTGCTTTTTCCAAACACCATGTAGAAATCGTTCGGATGTGACGTTCAGAGCAACTTTGACGTTTGAGTAAACCTCGAGAAATCAGCAAGTAATCGTGAACGAAAGGGTTTGCGGTGCTTTTGTTGTCCCTGGTAACCGGTGATCCACGTGACCAAACGTCGTGATGACTCGAACATAATAGAGCTAAATAAAGGGCTACTTCATTGGGTCTGTGCCGGATACCAAATCAAATTTCCCATAAGAATAGAAATGAGAGAAAATGTTTGAACTGATCAGCGAAGAGTGATTAAAAAAAACTTTTTCGGGAATGACTGTTGAACTTGTGACGGCCTCGCCTCCGTTGTTTAGTCTTGTCACGTAACGTGTTCTCTCATCTATCGGCGTGACATGATTTGCTTTGTATTATATTCTCGTCTTCGGGTTTATTGGGAGTCAACAGACGCTTTCCGACTTTTTTCAACCTGAGGTTTAATTTTGCTAAGTGTAACATTTTGGCCTTCGCTGGGCCACTTCGGTCGCCAGCATCACCTCTTGGCAAGTGTTTGGCTATCTAAAATGAATTTTCTAGAAATGGAAGAAGACATACATTGATACAGAACTCCATAACTGTGCTTCTTTGCATGCACATGTTTAGGAAATTCGAGCCGCCATTTTGTTTTCAAGTTCTTTCGCCACTCTGCTTTCTTCCATTTAGATCATGCAAAACACATTGTTTTTTTAATCACAAAAAAACCACATTTGGATCCATAAATGATAGAAAATTCTTACTAAAAGTGTCAAACGTAAGTTGGTTTCGTTAAGTGGCCAAAAACGTTAAGTGGCCCCGTAAGGCCAAAAACCCTTCCCTTAAGTCTGGAGCGTCCCGTAAGTCTGGATCCATAAAAGATAGAAAATTCTTACTAAAAGCGTCAAACGTAAGTTGGTTTCGTTAAGTGGCCAAAAAACCTTCCCGTAAGTCACTTACGGCTGGAGCGCCTTCTTCCCGTCGAAACTGGAACCGCAAACTGCAAACGTGACGGCAAAGAGGTGGTCACGTGACCTCTTCAGGTTCGCCGTTTGCCGTAAACGTGATGCTAAAGTTCCCTAATAATATGGTGGAATTCACTTGTACATAGACTTTCTAAAGTCGTTCGCTTGGTTTTCTGTCTCGCTCGCGCTCCGCGCTCACTGTCGCGCTACGCGCTCTCAAAAGCGCGACTCGTGAGCAAGTCTAACTTGTACACTTTGATGAAAATCGACACCGACGAACCAGTGGACATAAACAATCTAGACTAAAGCATATTCAGGGGTCATCATAATAAAAATCGCTGAAATTCCGATTGATGAGTCCGAGTTTGACCTCAGACCGGGCCATTGTGTCGTGTTGTTAGAAAGGACACTCAAATGGGACAGTGCCCGTCTCCACCCAGAAAATGTGTGCCAACAAACTATCGAGAGAACTTGTCGAAATACTTTGGGTTACCCCGAGTTGGATTGGCATCGTGTCCAGGGGGAAAACCTCTGAAACCAGTGAAAGCTTCAGCTCCAGGTCTTCTGGACCATAGTTAGTAGAGTGAGTTGTTAAAAGTGCGATAAGCTCCAATCCTGATTTAATTGCCATGGCAACATATAGTTTTAGTTTTTAGCTATAAATCCCAAGAATAGTTTAAGTCACCAGCCCCACGAGGTGCTTGTTTGAAAGTGGACGAGTCTTGCACACACCGGTAGCAGACAATAAGTTCGTACCTACCCAATTTTTTAATTGACATATTAAGATACCGTATGCATTCATAACCCAGGATCATTCTTTACAAACTACCCAGGCTTCATATCTTGGATGAAACTAAGATTGTGCTGTCATCGAAAAATAGTAAATAAACTTAAACACTTAAGCCTGATCCATATAATTAATCCAGTCGTAACTACGCCATTTCGCCCTTTTATTCTTTCTATTCCGAAAAAAAAAACCACAATTGTATGAAAATTCTAACGTTCCTAGTGTACTTACTTTGGAGAGCAAAGAAAAAGGAAATCCTCGAACAATGAAAATTAATCAACTTACGATCAAATCCAAGTCCTATTCTATCTAATTATTTTAATTTGATTCTATAATTATTTAAGTTCCTAAGAATCCTCCCGCCCCACCCTAGAGATTCAACATATTGGGATGCGCCCCTTACCCCCAATTGTGTTGACAATCCCAAGTATTTTTTGCCGGAATACTTATTTTCCAATCAATTTTTCCACGAGAAGTTTGAAACAAGACAAGAAAACTTTTCAGTGGCTGCAAAAAGTTCAGATAACAAAGGCAAATAGTGTACTCTTTATGTAATGCAAACTGTAAATGTCCTAGTGGAAGTGAACTTGACTATCTACGTCTCAGATACAAGCATCCCACTCAAATATTCAAAGAACCCTTTAAGCGAGAAATGCCTCGCTCCATCTAATTCCTGACATTTAAACTTTTTTCTTATTTTTGCTAGCTTTGGTGTTTGTTTGCTTGTTTTTTTACGCATTTCGCATTGTAGTTCCAAATGATAAGGATAACACTAGATATTTCGAAAATATCTATCAAAAACTCGAACGTCTACATCATCTTGTTTAACCTCTTACGCACTGCAAGACCTCGTGAAAGAAAAAGTCTATGTAGTTCAAAAATAAATTAATTGTTCGTCTATTTTCATATCGCCAAGTTCCCCTTCCCTAGCCCCACCCAAATAATTTACTTAGTCATAACATTTTATTCATCACTTGTCCGTTCTATTTGTTCCAATTTCCCGATTACTTCGGCCATTTTCGGTCTTTCTTCGGGATCTTGTCGTACGCAACTCTTCACCAGGTTTCTTAAGACTTCATCTTTTATCAATGAAACCTGGTCTTCAGTTTGATGAGGAACGGGGAGTTCCCGGATGCATATTTCGCAGAGCAACAAACCGAAGCTGTAAACGTCGATCTGTGGAATGTCAAGACAAATAAAATTGCTGCGGCAACTATTTTAAAGTGAATGCACTTGACTTTTACTCTCACAAAATTCATCACAGGGCTAAAATCAACTTTCATTTTTAGATCAAACTTGTTTTGAATGGGAACGAGTCAGATTCTACCCCATCCCCACACTTTAAAATACAACCGAATGAAGAAAAACAAACCTTTGGCGACTGCTCTAGCGAGAGGGCCTCTGGTGCAGAATATATGACAGCCCCGGGGTTTATGGTCCTACAGTGTCTCATGAAGTTCGCGGTACCATAGTCACACACTTTAGCACGCCACTGATTGTCTCGTCGCCATAGCAATACGTTAGCGCTGCTCACATCGCGGTGAATAATGGGAGGTTTGTTCAGGTGCAGATAGTTAAGGGCCCTTGCCACGTCAAGCGCAATAGTGACAATGTCTGCTTTATTAAGCGGTTGTTTCTCAAGAAGATCTCTCAAACTGGTATCCATCAGTTCTGTGACAAATAAAGGGACGCCATCATCATTTGTTGCTCCGACAAACTGAAGAAGACAGGGATGCCGACACCTGGAGGCGATTTCCATCTCGCGCATGAACAAACGCCTGTTATGAGGCGAGAGAATCAGTTCGTGAATCTGTTTCACCGCGACTCTACAGCCGCGGAATTTTCCTTCCTTCACCACGCCCCAACCACCAGTGCCCAGACTCTTTCCTATAGACACTTCTATTTCGTCACGGCTTATTATCCAGTCGCTTAAATCCAGATCCGGATGAGCTTCATTTTCACTCGTTCCCTGGTAGATTGCTGAATCTTGTGGTCCTTCATTGAGCTGGCCAGTCTTTTCCTGATGATCCAGTCTTTCTTTCAAGGCCTCTAATTCCGTTTGCAACGCCATCTTAGAACTCCTTCCTTCCTCCATTTCTTTCATGAGGCCCTGTAACTGTCGCTCAATATCTGATCTCAAGGCGCGCTCTTCGATCAATCTCCTCTCAAATTCACCCCATTCGCGGTCAAACTGTTTCTGCATTTTACGAATCTTACTTCGTTCCTCCTCTAACAAACTCTCTACCTCTGCCCGGTGAAGTGCCTCTTCGGTTAAACTCTTGAACAAAGCATCACATTTCTCTCTCAGTTTCCCTCCGAGTGTGACCTCTTCATCCAAGTGCTTTTCCAAGCTAACAATCTTGTTATTGCTTTCTTTCAAACAATACTGCGTCTCATGCAATAGCTTCTTTTGCTGGAGATATAACTGTTTGAAGTCCTCGGCTTCGTCCTCGCTTGATTTCTCTCCCTTTTCAAAACTCTCGGAGTCGTGCTCGACGCTTTCACATTTCTCTATATTGTCAATGACTTCTGATCCTTCCACGTTATTTTCGTCCAGAATTAAAGCGTCACTCCTTCCTTGAAGAAGCTCAGCTTCGATCAGAGAGTGCCCTGAGCTTTCCATTCCAGAATCCTCTCCACCAGTCTTCTCTCCATCTCCTATGCATGTGTACTCATCTTGGTCATTGTCTTCAGAATCATTACATAGAACAAAAAAGAGAAAACAGATTTACCATTCTAACTAATTTAGATGTGCCCATAGAGCCTTGGAAACCCAAAACTGTCTTCCAATTGGATTTTCCTCCTGGATGTAACCCCATTGCACATCTTGAAATTAGTTTACAATTTACTGTTAATCAATCATAAAATTAAAAGTCAACTATTTTTTTAAGACCTTTCTTTGTAAATGATTGTTACAAGGATTTGGTGTCAAGTCCAAGGGCATCTCCCATTGCTACCTACAAGATATTAGCTTTTGCCTCTCTAATTGACAATGATCTGATGAGGTAAAGAATAACACAGGCAGACCATACTACGCATTCTTGGTTGACAAACGTTGACTTGAGACAAACAAAAATCTATGAAGATTATGAATGAAGTCCTGAAAATTGCCCATCTAAATTACATCCCAGTCTGATTATCTCAAACGAGTTAAATCAAATTCTAATCAACCCATTCATGGAATTCTTTCGCCCCCATAGGCTGTCTGAAGCACCAATTTATGAAATTACTTTTGGCCAGGGGCCATTTAGAGCAGAAAGGGAAACAAGGCTTGCAACTTGGTGGCCACCAGCTGCGACTTTCTCCACTTCAAACTAGAATTAACCCCAAACTATGGAAAATCTCTCCTGAGTATTGAGATATTCAGCCCAAGATGTAAGTAAATATGCAACTTTCAGAGCTTTATACAGATTGGTAACCCTCATAGATTTTGTATATATTTACATACGAGTTTGTTTGTCTCATGTCAACAATTATCAACCAGAAACACATAGCATGGTCTCCCCATGGTAACAGCTTCCCTTCACAATCTCACAGAACCTCAGAAGCCCCTTGCTACTGTTATTTGTAACATAACCAAAGTAAAGCGCGTGCTCTGATTGGTCAATTTAGCATCTCCCATTTGCCCATGGGTGTACGCTGCTGATGTGAGCAAATGCAAAGACTATTTTTCCATGTGCACTTGTTTTTTCTGGTCGCGTAAGATTTGTTAAATAAAAGGGAACTCTTAAGCTACAATGTATCAATGTTATGTTATAAAACAAATGGTAAACACCACAACGTACACTACTGAGTTATGGATGCACTTGGGAGGTTTGCTAAGCACTCAAGAAGCTAGAGTCATTCTCGGCTATCACCTCGAGCGACTTTTACGCTTCTTTCATGCTTAGCAACCTCCCGCGTGCATCTATAACTCAATAGTATATGCTGTGGTGTTTACCATTTGTTAATTAAAAACAATCAACTGTACATTCAATTCAATTGTTATCATCTTTTTGTACCTTTCACTTGCTGATCCCCTTCTTCCACAGGAATTGTGATTCTATCCAGTGACACAAACAAACCAGCCCCGGGGGAACATTTGAAGTACCTCTGACATCGGAACACTCCATCTGTTGTTCCTCTGTTTTGAAAGCGGGGATCCTGGTTATCAGTCAGAACAAAGGAAAGTAAGTTCAAAGTGATGCCAAGAAAACCATATTTTAGGTAGGAATTGTTAAGTTAAGCATTTTAAAGTAAATCTTAAAAATCATTGTGATGCTCGAGTGGCCCATTAGGCTGGCACTCAACTCCAGTTTCTGTGGCGTGAAGTAACTAGAAGTATTTCTATCCCCCCTGGATGGGATGCCAATCCATAGCATGGTTGCCCCCCAAAAATGAAATTTTCCAGGACCCATTGAAACACCTGGGTGAAGAGAGGCACTGTAAGAGTAAAGTGTCTTACCTAAGAACACAACACGATGTCCCCGGTCAGGGCTCGACTCCAGACCACTTGATCCAGAGTCAAGTGCACTAACCACAAGGCCACCATGCTTCCCGTCAGCCGACAGGTGTGCTTAGAATTGTCCGCTTACAGGTTTTTCTTTTTTCTTTTAACGGATTTGTTCTTCATGTTTGGCAATGATATACTGATGTGTACTTGCCTAGATTGAAGACTGAAGGACCAGCCCACCACAAAGCTTGTGCTAACCATAAAAAAGAGGAAACAGGGACTATACAGTTGAATCTGTATTAAGCAAACACCCATCAGGAATGATGGACTGACAGCTTAACGCAGGTTAACGGCCTAATACAGGTCCATAGTGAAGGGGAATCATAAACACAATAAAAAAGCCATTTTTACACCATAATTGACGACTTCATATACAAAAACTTGCTAAAAAAACTATTCACATTGACTTTCGGGGATGACTTTCGGGGATGAACATGAATTAAACTTTATTTGAAAGTTGGTTTGTAGTCTTATTAGAGTGGTTCTGCTCTTAGTGATCATTCAAAACAGGTAAAGGACAATACAATGAAGCCATTGGGACTCAATAAAGGGTGACCACAACTCATATAGACCAACAATAGAGGGGACTGCTTAGAAGAGGAGAAAATTACAGTGTTTATGGTGAAAGAATTTTGAGACTTTGACTATTGACTGCTTAAAACAAGGTGACCCTTTAATACAGGTTTGACTGTAGTTAGTTCATACCTGGGAGTAGTCTATGATACCTAACCACAAGTAAATGTGAACACAAAGACAACACAATCTGCTCTGCTCAGTCATTTTGAGACAACCATTGTAAATCCAGCTTGAGGCTTAACCCAGTTCAGAACTCAACAAACAGACCTCTTTAGCTTGTATGTTTTGTTTACCCATTTCAAGTCTCACGAGAATTCCCAGCTTTATCTTTTGTAAATTAAGTATACATGTGTACATGAATAACAGCAAATTTGAAGGAAACAGTCCTCTTAAGTATTCTCACATAAACCTTAATGGGTAAACAAAACATACAAGCTAAAAAGGTCTTTTGAGACAGGATTCTACAGGAATGAAGCACAGGAAATACATAAAATGCAGTCAGGAAACGGTGATCTGATCTTAAGGAAAAAAATTAAGACATAATTGCACTCACCACAATCTCAACACCAAACATGATCCCATCATAAGGAGGAAGGGCGCCTTTGTAATGAACGATTGCATCCACATTCTTCTTTAAATCATCCATCCACACAAGTACCTTACATCCTTCATTCTCCGTCAAAGCCCATCTCAGAAGATCCTGTCTGTCATTCACAATGCTACATCTTTTACTAAAGGATTGAACAGCCAGCAAAATTTGAGCGTCTTCTAATGAGATAACTTGTAACTCTTCTTTAGGACAATCGACCTCCAGACACTTTTGCTTCAGACCACGTAAAGCTATCTTCTCACTGTCTTGAGCGGGTTGTTCGTCTACTGAACGAGCTTCAAATAATTCGCCTTTCAAGGCTATCGGAGGTTGCGTTCCGTAGACGTAATTCGACAACATTCCCCACAGTACACCAGAATCTTGGGTCGAGGGGTCTTCCAAATCGCGAAGGAGAATGAAATTATTCCTCTTTTCCATCTTTCAGACGGTAATTTCCGCGCCCACAAAATTCGAAATAAACCACCACGCCCTTACTATAAATATTATTTCATAGCAATAAAAAGTCAGCGGAAGATGATGATGAAACTGAAATGATGACGAGGTAGGATTCTTTTACGATGAAGTTGCAGCCGTGGGAGTAGAAAAGACTTTGAGATCTCGCAAAAAACGTATACCTTTTCCCATTAAAACTCTCCCAAGGTGAAAAATAAATGAAAGCAAGGCTCTAAAATACTTGGACTATTAGCAGACGTCGGGGAAATTAGAACGCACAGCTAAGTCCCGCCTTCGTCACTCCTTCCGCCATGATGCAAATATTAACCGTGAGAGATCTGGGGAGAAAAACAAAAATATTCAAGATGGCGCTGGTGCGAACAGGACCTTGACTATCCTTCCAGGTATCCTGATATATATTTTGTTTATATACTTAATATACTTTTTGTTTTGTTTTTTTCGGTAAAAGATTTCGTTTGATTGTACCTTTCACTTAGAGCATCTGAAATTACAAAGTTTTTACCTCAATCTTTCTGTTCTCACCTTTCCGGTTTGTTCCCCCTGAATTTCGAGTTTGTCTCAGGGTATCTACAAAATTCACCGCTTCAGTAAAGTTCAAACACCATATTATTATACAAATTCAAGTGAGTGGTCTTAATCTTTCAAGTTTTGAGAGATTCGCGTACGATCTCGTAAAATCAAATACCGAGGATTGGGTGCAAACTTGGCAGACTTTTTGTAAAGAGGTAAACGCATGGTTTGTGCGAACTGTAACAAGAGGGTGGGGGGGGGGGGGGAGGTTAGGAGAATCCCTAGCTGCCATTTATTCTACCCCCTTCATGGCTCATATGTTCTTGGGAGTTATAGTCTATGTTAAACCAAAGTCTTTCACACACTTGTCACAAATATACTAAAGACACATTAAGTGATATGACTTTCAGCCTGTAGACTTAAATACGTTTTGCAGAGATGTCAACCACTGGAAATCTGAGATCTGGAAACGTTTTTTATTAAAACATCTGCAAACTCAAACCCCAAAATTTAAGACTGACTGCTGTGTCCCACATAGTGATTGTCAGTAGCTGGATACCCAAATTCCAGATCGAAAACCTGGTTAAGTTTTAATGAAGATGTATATCCTTTTAGTTTTTATCTGGCCGTAACTCTGCAAGGTATGGAAACTTGTTCATAGGAGTGTGGGTGGATCATTTTGTATGCGATGGACTTTGGAATAATCCAGAAGGGTTGGAATCTGTGTTTCCAGAACCCCTATTCCCCCTTTCAGTGTTTGTCTTTGGAAATTCTGTCTCAGATATGTCGTAGGATTGTTAAAGCCTTGTTCCTTTCCAAATGGGATAGACAATATGCATAAAGAAAAACATTTTTGACTCAGAATGTAGATCATTTGGTGAATATTTTTCAAATACCATAAACTCTTTCAAGGAATGAGGACTCTCTTGGGTATAATTATTTCTGTCAATCATTGTTTTGCCACCTTCTCCTCTGTAGCTTGTGACAAATTGCAAGGGGTTATCATCTTGGAGTAAGATGTTGGTAGAAACTGAAAATCAATATACAGATATATAGTAAATATTCACAATGCCCAGAGGTTGGCGTGACATCAACAAACCTGACACAGCTGATTCTCAAAGGGGACGACAAAGGCTATCTCCCCGGAGGAAAAAGTCATGGGAAAAAGAAACTTTTACTCCTTCAGCTACTTCTTGTGACTTTGAGCAAAGAATTGGTGGCACTGCAAATGCTACAACATTGCTCAATAAGAGACTCCATACAGAAGTTCTTTCAAACTTAAGAGGGACCTTAGATCCAATTGACATCCCCAACACATATTCACCTATTAATCTACAAAAAGATACATCACCAACATCAAACAGTCTTCAGGGTATCACTCCACTTATATCCAGTAGTTCCTCAAACTCTGGTAAAAAAGTACTTAGCCCAAGTAGTCCAAAACCGCAGGGGCTTATTCCATTGTTAGCAGGGTCACCTAATAATGTGGACTTGGTAGGATCTGTTGCACGACCATCAACAACCCCACAGTGGATGCAGTATTTAAGTAATCAAAGTGTTGGTGGAAAGGAACAAGATTTAAACTCAGGTTTGTTATTAAGTCTTCCAGATTTTTATCCATGGTAATTAATAGGAGCTCTCACATCTGTTTCTGTGGTAAGAGTGTTCCCCTGGTCCGGTGATATTTTCTCCTTTTTTCCCATGGATAATGTGTAATGTCATTGTGTGTAATTGTGGTCATGATAGGTTTGATCATTGCAAATAAAGTTGATAACATTTACTATTTAGGATATGCATTTTAGTTGTCCTATCATAAATATATATGTTTTTAACCAAGTTTGGTTGTTTTTTTTATTTCGTTCTTTTTTTTTTTTTATGGACAGATTAGGTGTACACAGGGTTGATAAAATGTCAAATAAGAAAAACAAACAAACAAATAAGGATACAAACAAACTTAACCAAACAAATTAAAACATAAACAAGAAACCAAGAACATTGTTCAGTAATCTTGAGTAAACAAGCTTAGGCAATAAACAATTTCCCACATTGCCAAAATGTTGGCAATGGTCTAAGATACCATCGGGGGGGGGGGGGTGGATAGCATTACACTTAGCTCTCCACCCATGTCTTTGTAGTGTTAGCAATCAATGTTTAATTTTCAGGGTGAGCTGGTTCCCACATTTCTTACTCATTTTATGGGTAATTTTTAGTTGGGGTTCACCTGCAGCCTTATTAAAGAGGAAGGTCTCCAAGGGACTATGTGGTTGTTATGAAGCAAGAGGCAAATCCTCATTTTATTTTATGAATCACAGGTACTTCCTCTGGACTTCAGTATTTAGAAGAAGAGATTGAAAAACTTCAGTTTGAACAAAGTAAATGGGGGAAAGAAAGAAATGTCTTAGTAACAGAGCTAGAAGGCCTTCAAGAGGAATTTGAGATGACAAAGCAAGCAAAAGAAGAAGCTGAACAAAGAATTACCAGCTTGGAGGGAGAATTAAGAATCAAAGATGAACATGTGAATGAACTGCAACAAACTTTAAACACAGTTCAACAAGCACTAGAGGAGTGCAGACAAAAAGAGTCCTGTGATTGGGCTATATCACGGGATGAGATTCACATGACAGATACCTGCCTTGG